GTTTTTGTTTTTTGTTTTTGCTTCACTCCTAGGGCCCCTCTTACCTTATTGTTAGGCTGCATATTGTAAAAATAATAAATAAATAAATAAAATGTGCTTCGGATAGGTTGCATTTTGAAATCTCAAGAGTTTCCAGATGTGAACCCAGTTCATGATTACTGTAAAGGAGGAATTGACTCTTCCACTGAAGTGCTGACATTTGAAAACCTGTCCATTTATTATCGGTGGGGTTTTTTAAAAGTGGTTTTGACGATTATTATTATTATTATTATTATAATTATTAGCAAGTCTGCCTTTTGTGACAAGCAGAACTGCTCATGCATTTAAACAGTGCTTTCAATAAACTCTGAAATACTCTTGTATGTCTTTTGTCTCATCTTGGTTGGGATGCCAGAGCACTGGCTTTGGGGAAGCCCAGTGGGTTGAGTTTCGTGCTCCCCCCCACCCACTAACGACCAGCATGATATTGAGAAAGTGAGTAGAGATGTGGGTGTCTCGTTTTTCAGCTGCCACTCACATCCCCCCTACCCAGGATTTAAACAAGCCCTTAGTGACTGTGAATGGATGGGAAAGCGCATGCTAGTGACTGACCATGACGGCTGAGTGAAACAAGCCAAGATTGTGAGTTAAGCAGCCCAGAAATGTTCCATCTTTGCATTGTTATACTGTCTGAATCTCGAACTGGAGGTCCTTGAGGGAAGAAAAACCCAGGCTTGTAACACAGGGACAACCACGAGTCACAAATCTGGGCTGTTCTTCCCCAAACAACCTTCAATTCTGGGTTTGGATATCACAATAAATGATATGCTCAGGGTCAGAGCATCCCTGAGGTGTTTAACTGCAGCTTTGCTATGAACAACTAACAGTTAATAAAACATGAGTTGTTTCTGATGTACAAACTGGGTTGTTATCTACCAGAGAGAGTTGGCACTCTCCCGAAATTGGCAGACACATGCTGTGGCAACCCAAGCAGCGTGAACAGTTCATGTTAGATCTACCCAGATAAATAAAACCAACTGGATATTTTTCTCCAAGATATTTAAGCCATGTTTCCATCTTTTCTTTGACTGTATGTTCATCCTTAAGCCTTTGAAAGAGGGAAAGTAATTTTTGAATACATTAATGATACGAATTTTTAGCTAAAGGGTTTTCTGGCTATTTTCTCCTTAACTCTTTTTGCCTCCGAACAATATTGAATCTTCTTTCATGTGCTCCAGAGGAGCTGAAGCAGCCTGCTAAATTAACTGTTGAGTGTTGCCCAGGAAACTGGTTTACCTTCCCAAGCCACTTCTTTTCTTAGATCAAACATTGCCAGCCTTTGTGTTAGGAGTCTGTGAAATCAAACCAAGCTCCCTTCTGGTTATTGTAATAGCTCTGAGCAGTTTCCATATGTCATGGTGGAAGTGAGGAAATGATATTTAGATTTTTGTGCAGTAATTCTTAAGTTCTAATTTCTTAAGCCTTCTGAAAACTTGGTATGCACTGAAAGGGTTACAAAACAGGCGAGGATCAGGAAGTCTTATGCCTGAAGCCCTGTGAGGAGGTAGGGGACAGAAATGTCATATCAGAGTACATATTTTTATGGCACATGGAATTTTCAGGAATCGTACATGGGTAGTTTGGCAGTTTTTTGTTCAGTCTTCTCCCCTCCTCCCCCATACTGGAAAAATGACTGGATTTTTTTGGATGCCGTGGTTTTTCTCTACACATTTTTCTAACAGTCAAGACAAAGAAACCATGACGCAGGCTAATGCTTTGGAGGGGTTGTACTGATGGTGGCCTTTCCCATACCAGTACTCAGAAAGCTCAGACAAAACAGAACTTTTCGTTTGGACACTCTGCAACAATCCCGTCAGCACTGAGTTCTGCACCATATGCTTCCAGTGGCAGAAATCTGCCGCCTGGAACCTGAAGTGTGGGGTCTCCATATTCAGGGAGTCACTGGGATGCCTGTGAGCCCCTTGGATGCCTGAGTCTAGCAGGGACACGCGTCAGAACATGCGCAAACCCGGAGGGTTTCCACTGGTTTCCCTCAGCAAAGGGAAACTGCCTCTGCAGACAAGCTTTTGAGGAGAGGCCATCCCTTTTCACGCCCTGTTTTTCTGCCTTCCTTGTTCCTCTCCCCTTTATTACATTTAGATTCTTCTATCCACATGGCTTGCCCAGGAAGCCCAGGATAGGCCTCATGCAAGTGTGTCAAAATCTCCCACGCGCGTGGAAGCCGTCGCACGAGGGATGGTCAGCTTGAGACCTTCCAGTTGTCGATGGGCTGCAACCTTCATATTCGGCCATGCTGACTGGGGCTGATGGGTAGTGCAGTCCACGAAACACTGGAGAGTTTCACACCACCCACCTCTGCTTTACTTTCACTGTGCAAGCCAAAATATGATATCACTGTGTGTGTGTGTCTAGAGATCTAGACATACACACAAATACTGAGGAGGGGGGTGGTTAAACATATTTCTCAGTCTGGTAACATTTTTGGCTTGGCTTGGCTTAGGGCTGCTTCTAAAAAATACACAGAGGAGCTGCCCCTCCCAGCAAGCAAAGGGAAACAACTTAAGAACTTCTTCTGAATTCTGTTGTTTGCCCGTCTGGACCTCTTGTGTCGTCTTTGTTTGGCATGGTCTCGCCAGGGTTTGGGCCAGAGAAGGTTTTTCCATTGCCTGTCATGCAATCTAGCTAACTGGAGATGCTGTGGAAGGAATTGAAGACCTTCTGCTTGCAAAGCAGGGGATCTGGCGCCAAGCAGTGCGCCTTCTCCACTGGGACCTAAGCATCCCGCCGTGCACAGCTGTGCTTCCCATTCATGTTTCCCTCCTCCAGCAGCACCAGAGCAGTTTGATGCCTGCTCAGAAGATGGATTACCACAAGTCTTAAAAGGCAGGTGGGATTTTGATAGGTCACATCCCTTGGGTGCCGAAGCCCATGTCTTCTGGGCTCTCTTTCCATTGCAAGCCCAAAGAGAGGGTCTGGTTTGGAAACAGATGTGTCTGATACAGCATAGTGGCCTTTTGTGTTGAATTTGGGGCACGTGAATGCATGTCTCTCTCATCCCCCCCGCCATCCTCCCACGCCTGGCCCTCCTCCTGTATCCGGTCCCAAGCTAAAGTTGAACAGGCTAGCCAAGCGACATCCGACCTGTTTAGATTTAAGGTACCCATCCTGTGCATACTTGATATGAGAGTAGATGACACTGAAAACAGTGGGGACTTGTTTCTGAGTAAATACATACAGGTTTACATGAGTAGGGAAGAGTTAATCCATCCCGGCTTTATTTGGAAAGACTTGGCAATTAAGGACTGCTGTCTCCGCTTCCCAGGGGTTCCCTGACAATGCCCCACCACCACTTCCCGGGGATTCCCTGACAATGCCCCACCACCTCTTTGGGTAAGGGCACAAACGCATTCATTGCTTGTTAACCTAGATGGTGCTTTCCGGTTTGGGGCAATTCTTTTCTTCCGAGCATTTCTGTGTGTCAATCCTGTTTCTTTGCTTTGTGTTCTCTCCTGGCTCACCTTCTCTGCAAACTTGCTTTCTAAAAAGTAATTTTGGCTTTTTTTGACCTGCAGCCTGTAACATACGTGTTTTGTCTTGTTTTCTTGTGTTCGTTTCTGAGGATTGTACCATTTACTGGAGTGGGAATCACCTTTTATTACCCTCCCAGTGTGGGGGCACATTTGAGCCCGGCAGATTTACTGATCTCTAGCGTTACTGGGCTCTTTGGTTCCTGCATCAAGCAAGACAGAGCCATGGTGGGTGTGTCTGCTCTAGTGCAGGTTTGGAGGTGACCGTTCTAGACAGTGGCTAGTGCATGGAGCTTTTCAGGGCTTTGTCCCAGCTTCCTGAACGCTCTGTCCTGCCCCACACGCACTGAGGACGGCATCACGGAATAGCAAGGTGGGACCACCCACCACCTCAGGAGCATTCTTGGCTTCGTCGAATCACGCAGTTGGAAGGGGCTTAGCAGGCCATTGGGCCCAGCCGCCTGCTTAATGCGGGAATGTGTCTCCCAGCCAGATTCCAACCTGGCCTGAGCGTGCTTAGATGCCAAGACTGGGCGGGATCAGGCACTGCAGGCGATACACAAGAGAGAAGCCCCATCCACTGACCAGAGGGCCCCGTCAAGTGTTTACTGCCTCAAGTTCCACAGCACAAGGAGAGAATGTAGGGAATGTCAGGTGGACACGTGCCTGGCACCGAACCACTAGAGAAGTGGGGAATGGTCTTTCTCGAAACTCATCTAGGTGGGTCCTTCTTCAGGGGAACTTGCTTTAAAAGTCCTTTTGGTCTTGTCCAAGGGGCTAGATCAGCTTCCCAGCTGTGCTGGACTATGGCTCCCACCATCCCCAGCCAAGCTGAAGAACATGGGAGCTGTGGTCCGGCACTGCGGGTGGAGCTCTCCAGTTAGGCAGCTACAGAGGAGGAGAGACAGAAATCATGCCGGTTTTTCTACCTTGCTGCATTAAATATTTGTAGAACATAATGTCTGTGCTTTGAAATAAAAATACCAGCTATGCAAGGAGAGTCCAGGTGAATGGAAAAATCTGGGAAGAACCAGAGTGCCCCCTGGGTAGCTTGCTGTGGTGGGTGGAGTGGGCAATCTGCAGGCTGATTGAAGAGGCGCCGTTGAGCCAGATTGCACCCATAGTCTTCTGGTTGCAATGCAGTCTTCCCAACGAGGCACGTTCGGGTGGTCTTGGGGGTCAGCTCCCATCAGCTCCGGCCTTTGGGTGCCAGTGATCAGAAAAGCGGGGAGTTGTAGGGGGGTCCACACTGGGGAAGGCTGTCCACCAGCTTGAACGGCACTGGAAGACCTCTGGCTTCCCTGAGAAATATACGAGTGAAGGAATTCTTTGTCATTCTTTTCCACCTGCCTCTTTTCTCCTCTCTTTCCCATTTCTGGTGTATTTTGTGTGTTCTGGCTTCCCTGTCTTTCTCTCTTTCTCTCACTTTCCTCTGTCCCTTCTCCTACCTGGTCTTTCCTCTTTCCCCTTCAGGACTATGAGAGTAAACTCCAGGCCTTACAGAAGCAGGTTGAGACACGGTCCTTGGCTGCGGAGACCACAGAGGAGGAGGAGGAGGAGGAAGAGGAAGGTAAGTTCTGGGTATATCAGAAATGGTCTGGATCGGTCTCTGTGTGTGCTCTGATAGCGGAGCCTTCGTCCTCTTAGTAGTAGCAGGGCCCTGCTATGTCATTCAGTTTGAAATCAATAACCGCCAGGAACATTTCTGCATCAGTATTAAGGTCATTATAACTATTCTATTTATCCCCGCTCCTTTTTTCCATCATGGAATTAAAAGCAGCATCCCTTTCGTCACCTGTCCAGGCACTGACTGGACTCAGGCCAGGTTCACTGAGCTTCATCCCTTACATTGGACCCTGTAGCACATTTTATGGTCCTTAGCTAGGATTTAAGGGCACTTTCCCAAGGGAGAGGGAAGCTTCCCTCTTCTTGCGCGCGCGCGCGTGTGTGTGTGTAGGCATTTTTGCTAGTGTAGCTATTTGTGGACTGACTGAGGCTGTAATAATCTTTTTACATTCTTCTTTCCCTATTTCAAAGGGGCTCCTTAACTTTATAACTTCTCTCGCAAAAGGTCTAAGGCTGAACAATGGCTTTGGCTGAGAGTTGCTGCAGCCTCGTGAAGGAGGGGGCTTATATTTTTATTCCTTGTGGGTTTCACATTTACCAGAGGTTGGTGAGTCAGTTCCACAGACGTGAACTTGGGTCCCTAAAATTTCTGGGAATCTTCTAAGGATGAAAAACACTGGGATGATGGTGGTGGTGGTGGGAAGCTGGTGTGCTGCAAAGTAAAAACCTGCCGCCCGGTGCCATCTTGATAAATGTTGGCGTTCACCCATCATCTCAGCCTTATACTTGGGTTCTTGTGCAAGGGGATTTTCTTTTAGGGTCACCAGTTTGCCTTCCAGGAAATGAATGTGTCTTGCCTGGCTGTGCTGGCCACAGAAGCCATTTTGTGAACGAGCAAGCTTCACCTCCATGGTAGCCAGTCTGGGAGAGCACCCAAGACATTCAACATCCCAGACGTGCTTGGTGACCCATAAAGTATTGGGGACATCTGTGCTATAGATTCTGAACATATACGCAGTTAGATAGTCTGAGGGCGAGCCCGATGAGAAACAGCCGCTCCCCCGGTTGCTAGAGCGGTTTGCCTGAGCTGCGTCTGTCCTTCCTGCAGTGCCCTGGACTCAGCACGAGTATGAACTCGCCCAGTGGGCCTTCCGGAAATGGAAATTTCACCAGTTCACTTCCTTGAGAGATCAGCTGTGGGGGAATGCAGTCTACCTGAAAGAAGGGAATGCAATCAGTGTGGAGCTGAAAAAGAAGGTACAGGGGCTGTCCATGCATGTGGCTGGGTGTGACCCGGGGATTCAAACTCCTTGAGGAGCAATTTTGCCCAGCCATGAGCACTTCAAATTGGAGGGAAACACTTCAGATGCAGTGTTCCCTCCAGCGCCTTCAGGATCTCACACCTCTTTCCCTCCAGCTATCGATCGTTTGGTGCTTTCCCACTTTTTGTGCAGTTTTTCTTTCCTAAATCAAAAGGCTGAAATGCCTTTCTTAAGATTTAGTAAAAGCTTCACGCTAGAATTTGCTGGGATCCTGGCCTTATCCAAAGATGATAATCAGTCGAATTAATTAGTAAATAATTCGATTTATTTATTTAGTTAAAATTTTTGTGTGCCATCCCTTATGCCTTGGCATCGGGACGGCTCCCAATCCAAATATTGATTATTAATTACTTAAAATAAAATGATGTCTGGCTCAAGATAAGCTTCTGGTGTTCCCATGAGCCAGCAAGTCTCTAACATTGTGCTCAAATCCAAGCCTGGCCCCACAGTTCTCCTCTTGCATGTTTGTTTATCTCTTCCTCGCCCGCTTGGGCCTGGACTGAATGGCTCCTGTGGATTCCCACCCTCCAGGTGCAGTTCCAGTTCGTGCTGCTGACGGACACCCTCTACTCCCCGTTGCCTCCTGAGCTGCTGCCCCCTGAGGCGGAGAAGACCCGTGACAGCCACCGACCATTCCCCCGGACCGTGGTGGCCGTGGAAGTCCAGGATCTGAAAAACGGCGCCACTCATTACTGGTCTCTCGAGAAACTCAAGTACGCCATGGAACCAAGTGGCTGCATTTCAGTGGCCGGACTAAGAAATGTGTTACTCCTCCAAAATGGCTAGTCGCTCGCCTTAGACTTCCAGAGCAGAACAGCCAGACTGAGCCTCAACCCCTGCACTTCGCCAGGAAGCCCCCTGCCTGGTCTTGGGCCAACTGCACACCGTCTTAGCAACAGCCTACCATGCAGGGGTGTTGTGTGTGCTCCCCAGAACTCCGCCTTCCTCAAGCTGCCTTTCGGCAGCGCTGTGGGACTGTGGGCAGTGCTGGCTGGGAAGGATGGGCCCCTTCCCATCAGGCCGTTGAGAGTGTCGGCCTGCTGAGCCCCAGAGAAAAGTTTCCCAGCCTGCACAATGTGCATTACACTCCTTCCCCTGCCTGCACGCATACACCGCAGCCTCCCGGCCGCATGGCGTCTCCCCCTCCCCAGGCATTTTTACAAGGTACTGTTGCTGCTCCCACATTTGCTGCAGCAACAGCGGCCACAGTGGCAGGAAAGGGTGTGATTGTCCCCCCGGCTGTGCAGCTCTGCTTCCCCGTGAGACGTGTGCTGCGAAACTTCCACTCTTCTGCTGCCGCCTTGCAGAATTCCGGTGGTAAAACCAGAGCCTGGCTGCAGCACATGGGGGATTGGGAAGGCAGCACAAAAAAGCCGGTTGAAGCACTAGGTTCTTTGTTGCACGGTTGAGCGGGTGACGGGCAGAGTGGGAGGGCTGCTCTTTCCGCCCCCTCTCATGGGCTCAGCAACAATGGACAGCAGGTAGCAGGAGGGAGGGGGCCCTCTGCTGGAGCCATCTCTCTCCCTCTCCCTCCCTCCCTCTCTCTCTCTCTCTCTCATATCTATCTATGTCTATCTATTTAGAATCTTTGTATGCCGTCCCATCGCTTATAGCCTCGGGATGGCTCACATAAATAAATAAACATGATACATAAAAAATAATACAATTAAAAACCCCAGAATCACCCTGGCTGCAAAATTAAAACCTATAAGTATTATTAAGAGTTGTTAAAATAGCGTTTAAATAAAAAGGTCTTAGCCTAGCGCCGAAAAACAAATAACGACGGGCACCAGGCAGACCTCTCGGGGAAGCGCATTCCATAGATGGGGCGCCACCGCAGAGAAATATCTAGGCACTACTGGGGGGGGGTCCCCTACTGCTGCTGCATCTCCCTCTGTTTAAAGCAGTGGCACACATTTTAAACCAGTCCCGGCTCTGCACCAACCTTTGGGCATTTTCTTTTCTGCCTCCCAGGCAGAGGCTGGAGCTGATGCGCGAGATGTATGACCGAGCAGGAGAAATGGCCTCCAACACACAGGAGGAGAACGAGAGCACGATGACCGGGAGCGACCCGTTCTACGATCGATTCCATTGGTTCAAGCTGGTCGGGAGGTAGGTGATCACACACCCAGACCTGCCCATTCACATTATTGTTACAAGGTGGTGAAAGAAACATCATGGGAAGCACCTGGAAGCGTCTCTGGTTTTGTCGAGCTCAGTTTTTTCCCTGTCCAAAATGCTACTTGGTAACACAAAATGAGACAGGTTGTGACGACAGCGTTCTCTCTGCACTGTTGCTCACTTTCAGAGCAACGCTTTCATGCCATGGGTCAGTCTAAAAATGACAACAACAATGACAACAAGAATAAGCAAAAGGGACCTCAGAAGTTTGCAGGTCCACGAAAAAATGAACCTTATGTGTGTGTTCCGGGGTTCACTGAGATACTTTATTAGTTTCTTGTTTAATGTTTTTAAATAAGTTTTATTATTATTATTTTCTACAAACTAAAAACATCAATCATCAAAGACATCAGACCTACTGGGTCAGCCCCCCATATTTTTTTTAATAACAATCCATAGACATATTCAAATTTATGCATAGTCCCGTTTCTCTAGCCAATAATAGAAAGAGTTCCACATTTCATAGAAATATGTGTCCTCTTTCTCCTTCAGAGACAAAGTCAGCCTGTCCATTTCAGCATAATCCAGGATCTTTTTAAAAATCAGTTCATCAGTAGGTGGTTCTTCACTCCTCCAGTGTTGGGCAAATACAGTACAATTACATGTAGAATCAGATACGTTGCGTGTTTGTCAACATCATCAGACACAATGCCTAATAAAAAGACTTCAGGTTTAAATATTAAAGATTTTTGTAACATTTACACAATCCATTTATGTATTTTAGCCCATAGTTTCTTGTTTAATGTGAACTTACCTAATATCACCCTTTCAAACTAATGTGTGAACCGAAATTTCACTATTCTTTGAAATTTGCACTGGAGTTTTCCCAATTAAAAAAAAAAAAAAAAACAAACCGTTTAGTTCTTTGTATTAGGGAAAAGTACACACAAAATACATATACATTCATGAAAACTACATTGAAAAAGGTATAATGTTGGTAAACTTAGTATGTATTTTAGGTAATATTTAGTACCAAATGTGTAAGAATTTGCATGAGAACTTTTAAAGAATAAATTATCATGAAGTTCCAGATGCACTGAAGTGAAGCTTAGAAGCATTCTATTTCAGGGGAAGCCAAATTTTAGGTTGGAAAAATAAGACACTGAAACTGAGAGATGCAGCCGTTTTCAGTTGGCATATCACCCTCCCTTGAGTCTGCAGGCACAAGCGGGAACTTGTCTCTGCAAAAGGGTTGACTTCCAGCCACCTTTACGTTTGTTTCTTCAGAAATGATCCAGCGCTGTAAAGAATGCTGGGGCCTTCTCCCTTTTGAAACTCATGCATGAAAGTGGAGCGAAACAGATCAAGTGTTATGCATAATCTCTGGAGTAGAGGAAGATTTGGGAGGGTCTCCGGAGAGAGAACCTCTGACCTGTCACTGTGTCACCTCCTTTCCCTGGGACTGACTGGCATCCAGTATTTTGTTCCCCTAACCAGCAAATGGTTCCAGTGGCGGGGATGCAAACAGCTCTGGGTTTGTGTTGTGTGTTTCTTTTCCGTTGCACAGCAGCTGCTTGCACGTTGTGACCACCTGTGCCTTTACCAAAGGAAGGACGGGGAATCTGTTAGGAATGGGTTTGTGGAGCTTCCAGCATTGCCCCTGTTTCCCTACGTACTGATCTCCTTTTTGCGGAGTGAAGTTGGTGGAAGTCTAGACCTCACTTCAGGTTGTCTTTGCCAGGAGAATTCTTGTCTTGAAGGCTTGCCACCCAGACCTCCTCCCCTCTTTGCATGTAGTCAGCTAGCACATCGTGAAGAGGGGTTCTCCGTAGCCTTCGCCCCTATTATTCTAGCTTAGTGCATGAAGTGGGGCTTTCTTAATTTAATGGAGAACATTTGAAAATGACATGATGGCCCCTCTGCTCAGGTAGTACAGTACAGAATTCTGTTGCTTCTGTCTCACAGCCCTCCCCAATCTGGTGCTTAATTACAACTCCCATCATTTCCAGCTAGCATAGGAATAATGGGGGTTGCAGTCCAACATGTCTGGACGGTACCATGTGGGGCAGGCTGGTCTGAAAGCCTCCTGCTGTTGAAAACCTCCAGATATTCTTTTTAAGCCACTGGAAATTGGAGCTGCTGGTAAAAAGCTGAATACCATGACGTGAAAATAGCCATGTGTATCGGCATATGCGAGCCAAGGTGGCTCTGTAGTCTGTTTCTTTTGCTTCACCCTGAAACCTTGCTTCTACTCTGCCTGATTGTCTTCATCTGCTCCTTCCACCCATGTCTCCTTTTGCCACCCCTCCCCCAATCCCCCCCCAAACTCCAAATGCTCCAAGGCTTTTCCTTGTGCCTTGATTCTGGTGAATCAAACTGGGCTCAGGTATGGACTCTGTGGTCGAATGAAGCTACCCCTTTCCTTTCTCTCTCCCTGCCCCCTCGTGCTCCCCTTTGCCTGCGTTAATCAACGTGTTCCGTTCACCAATATATCTAGCTCCCCCATTTTCCACGGCTGTGTGAACGAGCGCCTGGCAGACCGCACGCCCTCCCCCACTTTCTCCACGGCCGACTCCGACATCACTGAGCTGGCCGACGAGCAGCAGGATGAGATGGAGGACTTTGATGACGAAGCCTTTGTGGATGATACCGGCTCCGACGCTGGGACCGAGGAGGGATCGGACCTCTTCAATGATGGGCAGGACCCGTTTTACGACCGGTCCCCTTGGTTCATTTTAGTGGGAAGGTTGGTGAGGCTGACTGTAAGAATGGCCAACAGGGAATAAATAACTCTTGCCGTAGGTGGGCAGCCTCTGGCTCTCTTGACATTTTAGCTTGCAGCTCCCTTCAGCCCTTACCAGCTGTGAGTCCAAGTCAGCAGCTGTGCTAACTGGTGCCGACTGGAACGGTAGGCCTAGCACGGCAGGGCCACGAGCTGGTCACACCTGCCGTAGGCAGTGGGCCTTGTCTGACCGCCGACCTTCCACCATCCTGTGCACAGGCGCAGAAAGCTAAGCTGGATTCCAAACTCCTGCCACTCTCCGCTTTTAATATCTCTGGGTTTATAGGTGACACGGTTCTTAGGCCACCTTGGCTGTGAAGGTGTGGATAATGCTTGGTGAAATCCTCAGAAAGCGCAGCAGCACCGAGGAATTAAAGTGGTTTGCAGGAAAAGCCGCAGCCCTCTGCCACTGCTTCAAGCAGACTGCAGCATATGCTGCCTGAGACATCTCCCTTGGTGTGCCGGGTGACCATTCTTACCCTGTTCTGTTGCCCCTTGATGCTTTCAGGGGAAGGCAGCAGGTTTAGCTGGTAGTTAGAACAAGACACGAAGAACACGGGACCCTGGATAGCTCCAGGGTGGCTGGGACTGTCTCCCACTGGGACAGTAGGAGGGTGTTGCTTCAGCCAGGAGTGAAAGTCAGCTCAGTACTTCAGGAGGAGGTACCTGGAGGAGCCGACTGGACTGTCGAGAGGCCTTCCCCCGATTCTGTGGCCTGAGACTTCTGCTAGGTTGGTGAGATGGAGGTTCTGCCAGGGACATTCCCTGAGCCGGAGGACGATGGTCAGGCCTTGCCTCCTGTCCCAAATGTCCTGATGACTGGCCACAGAGGGAGCAGCTCACGCCTGGCCCTCAGAATCGTGTGCTGCACGCTGTCAGGTCCAAGGGCAGTCCCCTCCCCGAGGCTTTATTTTCAAATTCCACTCTGACCCAAAAGACGAGAGAGCCTGCAGAGCACCCAGCGGCTCGAGCTCATTGCAGCTGTGCCGAGATGCTTCAGTTTGTGCATCCATTGCCCTCTTGTGGCCCAGAGGGGAAGCGCTAGTCCCTGTGGCCGCTTCCTTTGGCATGCTGGGCTTGTCGCGAGAGCTGGATGTGCTTGGCCCGCAGAAGGGGAGACGGGAAAAGGGGGGGGGCAGGAGGCAGCGCAGCGCAGCATTTTCTCAGACTCTCTGCCCTGATGTTGTGTTTATCTAAAGGGGGGGAATAACCCGCCACGACCATTCTTTGCGTTCTGTTTCCATTGTGCTTTGGTAGAAGTCTTCACATTACACTTTATTTCTAGTCCTTTTTTCTTTTGTGTGTGGCTCTTCTGCTTTCCCTCACCAGACTTTCTGCTAATGTACCACTCCCCCTTTTTCAGTCTGCTGTCTGCTCTTTCGAGGCATTGAACTAATAGGCAGAAAGGGAGCGTGTCTTCCCTCACGCCGGGTGTGAATGATCAGAGCCCTTCGCTGCTGCAAGATGCGGCGATAGCCGTTGGCTCGTGTGCAAAAGCAGGGCAATTAGTTTGCCTCAGTGGCTGTTTACTCTGCCGGCGAAATTAGATTTCCTCGTCTGGGGGCAGCTTGAGGTTGGATCCCGCATGATTCACCTTCTGTCCATCCTGTCACTGCAGACCAGACTGCCGTGGGTGATGTAGGGATGGTTGCAGTGGCTGTGCGGGAGACCTCAAAATGTGCAGGGGGTCAGCTGCTCGGGTGCGTAGCGTCGTTCGTCGCCACACACGGTTGCTCAATGCCTCATCCTTCCAGCTTCCAGCCATCTTAGTTGCAACGGGCTTACTGGGTTGTAGGCAAAGCGTGGAAAGAAGGGGCATATCGACAGGCTAAACAGCGTCCCAAAGTTTGTGCGGGTCAAACGTAACTCTAGGGAGTAAAAGCATGAGGGGCCAAGCCCCTTCCCTGAACGGCGTGCTGAGGACCGAGCACCCGGCGGCCACCGAGCACTGGGTGTTATTTGTGGGGTGAGGAAGCAGAAGCGTGCAACGGGAAGGGAGTCTTCTGGAAGAGGGCATGGCTTGCTGGGGCGTCACCACTCCTGCTCCCCGCCCGCCCCCCCGGTATGGCCAGAGAAGGGGCCAGCGGAGCACACTGGTGGAAAGCAGGAACAGCTCGTGAAGGCTCCGGCCAGTTGGCTCCAGCCGGCCCCTGGCCATGCTGACCCTTGCTGCTGGCCCAGGCGCCTGTCTCTGATTCTCCCTGCAAGGGCTGAGTTAGAAACATAGAAACAGAGCGAGTCAGAAGGGGCCTCCCGGGCCTTCTAGTCTGACCTCTGGCACCAGCCGGCTCCGCTCACGACGTGCCCACCATGTGCATGTCCAGCCTGTCCTTGAACACCCGCACCGATGGGGCCTCCACGACCTCTCGTGGAAGCCCATTCCACACCCTCGGGGTCCTAACTGTCAGGAAGATAGAAACATAGAATGGCGCTGTCCCCGGAAGAGGGCATCTGGATGTGTGAGCATCCCCGGGTGCCACCTGTGCTGCTGTGGACCAAAGGCAGGGAGGGGGCAGTGCTCTTGGGAGCAGCACCATGGCCCAGGAAGTTCCCATCTCAGGGCTGGGATTGGCTGGGCAAAGGCAGGGGTGGGGTCACTTGTGGGGGAAGCAAATGAGTGGGAGCATCCCGCTGTTGCAAGGAGTAAGGCTACCTGTTGTCCTTGAGAAATTGCAGGTGCATCCTTCTTTTCTGAGTGGATGCATGAGCCCAACTCATGATTCAAGTGATGGCCCTGCAAATGTTTGGGAAATCCTGTCTTAGATTGTGAAACTGTCTGCTGGATGCAGTTTTTAATGAAGTTAATGGTGAGGAGACTTAATTTGCAGCTTGTTCTGTAGGTGTATGTTTCAAAGCTTGCATTTATTTATTAGTGGTCCAATTATAGCTTCTCCCGGAATCTCATATGCAGTAAACTCTTTGATTCCACTGGGAAGGAAAAGGAAGCATTGGGTTTATAATGGAGTCTTAAATGTAATAGAAAGGTTTCTTTTCTAAAAACGGACAAAAAGGTTACAACTTCATTTTTTCTTCCCAGCACCATCCGTATTTGCATCTCTTCTGAGCAGACTGAAAAAAGGAAGCAGATGCTCATGGATTTATTCCAGTGCTGAGTTGCAGCTTCTTATGTTTCTGTTTTCATTTTGTAGCTGTTGCTAGCGCTTTATTAATCTTTTCCTTTCTGTTTGATTTGTACTGCCATTTTGTCAACATTTTTGCTGTATGTATATATTTAGATATTTTTAATCATCCGAGCTTGCGTTTTACACCATTCACCTTCTCTTCATTCCAGGAAATTCCCCCCTAGCATGGCATGGGGCACAGGAGGGACGGATAAATGCAGCCTTGCAAACATAGAAACATAGAAACAGAGCGAGTCAGAAGGGGCCTCCCAGTCTGACCTCTGGCACCAGCCGGCTCCGCTCACGACATGCCCACCATGTGCATGTCCAGCCTGTCCTTGAACACCCGCACCGATGGGGCCTCAACGACCTCCCGTGGGAGCCCATTCCACACTCGGGGTCCTAACTGTCAGGAAATGCTTCCTGGCATCTAAATGGAACCAAACGAGTCCTGCCGATCACTAGTTCACAATATGCTTGTCTTTTTCTCAGCCTGCCTGGCCATGTGTGGCTGCTTACCCATTTGTTGCATAAGTGGCCCCTTCCTTTCTTCTGCCTCAGCCATAGTAAAAGCAGGACTTGGGGGCACCCCTGGAAATTAAAATGCCGCTTCCCCTGCAGAGATTGAAGCCCTTTGGGAAGAGTCTAAGTCTACCAAGTGCAGAGTTCAAGCTTGCTGCTACCAGTTCTATCAAAATGGGACAGTTCCAGGCTAACAGTGCCTTCAAAAGGAAAGATCCTTATTCTTCCAGGGAATGTAGGTGATGCTTGGTACATCGCTTCTGAGTGTAAGCAGCATCAGTTAAACCTTGCACGGAAAAATTCCAAATTCCAAGTTCTCTTTTCAGACCATTTCCGCCCATTCAGAATACAGTGTGAAGGAAAACGAAAACTCTGGTCCGTAACAACCTTCGCACTGTACTTAAGGTTTTTAAAAGCCTTCTTCGTGTAGACCAGAGACAAGTTTGCAACGCTTGTAATTTGCTCTGAAAGGATCACGCTGATAGCTGTGTCCCGTTCCAGTACTGACCTTTGATAAAACAACATCATGACATCTTAAAACTTGTGGCCGGCTGAGGTTTTTATGCATTGGAACAACCTCATAGCCGTGAGCTGTACAGGCCAGTGCTGGGATTGGTTCTGCAAGACGACATCAGGCCCAAAATGTGTAGTATTGTGCCTCTTGAGGGAGCTAAGCACAATCCTGTTTTACAGGCGTCCATCTAATGTTTGCATTTGTTTGTGATCTCCTCTCCCCCAACCCCCCCAGGGCATTTGTATACCTGAGCAATCTCCTCTATCCAGTCCCGCTCATCCACCGAGTTGCCGTGGTCAGCGAGAAAGGGGAAGTACGTGGATTCCTGCGTGTGGCAGTCCAAGCCATCGCCGGTAAGGGTTTGCATCTGCAGTTGGGCCTCCTTCATCTAGTCGTCATGCCAACGTTCCCTGACTTGGTGCCCTTCAGATGTGTTTGAAGACCATTTCCAGCATTTCTGGCCATTTGTCATGGGAGCTGGACACCCAGGAGATCTGGAGGACACCATTCCGGGGCAGGCTGCCTCGCGTCAGGGGTCTCTGACTCTTTTGGGCTGCAGCGCATACGTGGCATTTTGAGGTAGTATCACAGATGGTCTCACAAAACAGCTCCTGTGGGGAGTTTGCCTGTTCAGGAAAGCGTGGACAAGTCTGGTCTGAAAAGATTCATTTTTGAGGAGGAAAACCCGTGAGACTAAGAGGAAAGTAACTCATCCAAGAAGCTGCGGCAGGGCTGCGAGTCTGAGCTGCGAAACGTAGAATCATTCCTTTAAACAGAAATGAAGATGGTGCTGGAGAGAAGCGTTCTAGGTTGCAATATGCCAGCTTCCAGTCAACCTTTCTTAGCTTGAAAAGCTTGTAATAAGTGAAATAAACAGTGCTCAGTAGGTGATTCGGTCTGCTGCTGATCTCTGCGTGGGTCAGCACTCCCCTTTATCTGCAGTGCTTCTGCCATCCTACATTTTCCTGCTCCCGTCCACCGCTCCCCAAATGTACACCTTGGAGGAGAGACAGCACAGGTATTTGCCAGGTATTAAGGACGCTGACACAAGCACATGACGGGACAGAGGTACAGGGAATCCCCTTCTTGGCTTTCCACCTGAGCAGCTCATCCACCGGTTAGACACCTCTTGGATCCAAACTTGGTCATGCTCAGAGTAATCCGGGGACGCCGAATCTCTTTCAGCTCAAATGTCAAAGACAGGCATTTTAACATCTTGGAATGGGGTGAACACAGGGAAAAACTGGGGAACCACTGGTGATCAGCAGCAAGAAGAAAGTGGCTGGGGCGGGGAAAGGGGCTTTGGCCCCAAGCCTGAGGCTCAGTCTGACCAGAGTAAACATGCTGGAGTTGAGGCGATCCCGAGAACCTGTTACACAGATTGTCAGTGGGTGTGCTCTGAGTATGAATCACTTTGGATCCACCCAGTAGTCGCATCCCCCCACATCCCTCCTTGCACCAGCCTCTGGCAAGATCTAAGGAAAAAGGGGGGGTGCCTCGCTCAGGTGTAGAAGTCAGCTGAAGTCAGTAGTACAATGATGGTTTGTTTTAGCTTAAGGATAGCTTCAATTTGTTTGAAATCTGTTTTCTCACTCATCTGAATACTGTATCCTTTCTTTTTTGCCTAGCTGATGAAGAAGCCCCTGACTATGGATCCGGTGTCCGACAGTCTGGCACAGCTAAAATTTCATTTGACAATGAGTATTTTCACAAGGTAAATGCGTGTTCTGCTTTCTCCTTTATTTAAAATGACTTTTGTAGGAAAAAGGCAGAAGGCTTAACTCAGCCCTCCAGCTGAGCTTTCAGCTCAACTGGCTTTCAACTCCCATCGGCTCCAGCCAGCATAGTCAAAAGGCAAACATGCTAAGTATTGTGGAGGACACCCGATTGGGAATAACTTTATTTATTTATTTAGCAAGCTTCTATGCCGCCCCATTCGCCGAAGCCTCGGGGCGGCTCACAACCATAAATAAACATTAACCATATAAAACAATATAATTGGAGATGTCCTGGCCCAAGATATAAAACCAATAAATAACGTTAACAATTAAAATGACGTTTAAATAAAAAGGTCTTGGCCTGGCGCTGAAAAGCAAATAACGACGGTGCCAGGCAGACCTCCCTGGGGAGCGCATTCCATAGAACTTGTAGCTTACCCTTTTTTGTTTGGCTTTTAGAGCAACTTTTCTTCAGTTGCAATGACCCGTTCTGGATTGTCCTTGGAGGAACTAAGAATTGTGGAAGGGCAGGGACAGAGCTCAGAGGTCAGCACACCTCCTGAGGAAATCAACAGAATGAACGACCTGGGTAAGGAAACAAGATGTGACTGATGGGGTCATTTAATGCAGGAGGGGGTGATGTCATCTCGGGAAACCCGAAAAGAATTCCAATGGCTCCGTGTAGAAATGTCTCCAAGATACTGGATCGGATCCCCTGGCACCTCATGGGGCAGCCTTCCCCCCTTTTTTCCAGATTTGAAGTCTGGCACACTGTTGGATGGCAAGATGGCCATGGAAGGCTTTACCGAAGAGGTTGGCGACCACCTGAAACTGGGGAGTGTATTCACCTTCCGTGTGACAGTACTGCAAGCCAGCGGGATCCTCCCGGAATACGCGGATATCTTCTGCCAGTTCAAGTAGGCATCTGTCCTGTGGCACAACTAGGGATGGATGAGTCTGCTCCCCAGCATGTACATTTTTGATCACTTAACCTCTTTCTGTCTTGGATGTGAAGAAATTGGCAGAGTAGGAAGCATTCTGATCAAAAGTGCCACTTATTCCCTTACTATAAGCCTATAGGTGGCCCAGGAGTCTAATCCCCACCCTGGCTTCCTGCAGGTGTGTTGGCTTGGGGTGACGTGCCACGTACCTGGAGGGCTCCGGATGGGGTGGGGGGAAGCTGTCCTGTAGCCTTTTGATAGGGATGGCGTTGAGGGCAGAACCGTTCATGCTTGACTGCTTTCTTCTTGTCTTCCCAGTTTTCTGCATCGACACGATGAAGCTTTCTCTACTGAACCTCTTAAGAACAATGGCCGAGGGACACCTCTTGGTTTTTATCACGTCCAGAACGTAAGTGGAATTTGGGCAGCCACTGAGGGACCTCCTAGAGTGGCTCTGTGTTGGGGAGGGAGGGCTACTGCCTCATAGGACCTGTAGTAGCCCAGCTTGGATGACGGGAGGTGGGCTCTGTCTTTGCATGCCAATGCTTTTGCTAGATTGGGCATCATCAGCTTGCCCACATGGAAGCAAGTCCCCCATATCTTCTGGGAAGGTTCTGAGGACTGGACAGAGAGATGTCAGTTGTTTTATCTGGCCGCTTGGATGCCCTGTTTGTTGCCTCTTCCCACAGATTTCTGTGGAAGTGACAGAATCCTTTGTAGAATACATCAAGACGAAGCCTATCGTGTTTGAAGTCTTCGGGCACTATCAGCAGCATCCGCTCCACCTGCAAGGGCAGGATATCCACAGGTACCTGCATACGGATGTTATTCATTTCCAAGGGAAGGGTGGTGGTGAGGAGAAAGGCATAGCCTTGGCCTGCAAGAAGTGCTCGAGAGGCAGTCACCTAGCCGGCACCGACACCTGTCTCAGTCCTCCACCTTTTCTTCCTCCATTCTCGCATCTCTGCTCATCCTCTGCAGCCTTAGGTGGCCCTTTAAGGTTGAAACAAAGCAAAGCAACCTTCATACACTGCTGCTGGTGTGTCTTTTTAAACTTGGTGTTTGCATGCTCAGTTCTGGTTCTCGCTCTTCTAGAAAGAGGGGGCTAGGAGAGAGAGGCATGGTGGTTACCACCATAGGGGAGTAGCAGATAGATTGGCTAGAACAAGACTTTTTTGTAGCCGCTGTGGGATTCGATTAAGGGGTCAACCCCATGCTTGCTTAGCTAGGATGGCATCCTGCTACTCCCAGCTTTCCGTTGCCCGGCTGTTTGGGAAATGCTTGAAATGGTAGGACTTGTTCCTGCCTAAATGTGCACAGGATTGCTCTGTAAGTTAATATCTGTTCAATCAATATTTGTATGTGTGCCAAACGTAGCCCCGGAATTGATGAACAGTAGGCTAACACTGTTAGACCTCATTATTGTCATCTGTCTCTAGCTAGCTTTATAAATCGCACCAGAAGTGATCCTGCAGGGAACTCCAAAGGCTAACTGCCTCCTCTCTTTGCAGCCCCCCGCAGCCGTCCCGGCGCTACTTCCCTCCTCCTATGCCCCTCTCAAAGCCTGGTAAGAACAACTTTGCACCGTTTTTCTCTGTCATACAGAAAATATAATTAGTGGAGAAGGAAGAGCCAATGAATCCATTTTTCCGAGGCAGTCCTACCTTAGTTTAAAAAAAAAAAAAAAACCTTGTCCTGCAAAAACACTGCGTAGCCCATGTGCAATTACTTTGGTCTGCTTGGCCTCAGGGTGGGGGTGGTGGGGAAGTCAGCTTTGTGGCCCCTTTCCTTGGGAGCACCTGTTTGCAGCTTGGGGAGTTCCCTTACAGCTCATGCCAAAGCACGCAGTCTCTCTGCAGAGCAGAGGGGCCAGGTGCGGGGTTGCAGCCACCCCATTCATAGCCCGTCACACATCCTGCTCTGAACTGCCCTCGGGAGCCTTCTCCCTCTGATTCACAAACTGTTCTGTTCTCTGTAACACCCACTGTCCCGAGAGTGCTTTGATTTTCTTTGTTTACTTTGCAATGGTGCATGTTGAATTTTTCTGTTCTTCCGCTCCACCCCTCTTCTTTTCTCCTCCTCCTCCTGTCCTGCCCAATCTCCATGGCCTCTCCCTTTTCCAATTTCTCCTCTTCTCTTGCCATCACCTGGTTGTCACATCCTTTCCCCCACCACAACCCTGCTTCCCCCATGTTCCCCCTCCCACCACCTTTTCCAGACCATGAGAGAAAAATTGAGCTGATCAGGTATCTCATGTCTGGCTATGTAAACGTGCATGTGCTGGACACGTTCTCCGAGCACGCCAGCGTGCTTGCATCCTCTGCTGTGGCAGCTTTCCAGGATGGGGCCGACCAGCTGCCTCCGTTCCTCTTTCTGCCCATTCCCAGCTGTCAGACCGAGCGATTCCCCAAGCGAGATGGTCAGTAGCCACATTCCATCTGTGGTAGATGTAGGAGCAGCTCTTTCCACCCCTTCCCCAGACCTCAACCTTGGCCTTTTGCATCCAACACTGACCAGGCAGTGGACCTGGAGTTTAGATAACCTTATCTTCAGGAAGCAAACCAGGAAGTCTTCAGTTAATGACCAGGAAGTATCCAGCACTGATGATGCCGATGGATATAGCCTTTGTATTGGCAGCGTGGTGCTCACCTACCAGAGAAGCTGGCCCAAGCTAGTCGCCTCACTTTGCGCAAGCACTCATTCAGGCTGGCTCTGATTTCTGCTAGCGAATGCTCGTTTCTTGGTGCACAGGCATTGGTTTCCTCGAGTGCAATGTTGCTACCATGATACTGCCCTTTGGTTTCCATTTCGGCAAACAGGGAGACTGTGGTTAACAAATGTAGAGCAACCCAGGATATGAAGCGTTGCATCGCAGTCGGTCTGGGGAAGTCATAATTAAATGAAAGACCTCCTGGTTTGTTTGCCAGCTTGTGCAAAGGGGCTGCATATGTCTCATTAAGCCCAAAGAAAATCTTTCAAATACAGTCGCTACCTGTGTTATGATTTTCTAGAGAACAGTGTGGTTCTAGGAAAGGCCAGGGTTGGGCAGCTTCCAGGTCCTCCTATGACTTTTTGGTAGTCTTGTGGTAGAGTTTTCTGCATTGTGCAAGGCTGTATTAGAACCACTAGTATTTTCACTTTTAAAATATTTTTTTTGTGGCTGTGCAAATGAAGCCACATGGTGGCTTAAGGGTGGAACACAGAAGGGGCAGATGAGAGGTGACCGAGAAAGCTGGCCTAGTTCCCCCTGTTCTCCCCCTGCAACACATTATAAAGGGTGCTTAGGTGGGTGGCCATCAGCTACGCTCCCCAGCAAGATCCTTCCACAGTTCTTCTTGCCCCTTCTCCGAGTTTCCTCCATTTGGGCTGAAAGTGAAAGAGACAGGTCCAAAATAAGCCTATTTTAGCCCAGATCTCCATCTGCTGCCAGCTCAACTTTGGGAGAAACGTTTCCGCCTTTCAGAGGGGAGAGGAAACTTGCACATCTGGGCAGCTGCCAAGTGATTGGGCCATCGGGGGGCAGACCCAGCAGCAGGGGGCCTGGCCATCCTGGAAACCTGAATTAGGGTTTAGGACGCCACATGAGCCTGAGGTTCCTCACCCCTGCTCTGAAGTTCTCAGCGATCCAGAGCTGCCAGAGGTCAACTCTGAACGCCAAATTTCAAAGACGTGCTTCAGCTAAAAGGTGCTGCATGTCCCATCTTCCAAAGAGTGTGGTGTTGAGGAGATTTGTTCCCCATACAATTCCATCCTGTCCCCGAAAGCCAGCTGTTTGTTGCGGTTCTGGTGGTCCACAGAAGTACCCAAGGCTGCCCCTGCCCAGCAGGCACATTGCCGCCCTCTCTGCACCAGCCTCGGCCTGGCAGCCCCTCTTCTGAGCGGCGGCGGCAGCACCCGCTGGCCGTGACGAGCGTCTGGGCGTAGTGGCTGCCACTGCTGTGCTGGGAGGTCAGCGATTCCCGCTCCCCTGAAGCCGCGTGTTTCTCCATTCTTCACGTTGCACTTGCTCCTCCTGCTTAAAACCTGGCCACACCTGCACGGACAATTTTGGCTCAGTCCTTTTGTTGTGAAGGTGCACGACTGTAGGTGTGTACAGTAGATGCTGCTTCACCCTCTTTCTCCCAAGTTCAGTCTCACGCATACCCCCATTTGATTTGATTTGATTTGATTTGATTTGATTTGATTTGATTTGATTTAAGGGATTTTCAAGCCACTTTGCAAGACTGATGGAAGGAAGTCTTCTGTGGGCAGGATAGAAAAGTTCATTCGTGGCTTCCTGCCCATCACTCGAAGGCCACAAGGGGCTGTTTCATGAGCTTAAACGGAGGGCTGGCTAGATGGCTACGAGCTCTTTCTGTGAACAGAAGGGGACCTCGCCTTGCTGAATCCAGTCAGGTTCTGCTGCCGTCCACTGGCTGGGCTAATCTGGCACTGCGGCCCGGTGGACACCTCCGTAATCAGATGGTCTCAGCCTTGCAGCCCCTCCTAGGTCATTTAAAGTGTGTGTGTGGTGTGTGGCTATGAAAGCGTGGCCTTTCAGCAGTGCCCTTGCTGGCCGAAGCTGATGGGAATGGTAGTCCCACAGCCTGAGGGCCATCGGTTACCGACGCTTCTTTTGACCCTATCTCGTGAGCGTCTGCAGACTTCCTCCTTTTCCCTTCGTGCATCTTGTGTCTGCAAGTCCGCCTTTTCTCTTCCAGTCCCCGCGACCAAGCTCAACACGGTGAGCAAGCACAGCGTAGGGCAGAGCATGATCAAGTACGACCTCCTCGTCTGGTTCGAGATCAGTGAGTTGGAGCCAACTGGAGAGTGAGTCCCGCCTTGCCTGGCGTCTCTTGGGCAGCCAGTGTTGCCCAGGATCTTGGGGGGGTCCCATCCCACGGAAATCACAAGGAAGCAGATCTTGGTTAAATGTCAGGCCAAGCCTCCCTCGTGGTAGGGCCTCTTGGCGCGTGGGACCAGTCTGCCTCAGGAGCTGGTGGACTATTGCTCTCTGGGGGTATTTCAGCCCAGGCTGGCCCCTCATCTGTGAAAGATGCTGTTGTTGGAGGAGTCCCGCTCTGAGCAGGGTCACGCCACAAAGTGCCTTCCAGATCTTTTGTTCTTTGATTGCCATCTCCTTTCCACCACAAAAGACGAGGTTTTGGCACTTGGTTTGCTCATCTCTGTGACTTTCAAAGCCAGAATGTGTGAAATAAAGGAAGGTGCATTTGGCTGAGTTTGCAGAATTCAGACAAGTCACGGGGTTTGGTTTCCTGCCATGCAGAATTTTGGTTGGTTTTAGTGCAAAGTAGTTGCAGACAGGTACATCGGCGTTCACCATATTTTGGAAGCCTTCCGCCTCCTAGCAGATGTGCCAGGAGGGTAGCTAAGGCTTCTTCCTTCACAGATGGTGTTCCCTTAGATTTGGGGTATACATGGGTTGTCCTGTTTTGATCAGGGTGCTGTTGGAGGCTTTGGGTGGTGGGTTCATTAAATGCCCTTTGATTACTTGACTGCCTTTCCCCCCCTCTAATCGGAGCTTCATGCCTTTCTCTCCCATATAGATACATTCCTGCTGTTGTTGACCACACTGCAGGGCTACCTTGCCAGGGAACATTTCTCCTTCACCAGGTATTGTGACACTCAGATGGAGCTTCTGCTAAATTTCCAGGTGTGCTGTCTGTAAGTGGAAAGGCGCCTCACCTGGGTGAATTCTCATCCATTGGGTGGTAGCGCTTGCTGCTGGTGGAATTCCACTGTAATGATGTGGTCTCTGCTTCTCAGCTCTTACCAGGATGTGGTTCTCCACAAATGTATGCACAGATATATGCACATGTGTGTGCATGGAGAAACTTCCCAGTGATCCCAGTGCAAGGTGTTCTTTCCCTGCAATTAGCAGCAAGAAAAGAGTGACCTGCATCTGCACGGCTGGGCAAGAGGGTGCGAAGCCTGCCCTCCCCAGCAGAGATCCCAGTACAGGTCGCTCTTCCCTTGCTGCCGCCCCCAGTGAGGAACAGACAGCCGTCATGGGCTGGGTGGGGAGGCTTCCCCATCAGTGCTGGCAGAAGCAGCAGCTCTGACGGCAAAAGTCCAATGGGTGGGGGGGCATCAGAGCACCTGGAGTGGGGACAAGCAGGCCACAGGTCCCGGTCTGTCTGGTCCTGGTCTAAGGAGCCCACATTCTGGGCTGGTCTTCCACCAGTCTGGTGCCCTCTCGGTGTGCACTGGACTGCAGCTTCAGCATCCCCAGTCAGCATGGCGGGACGAGTAGACTGACCTGTCTGGATGGCACCCGGTTGGGGGAAAGACTGGTCTTGTTAAGGGCGGTGGGAGCCCTGTTTGATTCCCCCAAATTCATGGGCAAGAGGGCTGTTAATGGCTACTAGTTCTCCAGGGTCATGGGCACTGTGCCTGTGCACACCAGTTGCTGAGGAACATGGGTGGGAGGGTGCTGCTGCACTCAGGCCCTGCTTCTGGGTTTCTCTTTGGAGCATCTAGTTGACCGCTGTGTGAACAGAATTCTGGTCCAAATGGTCCTTACCCTGATCCAGCGGGGCTGGTCTTAGATTTTTTTTTAAAGACGGAGCTGGAGACTAAAGCACTGTTTCCTTAATTCCCTCAGGGGATTCAGCGTCGGATCACTGTCACGATTATCCACGAGAAAGGCAATGAACTGCACTGGAAGGACGTGCGAGAACTGGTGGTTGGTACGTCCTCTTCCTCCCATCCCTCCCGCTGCCTCTGCCTCCTGCCATGAAAGAGAGCAAGTCACACTTGCAAGCTGTCTCAGGCGAAGCAGCCTACCAAAATCCACATTCCAACTGGAAAATATTTTCTGCTGAGACGACCGTCGACTAAATCTTTTCCTCCTCCTCTTGCTTCCTCTCCATTCTTTTAGGGCGCATCAGAAACACAGCCGAAGTGGATGAAGCTGCCGTGGATGCAATCCTGTCACTGAATATCATCTCTGCAAAATATCTGAGGATTTCTCACAGCTCGAACAGGTAAGGGGGGTCAAGCTGGGCTCGTTTCGCTTGGCTGCCCGGCAGGCCAGGTACTCTTATACAGCGTTCACCAACTGGACGCTTTCTAGGTGTGCTGGTTTGGAAATCCCAGTCTCCACCAGCCAAACCATGACAGTAGCTGGTCAGCTCAGGAAGCCTTTCTGAAATTAAGATGTTGTCAGGGAGCCCAGAAACAACATAGTGTGGGTGCCTGCTTCATCTCCAGAGGCAAGAGTTCCACAGAATTGTAGCCACCGCGTAAAGGCTCCTCTGCAGGTGGTTGTTGCTTTTTTTAAACTGGATGTCAAAAACTGACTAGCCCAAGTCTTGGTGCTTTGTGCAAACATGGATTTACAAGCCGGATGAGCAGCTTGTTCTGTGAGGCGAGTGTCCCCTAGAGAACATCTGTTATTGCTTACAAGAAGTCTGTAAGGCCACAGCCCTCCGGCCTCCCGTCATTGTCTTGGGAGTGACAGTGTAGGAGTCTCTGGAGCTTCACCTCTGAGGCTGCCCCCTGCCACTTCTCCCCGATCTTTGCGCGGTTCCACAGGCAGCCTCTGCCGTTCACAAACCGTCTACAGCTAGGTGAGGGTCGTAAGCGTGAGGGCAGCTCCCACTTGCCCCGACGCAGTTGGAGGGCCCGGGCCAGGCAGGGCTGATTCATGCTGTCAGTCTCTGGTTTTCCAGGGTCCAGCTGCAGGAACAGCCAGAGGCAGCAGTGCCGACCACTGGGCACCTGTCGTGTGGGATGCATAGTTGTTTCTCGTTTGTTTTGCAGTCTGTTTGTCATCTGCAAATGTGCTTTGTTGGGTTGCCGCTTCGGCTGTCGTGATCTGTGCTTTGGGTTTCGCCTGCTTGTTTCTTCTCCCTCTCGGCTGTTCTCGCCTTGGGCTGCACTAACGAAAGCTTTCTGTGTCTTCACAGGCTCTTCCTTGATAAGGATATGCCTAGGTATTTTCTGTTCACTTCGTTCACGCATAAAGCTGCTGGCTCGCTAGACGGCTTTATGTCTCTTTCCTTCCCTAATCATTAGAGGCCGTAGCGCATCCTCCAAAGCATCCTGTACCCGCTTGCACAGGCTTCATTCAGTCGATGAACCCCTGCTCAGGGGCACATAGATTGCCCTTGCCCGCCTTGTGTTCCTTTCGCCCTCCCACCCGTAGTCCCCTCAGAGCACCTTGGTTTCCGTCATGCCCTTCTCTCTTTCCCATGCCGGTCAGCCATGCCTCAGAGGGCAGCGCCTGTGGCTTCTTGCACCCACATCGAAGCCAAAGTGTAAGAACAGGGCCAGCAGTGCCTTGTGCCATCACTCCGCCTCCCTGGCAGCGAACCTGGGTGACAAAGTGCTGGGAACGTGCCCTGGACAACCCTGGCACTTACGAAAGTACACAAAAGAATAAAGACAAAGAAATCCTGGTGGGCGCTCTCCCACTCTCCCTGGAATAACAAAAAAGCAGCCCAAGGAAAACTGAAGATACGCGATTGACATGGAATTCGGGGTATTGTTTACAGGGGGTGGAGGATATTTATTTATTTATTTATTTATTTGGGGTATTTCTGGCCCGCCCAATCACTTTCATCTCTGGACAGCTCACAGGAATAGAGAACAGGAGGATGGAGAAGACTGGAATTGTCCTGCTTGGAGGGAAGGATGGACTGCCACCCCAAGCGACAGCTAAAAGAATAAGGCCCCAAGCTCTGTGGGCTGTATTTCTCTCTCTCCTCGTGTTTCAGCTCCCAGAGGTCCAGGCTCCCTGCCTCCCATTGCAAGGCCTCCAACTAGCTAGGCAAGAAGCGGAGAGCTGGAGCAGCAGGGTGGTTTGATCCAGGCAGACGCTGAGGCCTGCTGGCAGAGTCTGGGGCCAGGAGGAGCCTCTGCGATCCAAGGGGCTGGTCATCCACCTCCCAGCCAGCATCTCAGCTCCTTTCCCTGGAACATTCAGAGGGTTCGACTGCCATGTTGGCCCTCGACTTCTTTCTTCCTGTCCTTTCTGTATATTCTTCCTTTCCAAAATTCACATGTTTTATGTGGAAGGTTCAAGAGGCCTGTTCCCTCGCACTTGTCTGGTGGTGTGTGCACCTTCTCTTTCCCACTCTTGTTCTCTGCAGTTGTGTTTTGTTCACCTCCGTGGTACTAGCCAGAGGGGTTCCACGTCAGCAGCTTAACTTGGCCCTTCCCTCTCCTTCCCTCCTCCGCCCCCAGATGCGCTACTGCCATCCAAACCTTCACAGTGACGAAATGTCGCACGATGGGCCAGCAGTGCCTTCTCTGTGTCTAGTTGAGGCAACACAGAGGTGTACGACTGGGGTGGGCGGAAGGTAGATTGGGATCTACTGACAGAACCCTGGGTGATTTGTCAGCATGTGTTTCTCATAGCAGCTATGTCACAAGATTCCTGCTCTCCTTGAATCATAGGGCTGAAATTAGGAACTTGCAGGATTGTACTCAATGAATTTTCCCTGGAAAGCCTGAGCTCCATTTAATTTTGGTCCTTGAAAGCAAAATCCTGAGCTCAGGATCCGCTCATTCAGAACGGATGCCTTTTGAACAGGGCTCTGCTTGGTGGAACATGGAAGTCCTTGTCCTGGAAGACTCTGGCCTTTCTTTCCAGCCTTCCCTTTCTTCTCTCTGGGCCTTCAGCCACCTCCTTTGGTGTGAAGTTCTCTTGTTCTGCTGATATAACAAGAGGTGGTCAACTTCCTCTGGCAGCTAAAAAGAGCTGGCCTTGAGTGCTGCTGTGAACGGAACCGGGCTGCCACCTTCTCTGGTTCCTCTTGGGACCATTTTGAGGAGGGGGTCCTGTCCTCCTGTATGTGGAACCAGGCTGACACCTCCTTGTTCTTACTTCTGAATAGCAGCCACTGATTTGAGGAAGAAGCACCAAATCAGGAGCTATGAATTTCTGGAAGACGTACAGTATTGGGGGCCATCAGTTAAGCGCCACCTGAATGAAAAGGAGCAGGGGTGGGGTGGGGTGGGGTGGGGTGGGGTGGGGTGGGGTAGAGATGAGCACCAGCAAGAGCCCAGACTGGCTCAGTGCATGGATGGGTTCAGGCCTCTTCCTCCTTTCCAGCGGACCTCTTAAGTCAGAAGCTGCAGGCCTGGTTCTGTGGGCCGGGATCCTGGAAAAAGTGCGTGGGCAGCACTCCACTCGGAGGTGCTTGGGTGGGTTTGGGGGCCTCGGCTGAAGGGTCTCCTCTGCTCCCTTCAGGACTTTCTACCGTTTTGAAGCCGTCTGGGACAGCTCCCTCCACAACTCCCTTCTCTTGAACCGGGTGACCCCATATGGAGAGAAGATCTACATGACCCTGTCAGCATACCTGGAGGTGAGTTTGTCCCTTGCCGCCCTCACCGGAGCTTGGATCTGAAGGGGGCTGGAAGAAAATCCGGACAGGCTGAACCCCTTTGAACACCGTTCCCCTCCAAAGGCACTTTCTTTCTGCCACCTCCTTTTTTTTTTACACCTCCTTTTCTAGCTCAATAACTCGAGTTCTCTTTGTATAGCAGGTATTGAATTCAGGTGTCACCATGCTTAGAGTATACCCATTGAAGTCAGGGCTGAAGTGAGTCCAGACTAACTTAACCCCCATTGATTTCAATATGCCTACTCTGTTGTTGTTGTAAGCACGACTAAATCGGGGTTTGGACCCGTTTTTGTAACTGCATGAACTTCTAAAACGACTAAAGCAAACCAGCTGATGGAACCACATGTTTAAAGTCACCCTTCAACAGAGATTGATAACTCCTCCTCGTTAGGGTCGTTAGCCTGTGTCTGGCCTGTCCCGCTTCATGGTGAAGGGAGAGCTCGCACAGTGGAAGGCTCTTCCATACGGATTGGGGGAGATCCCCACGTCGAAAAGAAGCACCTCAGGAGTACGGTTTCTGGCCTGGTGTTTTCCTTGGCATGCTGCTTTTTCTTGTGTGGGGAAGAATTCGTTCAGGCTGGTCCCTGCTGGCACTCCGAAGTAGTGTGGGGTCCAGGTGCAGGTTGGACTATCTTCTTGAGGTCTAGTCTGCCAGGAGCAGTAAGTCCTGTGGATTTCTGCAGGCAGGTTGGCTTTCCTAGATTTGCTTGTTTTTCTATTTATATCCTGCCTTTCTCTTACAAAGGGCTCAAGGCAGCTTACATCATTCTCCTTCTCCATCTTATCCCCACAAAACAACCCTGTGAGGTAGGTTGGACTGAGAGTCTGTGACTGGCCCAAAGTCACCCAGTTGGCTCCATGGCTGACCAGGGACTAGAATCCGAATCGTCTGAGTTCCAGTCCCATGCTCTTAACCACTACACCACAGGTTGAAATTGATATTTAAGCACTTTTTATAAAACCCCACAGAAGCTCCAAAGTGGCTAGCAACGCACAACTCTAAAACCCCATCTTTAAGAATGTACGTGTCTAGATCAGAGAGACCCATTTTCAGAAAAATGTTTCGGTTATTCCAGCATGAGTTGATCACAGTTGATCTGTCAAAGAGTGACTTGTATCTGTGTGAATCCACATGCTTTTAATTAGATTAAAGGAAAAAAAAAACCTTGGGGCAAGTTAATCATTTGAACACCAGTTGGGCTTCCAGTTGCTCTGTGACTGAATAGTAGATAAGCACTGGCTTAAAAGTGGCCAGTGCGGGTCCAAAGCCGAGTATGAAAAGACCTGCACACTTGTATGTTGGCTTGGTTGGGGTGAAAACAGCATTGCCCTTTCCCCCTCCAGCTGGACCACTGCATTCAGCCGGCCGTCATCACCAAGGATGTCTGCATGGTCTTCTACTCGCGAGACGCCAAGATCTCGCCCCCTCGCTCATTGCGCAGTCTTTTTGGCAGCGGGTATTCCAAGTCTCCAGATTCGTAAGTCGCAACAGCTGCGCTCTGTGTGTGTGTGTGTGTGTGTCCGCGGACTGAGGGTTAGGCACGAATCTCCTTGGAATGCTGTTGGGATTATTAAACAAATGGTGCCTGGAGAGGGCCATCTCCTGAGAAGCTTTCGGAATCTTGTTTGAGCTGGGGACTGGAGGCCACCTTGCCCTGAGTGAAACCCATCCAGTCCAGTGTCGTCAGCCCTGACTGGCATTGGCAGCTCTCAAGGGTTTCAGGCAGGTGTTTCTCTAGCTTTACCTGGAGACGCTGGGCACCGCGTTTGTGCAAAGCAAGGGCTCTGCCACAGAGTTATGTCTCTTCCCTTGACAATATAATACAATTCTAGTCCTCAAGGTTCTGAATCAAGGATTGATATGAAATAAAAGCATAGCAAGCTGCCGTATTCTGAATCAGACCTTCATCTCTCTAGCTCTGTCTTGTTGACACTGACGGGTGGCAAAGGCTCTCCAGTGTTTTAGGCAGAGTTATTCTCGCCCTGCCTGGAGATGTAGGGGGCTGAATGTGGGACCGTCCCCATGCAAAGCAGATGCTCTGCACTGAGCCACAGTTCCTCCCTCAGCTGAGGAATCTGCAGTGGTGGTGAGGAGGGGGGGTGCCATGGAGTGGCTGGGTATCTGCTTTGCCCACCAATGACCTTGGGAAAGCACCTGGCATCTCTAGTTAAGAGGATCAGGGAGCATGTCTAAGACCGGAAGAGCTTCTGCCAGACAGAGCAGACAATACGAGGCTAGAGGGCCAGGGACCCTGACTCTGGCACAGGCCATCTGAGGTATCTGACATTTCAGAGTAATTAAAGTAGAGATGGGGAGCCCTTTTCACTCAGATTCTGCCTGGGACTGCCAGATGGCACTCACTTTCCAAAAACGCAGTTTTGTTTTCTCTGTTTGTGTGGCAACAGCAATCGAGTTACTGGAATCTATGAGCTGAGCTTATGCAAAGTGGCAGACACCGGGAGTCCAGGTAAGAAGCTGCAGCTGCACAGTCACACCCCGGCTAGTGGTCCTGATACTCTGTCTACACCCAGGTGGAGAACGTGGGCTGGAGGGGGCTGTGGCACTTGCGCTTGCTTGGGGGCTTCCTGTGGGCAGCCAGTTGGCCGCTGTGTGAACAGAAGGCTGGACTAGACGGACCTGGTTCTGATGCAGGACCGTTCCGCTTATGCACTGATCTACGAGTAAGGGATACTTTGCAAAGGGAAGAGGGAAACAAGCATGTTCAGATCTTGGGAGGTCTCTGCTGCCACATGTTGATGCGACCAACTGACCTGATGGAAAGGGTGCCACAGAGGCTTGGAGTGAGGACCGGAATGTCTGTCGGTCCCTGCCAGGCCCTACGGGATATTCGCCCAGCAGAAGAATATTGCTGGGAGAGGCAGTCTGGGGAAGACCAGAGGTCCAGTGGCAGCCGGTTCCCTCCAGGCTAAAGGGAGCTTGGCGCTCTCTCCCCTCTTGCTGACATGCAGTTGGGCAACAGCCTTTACTTCCAGTACAGTACTTACTACTTGTGCCAGTTGCTGAGCTGGCACAAGAGCCCCGGCACAGCAGAGGTGCGACTGGGTAATTTTGTGCCCTGGCCCCAAGGGTCTGTTGCCCCCTGTTTTAGACAGCCATGCGGGGCACGCAACTCAGGTTTCTTCTCTCCCGCTGACCACCGTTCCTGCATTGCAACTGTTCCCCCATGGATTTAAAACGAAACCAAACACCGCAGCAAACAAACGTTTGCCCACCCTGATATCTTAGAAGGAGTGCAAAAAGGAAGACTCTGAGTGCGTGACGCTTCCGACTTGAAGCTTCCTGAATTTGCAGCACCAGCAGGGATGCAGGGGTGCGAGGCAGCTTGCTTGCGCCGCCAACGCTGCCCTCGTCGCCAGCCACCCCCTGCTGATCTCTCCCTGGCCGCGGCACTGGGCAAGCAAGAGGCTTGTGAGGGGAACAGGAGGGGCAGCGTCACCTCTTGGCTGCTGGCCGTGGATTCCTTCCCAGCAGCTCTTCACTCGAGCCCCTCTGTCTTTTCAGGTATGCAGAGGAGGAGGAGGAAAGTCTTGGACACTTCCGTGGCCTACGTCCGAGGAGAAGAGAACCTAGCGGGCTGGAGGCCCCGAGGGGACAGCCTCATCCTGGAGCACCAGTGGGAACTGGAGAAGCTGGAGCTCCTGCTTGAGGTGGGTGAGGTGGGAGGGCCCCGAAGGTCAGGCCCCAGGGTTTCTGCAAGGATATGACGAGCTCCTTCCTGTTGCCCCCACATGGTCCCATGAGCCAGCGCTGAAAACTTTCAGGTTGAAACTGTCAGCCATTGGCTGCCCCATTTTCATTTCACCATGTTCCTCTTGGCCATTGAGATTTTCAGATCGCACTCCCAGCATTCTTGGGATAAAGACTTACTGTGATTTCCGGAGTGGATGTGGGAATAGGACTCTGGAGCCTGACAAAGCAGTCTCCCACCTCACCTGGGCAGCCCTCTCGGTGTGAGGAACCATCCCCAGCCAGCTTGGGGAAGGCTGCCCGAGAGAGGGAGAGAAAGGCCCCTGCAGAGCCGTCTGTTTTTCCCGCTCCTCAGGTTGAGAAGACCCGCCACTTCTTGCTGTTGCGGGAGAAGCTGGGCGACAGCATCCCCAAGTCCCTGAGCGACTCGCTGTCCCCCAGCCTCAGCAGCGGGACCCTCAGCACCTCCACCAGCATCTCCTCTCAGATCTCGTCCACCACCTTTGAGAGCGCCGTCACCCCCAGTGAGAGCAGTGGCTACGACTCAGCTGACATTGAGAGCCTGGTGGATCGGGAGAAAGAGTTGGCCACCAAGGTACACACTCTGCCGGGTCTCATGCGCGGAGCAGGCCCTCTTTCAGCCCACGGTCAATTTCAGAGGAGCTCTTGGGGGGGCCATTCCAGTAGTGGGTGGAGCGAAGGCCAAACGGGTGGGGTCCAAAGCACAGAAATACCACTGTATTTGAGCATAAAGCTCCTTCTGCCAATAAAATGCCTTAGGAGAGCCGTTTCAACCTTCCAGCATTAGGAAAACCCATACAAACACCTGGAAATGATTGGTACCTTGGCAAAGGGGTACACAGCCCACAGGGAATCCCAGTGGGCCAGACTGGGACCCCAGTCATCCCAGAATGGACCCCTGGAACACAAGGTCTGCACCCCTGGCTTAATGAGATTTAATACCCCTCCAGTGTAATGGTGTTAAGGTTTAATTGTCTCAATTACCTTGGAAAGAAAAAGATCAGCCAATAAATGCTTAGCTGTGGAGCTGTACATCAGCATCATGAATAAGGAAATAAAAATAGTCAAGCGCCCAGGCCTTGTTCCATGGACTGCATAACTGAGTGGGGATTGAACTCGTCTCTCCCACACCCACATCTCTGCAGCTGCTTGTTTGGGGTACCTGGCTGGCTTCCTTAACTTTGGAATACCCGGAAGCTGCAGGATCGTAGAAGCTGCCCACTGCACTTCCACGGGAGCCTCGGAGGGCCTGAGTGGCTTTGCAGCCCTCCTGGGCATGGCAGCAGAGCGTGAGCCAGCCTGGTGCGTTCATTCCCTAGGCTCCCAAAGGTGTTCCAGTTCAGAGTTTACTCCTTTTTTCAGGGGAGTACCCTTCCAGCTGTTTTGGAGCTCCTCTCCCAGCATTCTCGTCTGTGGCTGATGGGAGCTGAAGCTTTAAAGCATCTGGTGGGTCCCACCAGTGCTCACCGTGGGTCAGGCGGAAAGCTAAAAGACATCCCCAGACCCCTTTGCTGATGTCCTCACTCCTCCCCTCCCCTCCCCCCCAACTCAAACTCTTCTCTCTTTCCAGTGCCTGCAGCTGCTTACTCACACCTTCAACCGTGAAGTTAACCAGGTCTACAACAGCATCAGTGATTGTAAGGTAAGTGAAATACTTGAAGAAAATGCAAAGTGCACTACGTATTTCTTTCCTTTCAGCACCACCCAAGAGCCCAGGCTCTCTGGGCGGTTTCCAGCCCCATCGACCTTTGTGTGGGGACAGCTGCGGTCTCTGTTTGACTGCTCTGTCCAAGGCTGTGTCGCAAACGAGAGTTGTCAAGGTTGCTCAGGGCTGCCAGCTTGTGCGTTTCTCTTTCCAGCTGTCCGATATCTCTCCAAGGTCAAGGTTGCTCAGGGCTGCCAGCTTGTGCTTTTCTCTTTTTCCAGCTGTCCGATATCTCTCCAATTGGGCGGGACCCGTCAGTATCCAGCTTCAGCAGCGCTACTCTCACACCTTCCTCCACCTGCCCTTCGCTGTCGGATTCAAGATGCAACTCAGTGGACCAGAAGTGAGTCCGCCCTGCTGTGCTCCCTCCCCTCCGGGTGCCCCGCGAGCCCCTTCGCCCCTTCCCACCCCCTTCTGTGCATCCTGGCCCTGGCTCTCCTCTGTCTTGCCACCCCACCCCACCCCACCCCACCCCACTGGCTGCCTGCTCCTCCAGATCTTTGCTGTTGGTGCTGTGGGTCCCCTCCTGGGAGGAGAGTGTTTTGGGACCGGCCGTGCCTAGCGTGGCAGCCATTTCATGACTGGGCAAGGCGCCTCCCTTGGTGGCAGCCGTTTCATGGCAGTCCCTGGGAGCCCCAGATCGGTCCATTGAGCCCGCTGCACCCACCAGGGCCTGCTGCACGGAGAGCCCCAGCCTCAGCCAGAAGGCCCGGGAGTCACCAAATCGTAGGCTGCTTTGGGGCACGTGATGCAGCGATAATGCTGGCCCATGCGGTTGTGGGAATGCTGCTGCTTCCTGCCGGTTTTTTCCTTCCTGCCTCCCATTTCCATGCAGACTAGCAAGATTTCTCCTCGCAGTCTGGGGAAAGTATGTCTTGGCCTCTCTGAACAAAGGCTAAGTCATCTTCTGCCTTGCTTGCACTTGACTGGCTATTTCTCTTTTTTTTTTCAAGGACTCCTGAAGCAAATTCTCGCGCCTCCAGCCCAGGTCCAGAAGGGGAGCCCTTCCAGTTGATCCCACCTGTGGAAGCCTCTTACCTGGCCAGAGCAGGCAAAAATGAATTCCTCAACCTTGTACCGGATATTGAGGAGATCCGACCCGGGTGAGAGCCTCAAATTGGAAATAGCAGCAGCGGATCAAAGGCAGCCTGTCCTGTAGCCCAGAAAGTAGCAAAAGCCACTCTCTCATTCCTCTTTAAAAAGCTGGGGTCACTGTTTGCATTCATCACCCCCTCGTTTAGTTTGCCCTGCCATGGGGACTAGCCAGGCAGTCAAGATGACACCTCAGGCCTTGCGTGGGACATTCCAGGACACCCTGTTCTTTCCTGCATCAGCTCCAAACCCCAGATGTACAGCAAGGCTGGGGGCCGTGTGTGGCTCAGGGGGCAGGTACATGCTTTGCAGCCAGCAGACCCTCAGCATCTCTGCCTGAACTAGCCCTTCGCAACCTAGTGCCCTCCAGACATCTGGACTTCGACTCCCATCAGTCCCAGCTATCACAGCCAAATGGTAGGGGAGTTAGCATCTGCCCAGGCCTTGAGCTCAACTCCTGAGCGCCTCTGGCGAAGGGATCCAGGCCCTGTGGCTCAATATAATTCCTCCTCGCTCGACTGGCTTCGTCCAGCCAAGATGCTGTCTGTCTCGATCAGAGAAGTGCAGGGCCCCCTGGGCCTTCCCGGGCCAACAAGCCGCAGCTTCCCTTCGAACAGAAGCTTCACTGCCGGCTCCTCTGCTGGAGCTGTTTCTGGCTGGGCCCCGTGGCCGTGACCGTCTTCTCCTTGTGTTTCCTCCACAGCTCCGTGGTCTCCAAGAAGGGGTACCTGCACTTCAAGGAGCCGCTCTCCCCGTCGTGGGCCAAGCACTTCGTGGTGGTCCGCCGCCCGTACGTCTTCATCTACAACAGTGACAAGGACCCCGTGGAGAGGGGGATCATCAACCTCTCCACAGCGCAGGTGGAGTACAGCGAGGATCAGCAGGCCATGGTGAAGGTCAGTGGCGGCTCTCCAGGGCAGAGTGCCAGGCAGGGGATCTGGGAAGCTGAGCTCCAGCCCATCTGGAGGGCACCAGGCCAGGGGAGAGCAGAAAGGCGAAGGCTCCTGCAGCCCAAGGGCCGCCTGCCATGTTGGTGACACTCCCAGGCGCTGCACTCCAGTGGGGGGTGGGCCAAAAGTCTGGGGTGGGGGACTGAGATACCCAAAACTCCGGCATACGCCAGCCCTGTCTGTGCACCAACAGAGATGGGACCATGGGGGAAATGAGATGGTTTGCAGAAGTACGAGAGCCCCTGGAGCCAGTCGGGCAAACGCCGAGCATGTTCCGTGGGTAGTGAGCGATGGTTTCAGGAGGGGCTGTGGCGGAATGAAATGGGGGTCTCCTGGAAGAAGGCGGAGGTGCCTGGCTGAACAGAACCGCACTGCAGGGCCAAGTTGTTCAGCTGCCTGTGAAGGAGCAGCGCTCTCTCTCCTTCCTCATTCCAAATCCCACTGGCACAACAAGGCACCATTTCCCCCAAATAAAACGCAGATGAGGAAGGATTTGCTCTGGGGAGGTGCAGAGTTAAACCACTGCGACCTTGGCTGGTGCCAAGGATCCGTCTTTGGCAGGAGCCCCTCCCTCCCTGGGACTTCACAATCTGTGGGTGAGAAATTGCGGGGGGCGGGGGCTTTTGAGAGCTGCCTGGGCTTTGGGGTAATTGTTTCCATCTTCTAGACCCCCAACACCTTTGCCGTGTGCACGAGGCACCGTGGGGTCCTCCTCCAGGCCATCAACGACAAAGACATGAACGACTGGCTGTACGCCTTCAACCCGCTTCTTGCTGGCACGATACGGTAAGAGGTGCCAGCCGCCGGAAGAAACGCGCACGGTCTTTCAGGAAAGGGGCAGGACAAGCACTTTGCCTCTTGGGGAGAGGGAGGGAAGCAGCAGGACGCCTGGGCTGCCCAGGTGAGGGAACTGGGTGCCGCAGCAGGTGCACCTACAGCCAGGCATGTGACACAACAGATGGTTTGCGCCTGCGGCCGAGTCCTGGAGCAGGGATTGAAAAAGCCGGTGTTGCCCTGATCATCCTCTTTCTTTTTCTGTGCCACAGGTCCAAACTTGCCCGAAGACGCTCAGGGCAACTGAAGTACTGAAGTCTATGTGGGACACTCATCCAGTTCACCCTCTAACACGCCTTCAGATATAGATAAAGCGTTACCTCTCATTTCTCTGTGATTCTTGAATTTCTCTCTCTTGTATGCTTAACTTCCCTTCCCCCACATCCCTTGCCCCTTTCAGCACTTTCCCCGCTAATCTAACCCTTTTTGTTACTATTTTTCATTTTCACCTGTGCTGAAAATCCTATTAGTAGCATGAGGCCAAACGGAAAAATGGGTAGGGTGGGATTCCAGTTTATATGCACGACTTTTTAAAAAGGGCAACCATTTTCTCTGGGCGCTTGGCTCCTCATTCCAATTGACTTTGTCTGTACTGCTCTCTGTGATGTGTTTGTCTCTGTCTGGAATGCTTTTCCCCCCCTTCTGCTTTGATTTGGGTGATTTGGAAGTAGCTCCACTGCTGCTCTGAAAGTGAGGGTCCCTGCACTTGAGAGAAAACAGCTCTTTATGCACAGAGAGTTACACAGGTCTCATGAGTCTGCCTTTATGAAAGCAGCCTGTCTGTGAACTTAAGCCACCTCCCACCCACACATTGGTGTTATATTAATTTTCAGAATTCTAGGCCCGCACTCTGCCTGATGGTGCTGGAGGTGACTCATGATTGACAAATTTTCAGCTGTCTTCACTCCAGCTAATGCTAGGGAAGGTTTCCAGCACAGAATGGACTCTCCAGCCAGCTGTAGCAGTCACTCTCCGTCCTCATAGGTTGGCCAGGGACTGTGGAATGCAGGATTCCCTTCTGCACTGGGTACACCGAGGACGCCCATTGCAACAGGAACCATGGCAGGGAGAGCTCAGAATGCAGCTTAAGTTCTTTTTTGTCCTGGCATTAAGTGGAGCACTGATGAGAGGCGCAACAGGCGTCCGCGGCTCAGTGAAGCGCTGCTTCTGATGAGGCCCCCCCTCCAAGTTTTCCTCTCCCCAGATGCCTTGCAGAGATCTTGGACTGCCAGTGGCCGTGCTGGCTGGGCCTGGTGGTCCAGCACTCTGCAAGCCACCAAGAGGAGAGAGGCTGCTCTTTCAGGCTACATCTCTTCGGTAGACAGATGTGGTCCAGCCCGCGCCCTCTCCTTTGCCCTTTTTTCCAACTGTGCAGGCAGTGTTGGAAAACGGAGCGGTCCTTGCAGGAGGGGCGGTGACACTAGTCACGAAATGGGAGACTCATTGTTCGGTGCTTGTTCGGAGGGGTGTTTTTATTTACTTCTTGCTGTCAAAAATCATGCGCCATAGAACTCTGCCCCTTGGCAGGATTCAGCTAAACTCATGATGGGAAGCAAATTCCCTGTCCTCCCCCCTCCCTTTTCTTTGGCTTAATGTTGATGCACACCTTTCCTAATTCCTTTTTGAAAACCCCACTTAAAGCAAGATTTAATGCCAAACTAATTGGAGCTGAAAAGCCGTTTGCAGTCCCTGTGTGTTTTTTTGGGGTGGAGCTTTGGAGCAGAAGGAGCTACTGAGACTTTTCCCCACTTCCCACAGCATAAAACAACACGTACCGTACACTGGTGCAGCCCCAGATAGCTCTCCCTTCCTCCTCTTTTGCACACCTGAGCAGGAGAACAGATTTTCAACTTCAGAGCAAATGCCTCTTTCTGGAACCCTTGCAGTCCCTCTGTGCTCTGATTGGCAGCGTTTGTGGCAGTTGGGTAAAAAGATGGGCTTGGCTTATGCAGGCACGAAGCCACTATCCGCACTCCGAATGTCTTGCTGCTGCCTCTTGGCTTGACACGCCACCAGGCATGTTGCCCGTGGCATTCTTGGGCTCCCTATTTTATCGTCCCTGTTGTGTCATAGCCCGAGCTTGCAGAAGCACCACCTGCGACGATAAGGCTAGTGTTTGGGTTCTTCCTCTCCAGTGCAAGCTGAGGCCATGCATGAATGGAGGCTTACTCCATATAAAAATAATCCTGTGAAGATGGAAAACCAGAAAGTTTTCCTCCCTTCTTCTTGACTGGCTACTTCTATCTTGCAGGCCTCCACCTGCAGGCTGGCATCATTCAGGTTGCCCTGCTCTACTCAGCACTTTTAAGTGAGAATTAAGCCCTGGCTGAACCTTTTCTGACCCTCCCACTGAAGACTTAAGCTTTTCTTGTAAGGCAAATTCATGCTCTGGTCGACTTTTTCCCCTGAGGGACCACATTTGCCTTCCTTTTTCTTTCCTCGCCCCCTTCAAATCTACCTTTATTTCTGTGACTTGCTTTGATTAAGGGGTACCTTTGGTCATTCGGAGCAATTGCAGCCTTTGGGTTTATATATCCAGAGACGACCAAACGGATCGATCCATCTCTCCTGGTGCAGCTCAGCAAGTCCATCCAGTTCAGTTCACTCCAGTCCAGCTCAGGAAAGGGAGCGTTTGTTCGAACCAGTCATCCATGCCTTAGCTAGCCTCGTTGCCTCATGGATGCCCTCGAAGAACCTCTTGTCAACGAACAGAGCAAGCTCGCTGCCGCCCCTTTGGGGAACAGCATTCGGTTCTGCTGCGAAATGCCAGAGAGTTGGCAGTGATGCAGAGCTGGGGACACACGTCCGTCTTTCCCAGACGCATCTCTCTCTCTCAAGCACAGTCAGTGTTTTGCTTGTAACCATTCCTGGTGGGGGTCCCGAGGCATCATATGGGGCAGGGTTGTGTGTTCATTTGTTTTGTGTTGGTCATATTCTGCTTTAACCGTGTGTCAGTCTTGGGACGGTGATTAATGTCTCTTTGGTTATACAATGGACACACTATTCCTTGCCAACCTGCATGTACACGTGGCCGTTAATTCAACAGCTAAGCGGATTTTCCATAGGTTTTAATGATGGTCTTAAGAATTTGTGTGGAGCACTAAATCTCTGCAGCTGCTGATAACAAAGATTGGGGGGATCCTGTGTGGAACCTGAGAACCCTGGAAGAAGATTTCCTGGCAATATTACATGCACACCAATAACCTCTTATATGTTCATTTTTGTTTTGTTTTGTAGCTTGGAACAAAACTAGCCTGCCACGTCTTTGCTTTGGAGAGATCACCACTGTGGGGTGGACTTGAAATTCAGGAGTTATGTATAAGTATTAGGAGCATTCTGTAAGAGCAGGAACCAAAAGCACCATGGTGCACTCAGAGCTGGGAATTACCGCAGCTTCTTATGTCAAGGTTGTCTATATTAAGTCAGCTAGTGCCAGTTTATATGTGGCCTGCAGGCCAGCAAAAGGGCCAACCTCCATTTGAAGCCACTGTCCTCTGCTGTTTCCAGGGCTGGGCTTGACCTGCTGTGGTAATCAGTTAAAAGCAACTGAAAGTTGACTTTCTCTTTCCTGGTGAGAACTGACAGCGCTTCCTTGCCCGTTCTAAAAGGGGGTGGCCAAATACCAACCAGCTCCCCTAAAATGTTGTGCAAGAAGGAGCGAGAATCTGTACCCCCTTCTTCGGAAGGCAGAAACCCAACCCCAGAAGTGTGATGATCCAGCCACTTGTCGCTGTCCTGGAGTTAGCCAGCTCCTAGGAAATGCCCCTCTGCCTGCAGGCTCTGCAGCATCCGTGGGCCAGCCAACCCACGGAGCACGGCCTGTGACGTTGAGCAAAGCTTCATGGTGGGCATCGCACCTTCTGTGTGGGGCTTTCCGCTTTCTCAGTCAAAACACGGAGCTCCAGCTCTCCCACAACAATCCCGGAAGAGATTATTTATGTGGCAACCTCATTTCAGAATGATGAACACCATTTTTAATTGGGCCAAGCCTTTTGAGTGGTTTCTTTTTAAATAGATGCACCTTTCCTCTTTAAGCAATGCACTTTAATTCTTCTGGCCAGTGTCCCCCAGTTCAGGAAGTTACAAAGGGAAGGTTTGTGGTGAGTGCAAGGCTCCAGACCAATGGGAAGGTTTGCCCAAACACCCCTTTCTGGAAATTCCTGGTGATGTTTCAAAGCAAAGATGTTCTTCTGTGTTGTTTTATTATCTACTAATTTACAGGGAATATTTATTTTTTTAATGATGTAACATGTATTTATGCCTCTGTTGTTTAATTGCACACTAAGGCCAGATGACCATTGGGCCGTGCTGCCCTTTGGTACGTTCTGCAATTAATAAGGCTTATGCCGAGACATCAAACGGTACTACCCTCAGCATTAACGACTAGCTGGATTTTATCGTTCTGTGGGTTTGTTGTTTTATTTTTAACCTGCTGCTTTAAAAAAACAAGAAGAAAACTTGAGTCTGCTGCTCTGAGGTTTGTTGAATGTATCCAAGGCAGGAATTCACCTTGGGTTTGTACTACGCCACTACCCCACCCCACCGAGGCCACAGTCTGTCTTATCTGTGTATTTTTTTATGTCACAGGAATGTAACGACACATGTGCTTCCTTGTCTGAATAAAAACATTAGCCACTGGGGGATGGAAAATGGACACTTTTTTTTAGCATTATTTGGTTCAGGAGGCCACTTATGAATTTGACATGCAGAAACTCTACAAGGTCCAGTAAATGTTGTTGTTATTGTGATGATACTGCATACTTGAAGAGGCCCGGTAATTAATTGTGCTGGCATTCATTTCAGAGCCACACCCAGCAAGAGAATTTGTTCCTGTCTTGGGTTCACAGAAAAAGCTGCTTTGCCTTCAGGTGTTGCTCATGTGATGGCCCTCATCTGGAGGGGTGCTGAGCGATCTGATGAAGCCAGAGGGAATCCACGTGCTCATCACATCCAGAACTATTCTGGTAGTCTTTTTTGTTTGTTTGCTTGTTTATTGATGATGCAAACTCCCACGTGCTGTGTATATTATATATATATATAAAACAGGTTTTCTTTTCCTTTGCCACACAGCTTGATATCTGTCCCCCCCCCCCCCGCCCGATCCCCACATACACACACACAGCACGACACAGGTGGCCTTCTGGAACCAATCTCTCCCACCCCCATCAATTCTGATCTCATCCTGGTGAAAGGGTACATTCACATCACTGTACATTATTACAGATGGACATCCGTCTTCCCTCCCCTCCCTGTTTTATTTTGTAAATATATCTGATGTTTGGAGCTTGGGTATACAAAATGTAAATATAGTTCATGTATTTGTACTAATTCTGATCCATTTTGCTGTATAGCCTTTAGGTGTGCAATGCAGATAATATCTAACTCCGTGTATGGTAACCTTGCACCACTGAATGATTAGTGAAAGAGGTGGAAAACAATAAAGATAAAAACAGTACGTTACCAAGGTACCCTGTTCTGTGCGTGCGCATGTGTTTTCTCCATTCTTGCATTGCGTTTTTGTCACACTGATTTATCTATTGGTACTTTATTGCCAAGCCTCTTAAGGCATTTAAAGTAACCGTGTACAATCCTGAGACAGGATATAAAATAAAAAGGAAGTGGGGAGGAATGAGAGAGACATTTCATCCTGTTGCATCATGAGTGGAAACATCCTGGGGGAAGGAGCCAGAAGATAGCAGACCCTTCAGTAATTTCTGAGGCACATTCTCATGTTTGAATGGTCTTCTGCACAAGAAACGCAAAAAGAGCGCTGCTGGCTCAGAATGGAAGCCCATGAAGGCTGGCCTCTTCTTTTGGAGTCCAGATGGAAGTCTCTGGGGAAGCCACAAGCAGCTTGCGAAGGCCACCTAATCCATTCTTCCCCAGGTGCTGAAACATCACATTCACTGGCATTCCAGGGCTGCAGCCCCGTGTCTGCTGAGGAATTAAGCCCACTGAATTTGGTGGGACCTCAGCACACCTGTGGGATGGCAGCATGGCATCTACTGAACTGAACACAGGCTGATCGTATGCATAGCCACACGCCATGTCGTCAATGGCTTGTACGCGTGAATCCAGCAGCCGTGGTGAAACGTGGTCTCGCTGGCTATCCGTCTGCGGGAAGGGTTCTGCGCTTACTGCTGTGGCCACAGAACGATGTGTTTTGTGGTTCCCCCATTTGCGCCAGCGAGTGCGGTGGCAGATGCAGCAGCGACTGCTTTAGTCCTCCTTTTCCATCCTTCTAGCAACTGCTGAGAGTGCTCTGCCGAGCGAGCAGGTTGCTGGGTTGGCCACCTCCACGCCTCCCCTCTTCCCTGGCGGCCTAATATGCCGCTGCCATGAGGATGCGCTGGAGCGGGGCAGCACAGCGAGGCGGCGGGGTGGCATCAGGCAGCGCCCCCAGCGGCAGTGGCTGGGAGGGCAGCCACGTGTGGCATTCCTACCCGGTGGCTGCCCTGTGCTGGAGGGGATTCTGGGAAGCGCACAGGAATCCGCCCTGGGAGCCTGGGCCTCCCCCTCTGCCCCCCACAATGGGACGCCCCACAAGCCCTGCCGCCCCCCCCCCCAGCAGGGGCCCTTCGTCTGGCCGGCGGCGCGCGCTCCCTGCGCGGGGAAGCACCGCCCACAGGCCTCCCGGGAGGCGGGAGCGGCGCCTGGCCGAGAACACGCCCACGGGAGCGTGCGGGCCAATCAGGGAGAGGCAGGCGGGGCGGGCCGGAGCGGTGCTCGCTGGGATTGAGTCCCAGGCGCTGATGGGATACGTGCTTCCGTTGGGAGGGGAAATGGACGCCGAGGAAACGGCGCCTGAGGTGAGGCGGCCTGCCGACGTTATGCGCGAATTCAGCCGGCGTGTTCTTTATGGCTTCTTACTTGAGTTCACACTCCAGGCCATCCAAGTGGGTCCCAAAGCAGCTAACGTGCGAAGGAACAGAGAGACAAAGCCATGCAGTTCTGGTCAATACCAACTGCCGAGATCGCCACCGGTGGAGTTACTCAAAACGGCCCGCCTCCCACAGCAGACACCCCCGTCCAAAATTAGGCAGCTGGAACAAAGTTCAGGGAATACAGTCAGGAAAGGAGTGACCTGTGAAATGACTGAGCTGTGAGTTGGTACTGAAAACACATTCCTCGACTACACATATGCTCAGAGGTACCCTTTCCTTAATTCTGTGGCTACACACCTATCCACGCTCTCTCACTATATTCCTGGCTCTGGGTGGTGGAGCGTCCGCTTCTACCTCAAAGGAATTAGATTCGGCCAAGCTAAAAACTAAATCCCTAGAATGAAATTGTCAGCACCCTAATCAATGCAGCATCTCAAGTTGCACGAGTAAGGTGAAGCCCGGCCCATCTAAAGCTCAGGCCTTTATCGGTGGTGGGCCTTGAAATTGTCTTTAAATCACCTTTTATAAAGAATTACAAACCTCTCAGTTCGCTTCAACAAAGATTAAACCTTTCCTGGATCACGGTCCTGAAGGCTGAGGAGTACAAGCTATCCATTTACACAGAAGTCTTCAACCACAGAGGAGTCCCAGAGGAAGTTCGGGAAGGTTTGGCTTTGTCACCACTCACCTAGTGAGGTTTAAGTTAGTCGTCGGCAAGGTAGGTCTCATTTCAGTGAGGCTACTTTCCGCAGGACTAACCTTGTATCAAAGAGAACCTATCCTGGGCTCAGGGCCACAGCACTTCAAAAAAGGGACAGATGTGCAAATGCTACTTTACAGATGTTCTTCAGTCTTTGAAGGGTCCCGACTCTCGAAGACACCCCAGTGCGTTGAAAGGGAGGTATGGCCGGGAGGGGGGCGGCGTCGCATTTCAGACTGCTGGGGGAGAAAGGCTCAAGATGGGGGCAGCGATTACGGCCAAGAGCCCCCGGGTGCAGGATGCAGGACTGCGACCGCGATCGCCCGGGGCCTCTGTTTCAGGTGGCGGGGCAGAACCTCCCTCTTGCTCACGCCTCTTTGTCCCCAGGGCTGCAGGCGATGGAGGGAGCGGGTGCCGCGCCTTTAAGGGCCGATCGGCTGATCCGCGGCTGGGCCCGCCCCGCGGCTGGGCCTGCCCGGCTCGGCCCGGCCCGAGGGAGGGGCCTCGGCTTTGGCTCGGCTCGGCTCGCACCGCACCAGAGTTCCGACCACCTGCCCAGCAACTAGCAGCCTCGCCAAGCCGCCGCCATGGCCGAGTGAGTAGAGCGCATCTGGCGCACCTTGGGGGTGTCGGGGAGCTCGGGAACGCGCGGCCCGATCGCTAAGGCGGGCTTCCGCGGGGGTGGGGTGGGGTGGGGGGGTGGCCTACTTGGCCCCTTCCAGCCCTACTGTTCTGTGGACCTGTGAATGCATCCTGTCCCCGGGGCTGGGGCTGGGGGTGGGCGGGCTTAGCCCCCTCCCCCAGTAAGCGCGCTCCGGATCGCAGCCCTCCCATGCGCTTCCCTGTGAATTGCTTGCCTTGGTTTCGCGGGGTCCCCCCGCCTTGTCCGGCCTTGTCCGTAAACGTATAATGAGGTGCAGGGATTAGAAGGGCCGGGCTGGGACGCGCGAGATCCGGGTTGCAGTTCGCACTCGGCCGGGAAGCTCACTGGGTGATTTTGGGCCACTCACACAGCCTCGGCCCAGGCCCACCTCACAGGGTTGTTGTGCGAATGGAAAGCAGGAGGATGTGGGCTGCTTTGAGTTCCTTGAAAGGAAAAAAAAGGCGGGATATAAATATAGGTAATATATTAATAATGAAAAGATCCTGATCATGTCTTCTATAAGTTATTCTATTATGGGGGAATTCCTCCCTTATGAGATTGGTGGAAATGAGAAATATAGGGTGCTGGTTTTGTATTTCTCCATACTTTGGTGTTGCTTTCAGTAGGTTAATAAAACGCTCTGTTTTTCACACACATATAACACCCCCCCCCCCACCATCTTCAGGACAAGCCCCATAAAACACAGTGTGACTTACTTCTGAGTAAACCTGCACAGGCATGTGGTGCTAAGAGTAACTGACCTTTAGATTAAAATCTTATTTCCAGTAAACTTTCCACACAGAATTAATGCCATAATAATGATTGATATTTTCAGGAATTTCAGAATGATTGATATTTTCAGGAATTTCATCGCTTTCTCTGTTATAGGATACTTTTAATACTTAAGTGTTATCTGTTTGTATAGTTTTAATTGTATTTTCAAGCACATTCCTATATGAATCAAGCAATAAAAATGTCCTATAACTAAAAAAAGTAACAGATTTATCTTGCCATCAGATACAAGTGAAATGCAGTCCACAAAAGCTAATTTGTTTTCAAGTCTTTCAGCTGCTGCTTACAAGGTTCTTTGCTGCATATGTACATAGGAAAGGAAGAAAGAAAGAAAAAAAAAAGAGGCATTGCCTAAAAAGGAGGACTGGTGGGGACAAGGGTGGCCACACCTGGTGATCCATTGTTGGAGGGCTTGGCTGGATGAGGTTGTGCAATTCGGTGTGATGCCTGCACCTGCATGGGAGGGCTGGACAGGTTGGGCTGAGCTCCGAGTTTAATCGCTTGTCTCCCTTGCAGCGTTGCCTGTTTGGGTGGCCAGCATTTGGCCTTTCCTTTCTTGGTTATTTGTTCTCTCCCCCATCCTTCCTTATTCTGGGTGCAGCTGCTCCGAGTTTGAGCAACTCTCCCTAGTTGAGACACAGTGGAGGAAACAGGAAGGACTTCTGCTTGCAGTTTCCTCTTTGCAGTGTCGGTTGCTCAACCTCTAAAGTGGGCACAAGTATTGTCGTGGCCGCTTTTTGGGCATAGACTGGAGGCCCTGTGGGTGCATGTGCAGGGTTTTCTGTCCTCTTATTTGTAAAGGAACCTCATGCATTCATTCCTTAGGGTGCCCTTGCCTGGGTGACTGGGTTAACGAGACAGATGCAAGCTGGATTAGGCAATCCTGCTTTCTTCCTGATTATCCTCTCCAGTAAGACACCCACAAGCTGGCAAAAGAACCGGTTGCAACCACCCAACCCTGTTCTGACCTCTAATGTCCTGAAGGCTTTGTGGAAGGCGCTCTTGCTGGCTGAGTCCTAACACTCACCATTTCCCCATGGTCCTTAAGCAAGACTCGCTCCATTCATTCTATCTTTCTCAGGCCAGTTCAGCCTGTCCTCTTGTATGGTGCATGCACAAGCAATTGTGTCTGGGGGAGCAGAACTGAAGGAAAGCCTGCCCGCTCCCTGGGTTTTGCCCTTCCCAGCATCAGCAGACGTATTGCAGCTTTCCTTGACCTGGTGCCCTCCAGGGGTGAGGAGAAGATTCTGGGTTAACCCAGGGTTATGGGAGACGTCTTTAAAGATAACTGGCAGATGCCACTTTAAGAAAGGCTGGACTGGTGCAAGTTGTCCTCCCAGGAAGGGAGGGTTCTGCTGGATTTGGAAATGGGTGAAAGGGAATCTTCTGCTGGGTCAGAGAGGAGTATTTGGTTGGGATATCCCCCCCGGAGCTGGCTCCCTTGCGCAAGACAGTTATGCCATCTAATATTTGCCTCCACGAGTACAACCAATCCCAAGAGTGCTTGGGATCCTTTTCGGCCGAAGTAGCTTGTACATGTCTTTCCTGTGCTTTCAGAGCAGACATTGCCTTGATCGGATTGGCTGTCATGGGCCAGAACCTCATTTTAAACATGAATGACCATGGCTTTGTGGTGAGTAAAACTGCTGATATGGACCATGCTTTTTTTTGTTTGGTTTTTGGCTTTTAACTGCTAAATGTGTGTTTAGCCTGGGTGCTGAGGAAGGTGCTTCACAAGATGCAAGAGCCTCGCATCTGACGTCATTCCGCAATGGAAGTCGTAAGGCAGGGGTGTTGAAACTCAGGGCGAAATCCAGTCTACCTTGGAGTCTCAGAAAGTTTTTCTTTTTAATAAACTGCAGTGTGCTCCAAATGGAAAATGAAGCACGTAAGAAGGAACACTTGGAGGGTTGTCATTTTGGGGGAATTGGGCATCAGTTCCCTGCCCCAGAAAATGGAAGGACGGGCCTGAGGACCGTGTTTCGGGAATTGCACGGCCTCTTTCGGCAGTCCCCCCGTAGGATCTCTGTCTCCTTTTCTCGTCCAGGTGTGTGCATTTAACCGAACAGTCTCTAAAGTGGATGACTTCCTGGCCAATGAAGCCAAAGGGACGAAAGTCATTGGGGCTCACTCCCTGGAAGAAATGGTGTCGAAGCTGAAAAAACCCCGGCGGATCATTCTTTTGGTGAAGGCTGGGAGCGCCGTGGACGACTTCATCAACAAACTGGTGAGCAGGCCCCTCCGGCGGCCTGCGCTGTGCTTTTGCAAGTGGCGGCCATGCAAACCCATTTCTGCTTGCAAAGTGCACGGGCAGCGCTTTGCTTTTGGCTGCGGCCACTGAATGACTGTGTTTTCTGCTGGCGTGCACCCTACCTGACTTCTCGGGCTATGCTCCCTGCGACCTCTAAATTTTTTTTCTTCATGTTTTGCTCTGCCCTCAAGCAGAGGTGTGGGAGGTCTGTGGGCCCAAATCCATTATGGAGAAGTCCTCGGGCGCCTTGTTCCTGTGGATGGGGCCAAACTGTCGAAAACACCAACCTGTTTGAGCTTGAGGCTCTTCCCTCCCATAAAGGAGGCTTTGGAGAGATGTTTCAAGCAGCTGGAAAACATGTGCACCAGAAATATGAAATGGTCAGAGGAAAGGGGGTAAGGGACGCCAGGCCAGTCTGAGGTTTTGCATCTAGAACCTAAAAGCCCACACGCGGGCTTTTAAGGCAAGATGTGAAGCCCCCATCTTGAACTTTCCTCATGGCTGTTAGGCATAAAGGGAGAACCTCTGTGTCCTGGGGCAGTGTATCACAGTATACCAGCTGCTGAGAAGCTCCAAGGGAGGGCTTCTGTCGTACTCGCACTCCTGTTGTAAGCTGGGTGCAGAAAGATCCTGTGCTCAGGCCCACGGGACCAAAAAATTGCACATATTTGTAGATGCTAATTAACATATTCTGACGTCTCTCTTTGTCAAGGATGCCATTTTCTAAGGATGCCGCTCTTTCTAAAAGGGCTGCCTGGACAAGGCAGAGGGAGGGCATTTGAATTCAGGGGAAAAGAAACCTTGGGCAAAACGAGTCAAGGGCAGGGCAGCCGGAGGTGAAGCACCGTTGGTCAACATCTGGCTAATCCAGGGCAGGCAGGTGCAGCAGGAATCATCAGGGCTCCCAGAGCTTTATTTCAGCGAGTGTCCTTGGCAGCAGGTGGAGGGGCACATGGCCTTCCGGAAAGTTGGGGCTCCAAAGGAGGGCCTCGGGGGGCCCAGCCCTAGTGGGTCTTTTCCTCACAGCGCCTCTGTCGGAGGGCTTCCTGGGTGCCCTTTGCCGGCCACTGTGGCTGGACTGGATGGGCTGCAGTTCTGGTCTGGCGGGGTTGCTCTTGCGTGACTGTACCTTTCCCACTTTCAGGTCCCCCTGCTGAGTGCTGGAGATATTATAATCGATGGAGGGAATTCCGAGTACAGAGACAGCACGGTACGTGTGGCATTTTTTGGTATCCCAGTTCTCTTCCAAGCCGAGGTGTCTAGAGCAGGGTTTGTGGAGACAGCTTCCTTCTCACAGACTGATCTCCAAGGTAGGCCAGGCTACTTTGAACAATCCTCATTTGTCCAGTGGAGGCACTTGGGGAGTCTTACAGCTGGACAGGGATTTGTAACCAGCTCTCTGTTCAAAAAGCCGGGCACTGCCTGCTAAGCCACACGCAGGAGGTTCAGTACTGAGTGCAGAATTTTACTTCCTTGGAATTTTGGTTTCTTTTGTTAAAAGAAATCTAAGTTTCTAGTCCTTAAGATGGCAAAGATGATTGGCTCACAAGCAGATAGAGAATGCCAACTAGGATTTTAGACTGAGCAAGATGTCTCCTTCTGCAATTGGGTTAAGGTTTAAATTTCTTTTTTGCATGAGACCCTTGGCCCCCAAATGAGTAACATAAAAAAAAGCACACCACCAAAAAATCCTCTGTTTTCACTCTCTATCCTTCCTCCCCCAGAGACGCTGCAAGGAGCTCAAGCAGAAGGGCATTCTGTTTGTGGGAAGTGGAGTTAGTGGTGGTGAAGAAGGGGCCAGGTATGGCCCCTCGCTCATGCCAGGGGGAGCCAAGGAAGCATGGTGAGTGTCCATTTTCTGGCCTGGCATCCTTGAGATAAGGGGAACTTCAGTGACACATGCATCGGTTACTTCCCGGTTGGATTTCTGTAACGCGCTCTATGTGGGGCTGCCCCTGAAGACGGTCCGGATACTTCAGGTGGTGCAAAACAAAGCAGCCAGGTTGCTGACGGAGACTGGGCGTTACTCTCATACAACCCCACTCCTCTTCCAGCTTCACTGCCTCCCCATCGAAGTCCGGGCTCAATTCAAGGTGCTGGTTATCACCTACAAAGCCCTTAACGGCTTGGGACCTGGATACCTAAAGGAACGCCTTCTTCCGTATTTGCCCTCCCACCCCCTGAGATCGGCAGCAGAGGCCCTCCTCCGGGAACCCTCCATGAAAGATATTAGTATGCAAAGTACCCGGAGGAGGGCCTTCTCTGCGGTGGCACCCCGCCTATGGAATGTGCTCCCCAGAGAGGTCCGCCTGGCGCCGCCATTATTTGTTTTTTGGTGCCAGGTTAAGACCTTTTTATTCCAGTAGTATTTTAATAAGTTTTAATATTGGCTTTTCTATGTTTTTAGCTGCAGCCAGTGTGGGTTGGGAATTTTATTTATGTTATTTATGTTATATTTTACATTGTAAGCTGTCCTGAGGTTTTTTTTGCGAATAGAATGGCATATAAATATTTTAAATAAATAAAATGCATGGCATGATGTTTCTGCATGCAAAATCTGTGCTAGAGGAAGGTGTCCTCGTGCCCTGCAGAGATTTGGGGCCCCAGCTGCCGCCATCTTTTCACTCTCTTTTAAGGCCTGTCTTCTGATCTATAAATACTGTTTTTGGTTGGTACTTCCTTTCTGTTCTGCTCCGCAGCCAAAGCTCAGAAAGAACTAAAATTAAATCCCCTGTTTACTTTGAGAATAAGCCCCCTTGCAACCTGGTCAGGTTCTAACTTCCAATTCAAGTGTGTAAACAGGCTTAGAGTTGCATCGATGCCCATCTGTCAGCATGGAACTACCATCTTCTCTGCCGTGTAAATGAACTTCTATGCTGTTCATTGCAGCTGGTCTACTCTGAGCAGGGCTCACGTTGGCTCCAGCCTGTCTTGGCCCACTTTTTATGGAGAATCCAGCCTGTTGCATCCCTGTGCTCTGTTTCCCTGCAGCCAGAGCTGTGGGGAGTCAGCTGCCTGCCAGGGGCCTGGCAGTGCGTCATGGCAGATGAATAAGCGGAAGGCGCAAGCTCCCTTCTGCTGGCTGCCTCCCCTTCCTCACCGACCGCCCCTTTGGTGCTTTTCCTGGTTCTGTGCAAGCCCTCCCTCGCCTCACTTCGGAAGGAAGGCACGGATGCCTTTTCTAAGGCTGGCCATATGTTGAAATACACTAGCATTTAGGCCCCGCCTCCCCCTGGAATGCAGCCCCAAGAGCTTCTTTGTAATTCAGTGTGGGCCTTGAAAGAGCTTTGCTGCCCCCGCCCTGCTGTAGCTCATCCTGGCCTTACCCTGAACTCCTCTTCAGTGGCTTCTCCTGACTTGATTTTGCCAATATTATGATCTCTTTTGCAGGCCCCACATCAAGCCAATATTTCAAAGCATTGCTGCTAAAGTAGGGACTGGAGAACCCTGCTGCGACTGGGTGAGTCATGGCCCTGTGTTGGGTGACACTCTGTGCATGCTTGGGGTGCTGTTGCCTCTGAAGGATGGAGAGCAGAATGTGTATCTTTGTGCATCCTCGGGCTTAGTCCTGGCCTTTGTAACACTGGCTTTGATCTGGGTTAAGCCTAAGCCAGTGTCATTGCACCTCAGGCATATGGGGCAAATCCAGCTCTCTGGGGGAGGGGGGTTGTATCCAGCCACCCACACTTCCTCGTGGTGGCAGCCCTCTTTTGGGGATGGGCGGCGGCACCACAGACACCTCCAAAAGAGCACAGCATAAAAGCTGCAGTGGCTGAGGGGCCCTGATATAGGGGTCTCCAGCTGTCCCTGAGTGCTGTGGGTGCTCTCACGAAATGGCTGCCATCAGGTGGGAGGTTTGCCCATTCGTGAGGTGGCTGAGGGGGTGGGCACGGCCCTTTCCCAGCAGCCGACAATGTGCTGAGACACGGAGAGAGACAACTTGCAGTGGCGGGTGGAGAGCCAAGCTTTTGCGGAAGGGGGGGGGGCCGCCCCTTGGTGTCGGCACTACCCTGTGAGTGGTTCTTCTTCCTCTCGGGGGTGGGTGTCTGGCAGGTGGGCGATGAGGGGTCCGGACACTTTGTGAAGATGGTGCACAACGGGATCGAGTACGGAGACATGCAGCTGATCTGCGAGGCCTACCACCTCATGAAAGACGTCTTGGGCATGGGCCACGATGAGATGGCCAAGGTGAGTCGAGTCCTGTGTCTGGCGGTCTCGCTACTGTCACGCACATTTCCTCGGATGGCAGATTTATGTCAGCCCAAAGGTCATTAAAGTGCATACTTTGCTATGAATGCTCCCAAAAAACTTGGCTGCCACGTGCCACTTTTGGCAGAGGCGTTTTACGGCAAGGATCCGGGGCAGCTGTGTAGAACTTGCTGCTCTCCAGGCAGCCTGGACGGTTGTTTCTACCCTCCTCCCCCTCCCCAGGTCTTCGAGGACTGGAATAAGACAGAACTGGACTCCTTCCTGATTGAAATCACGGCCAACATCTTGAAATACCACGATGCAGATGGCAAGCACCTGCTCCCCAAAATCAGGGACAGTGCTGGGCAGAAGGGAACGGGAAAGTGGACGGCTATCTCCGCTCTGGAGTACGGGATCCCCGTCACTCTCATAGGTGAGTCTCGCCATCACCCGCTAAAGCGAGCAACAGCGATGTGAGATTTTGGGGGAGAGTGGATGCGGAATGGGAAACAGGTTAAAAGGGACATGCTTCCTCCTCAAGGCTTCTTTCCTTTGTGAAATACAGGGAAAACGCAGCTTTTCACCCCAGATTATTCTGGGTTTCCTCCTGGCTGTCCTTTCTCTATTCCCAAGTAAGACCTTTTGACTTGGGGATCCTTTGTGTAGAAACCAGTAGCTGGGGAACACGGGCGGAAGGGGATCGTTGCACTGCCCTCCTATTTGTGGGTTTCACCGTGGGGCAGCTGGTTCGCTGCCAGGTGAACAGAAGGCCGGCACAGATGGACTGTGGCCCCGACGTGGCAGGGCTCTTCTCGCCTTTGTAGGCTCGGCCGCTGTGCCCGTTTCAGCGTGCTGGACGCCTTCTCTGGCGGAGCGGCTTTTTTCTCTCCAGGCGAGGTTCTGGCCTGGCTCGCAGGGGGATGACTCCTCTCCTCAGGGCCGGTGCCGCCCATTCGCCGAGCTGGGGTTTTCCCCACCCCTTCCTTGCATCACCAGCATGACTTGCAATTTCCTGCCCTGGAGATGCAGAGTCATTCTCCCTCCGACTCCCGGAACAAGGAAGGCTCTTGGAGGAACTTGGAGGTTTTTTTCTCCATGTCCCTGTCTGCCCCTTTTTTGTTCTGTTTGCTTCTTTTGCCACTGCTGACTTCCAGTGCTGCCCTGAGCACACCTACTCGGGTGTAAGTCCTACTCTGTTCAGTGGGACTTATTCCCAGGTAAGCACGCACTGCTTCCCAGCATGAATTATGAACAGTCCGTTGATGTTTAGCAGGGTGGGGCTTTAGCATGGTGGTGGAGCACGAGCTTTGTATGTAGCACATCCCAGGTTTGATCCCCACCGAACCCGGGGCCAAACTCTGGCTCTGAGCGCAAGGCGCAGGATTGTGCCGTCCGGTTGCAAATGGTTGCCGCAGAATAAACGCCATTGAATAGAGCAGGATTTACACCTGAGTAAATGGCATGGGAAGATCCTCAAACTTGTACCCTTATCCCCCCCCACAAAAAAAAATCTCATTTCCACAGTGATCTCTTGCGTTTCGAGAGCAGTATAATCAGTTGTGCCCTTCTGTTTTCCTGCTTCTCCAGGCATGAAATTTAATTCTGTGGCTGTAATTAGAGTTAATTTCAGAATAGTGATCTCAGTTGATTGTATTTGCCGGTCTTCTGGTAATCCGGGTTCCCTTTGCGCATGCAGCAGAGTGTCCACTGTTGCTCCGACTCGGCGGTCAGTGATGCTCGGTTCCTCTTTTATTCAAAGGAGAGGCTGTCTTTGCCCGCTGCCTGTCGTCCCTCAAGGATGAACGGGTGCAAGCCAGCAAGCTGCTCAGCGGACCCAAAGCGGCCCCGTTCTGTGGGGATAAAGCTAAGTTTCTGGAGGACATTCGCAAGGTGGGTTGGGCAGGTCCCGTTTGTGTGTTTGTGGAGAATTGTGTTTTAGTTTTCTTCAGAGTGGTACCCACAAGGGCACTTCGAGCTGTCAGATGCTGAAGTTGGCCTTTTGGGTCAAAGGGTGTACAGCACTGGCACTGGAGTCCAGGGCTTCCTTGGCCAAGGAGGCAAACTCCACATTAAACATCATTGAGAAAAGAATTCATAATAAATCTGTCAAGATTGTATTCCCCTATACAAATCTTTGGTGCAACCTCATTTAAAGTATTGTGTTGGTTCATGGTGTCTTTGAATCCATAATTTGCTTCATTTCTGAAGCCTAACCATTGAAAGAAATTGTATATTGAAACTATTGTTAAATGTGCATTCCAGTTTTTTGCATCTACCTCCTGGTGTCCCCCCCCCCCCCCCCCCCCACACACAAAAGGAGTCAAAAAAGCTTCTCTTTAGTGAGTCTCCGTATAAAACTGCCCCAAGGTGAAATTCATGCGCATTACAGCAGCTTTTCCTAGTGTTGCTTCTTGGCTTCTTCTCCAGGCCCTGTATGCATCCAAGATCATTTCCTACACGCAAGGCTTCATGTTGCTGAGGCAGGCAGCCAAAGAGTTTGGCTGGACGCTGAATTACGGCGCCATTGCCCTCATGTGGCGGGGAGGCTGCATCATCCGAAGGTGAGCAAGAAGGAAGCATCTGAGTGGATCAGGGACTGCTGGTGTGGGGAAGACGCTCTTCTCCACTTGAAGCTTGGTCCATCTCTCCCCGAACCCCTCGGATATTTCTGCAGATGTGCAGAGAAAAACATTTTTTTTTTTTAGGAAGCAGGAAAGCCGGCGTGGGGAGGGGGGAGGAAAGCTATATACAACAACACTGCATGATTCTGTATGAAATCATTACATTTTTATGTCAGGTCTCTTAGCCAAAGGCTTTTGGGGTGGCTTACATAAAAGAGTAACACAACAATAAAGCAGTACAATTTAGTGATAAAATAATGAACAATTACAGAATAAAAGTTAAAATTGATCAATACAATTAGACAATCAAATTAAAATCAACAACCCTGTGAGGTAGGTTGGGCTGAGCATCTGTGCCTGGCCAAAGTCACCCAGTTGGCTCCATGGCTGAGCGGGGACTTGAACCCGGATCACCTGAGTCCCAGTCCCACGCTCTTAACCACTACGCCACACTGGCACTCGATAGTAGCTGATAGTAGCTAAGTCCACAGGACTTCAGGATTCTGGGCCACCTCCCCCATGTGCTTGACTTATCATAGCCACTTTCGCCTGTCTCTTGGATAGCGTGTTCTTGGGGAAGATCAAAGAAGCGTTCGACCGGAACCCCAACCTCCAGAACCTCTTGCTGGACAACTTCTTTAAGACGGCCATGGAGGACAGTCAGGTGCGTCACCAGGGGAGACAATGCGAAGGGGGTCGTGCCTGCTGCCCGTCTTGGGTTTTGAAACACTGTTGTTTATGTAGCCAAATGACCCTCAGCCATTACACAAGGAAAGGTGTCAGTGGGTTTAGGAGAACCAGAAAGGTTTGTGGAAATTTAAAACATACCTTATGTGTTTCCCGTACCTGCAAACAGTCTCTGAGTCAGTCCTTGCCGTCTCTAACTTACCATGCTGGTGGGTGATAGGAAGGACCCTGGAGAATATTGCCGGAGTAGACAAAACTGAGCCAGTAGGGACGGGATGGTCAGAACTGGCACAAGGACGCTCCTTCCGTGCCTCGAGTCAAGGAAGGAGTAGGGGGCGGGGTGCTACACGGGTAACCAGCCCTCCTCCCTCTCTCCACAAGGACTCGTGGCGACGTGCTGTCAGCACGGGCATCCAGGAGGGCATCCCCATGCCGTGCTTCACCACTGCTCTCTCTTTCTACGACGGCTACCGACACGGAGTTCTGCCAGCAAACCTGATTCAGGTACACAAGTTTGGCAGCGGCTTAGGAATGCAGGCAGAGCTGAAACTTGCCTTTCCTTTCTTGTTTGTTTCCGTTCTCCTCTTCTGTCCCCAGTCCAATAGGTGGTCTTGCTTTTCTCTCTCCCACACGTCCTCTGCGTGTCACAGCTATCTATAGGTTGTCTGAAACGCGGGGAGTCACGAACTGTTAGTTGGGTTTGCCTGCTCGCTCACTTCTGCTTTGTTTGGTCAAAACCCTGCTGCTTCCTTGACAACCCAGACTGCCGAGTTCAGACTTCCCGTGGTTCTTTTGCAAAGCGGAAGTGGGCAGTGGCTTGCTCACCCCTCCTTCATCACTATTATTACTATTGTTTTGTTGTTATTACTAGATTATATTATATTCACCTTTAAACAACATATAGGTAGTTGTGATCTGTGAACTGGGCCAGTCTTTCTCCTCCTAAATCCCTTTTCAAAACAGGAAAACCTGGTGGCTGTTTTGCTTCATCCTCATTGCAAATATTGCCCAGGTTTTTCAGTCCGCATCACTGCTTTTGTATGTAACCCTCCCTCCCTGTCTTAAGCTGAGCTACAAATGAATATTAGCTGTTTATGGTACAATAGTATGCAGGTTTTGGCAGAAAAACATCCTGTAACTCCAGTGTGGCTGGCTGGGAAATGCTGTGAATCTAGGGTGTTTTTCTTCCATCTAAACCTGGAGGGGATCGCAGCCTTGCTTGCCGAGAAAGGAATGTTCCTGATGGCATCTTGAGACTTCTTTTGTTGGCAATCTTGATTATTAATACTGCAATTTCTCATAGGCTCAGCGGGATTATTTTGGTGCGCACACTTACGAACTCTTGTCAAAACCGGGCGAATTCATCCACACGAACTGGACTGGACATGGGGGGGCCGTTTCCTCTTCAGCATATAATGTCTAGTGGACATCGAAGCGAGCAATACTGTAGAAGTTGGACATTCCATTTTTGACGGTTCTCCGTTTCGCTATTTTTGTAGATGTCAACGTCTGGGCTTGTTTTTGTTTTGGTAACAACTGTTATCATGTCTTGCAAGAGAGCCAAAATAAAAATTTAAAAGCGAAGCAAAACCCTCTTTTCAAAATGTTATCCTTTCACTGCAACAGCCGGAGGGCATCACTGTTACCTCTAGAGTCCCCCTGGCGGCTAAATGCCATCTAGGTCATTGTAGGATAGGCCAGAGCTGCAGTCCTTGCATTCCTGGGCTGGAGCGGGGATTCTGGCTGCGAGACACCCTGCTGCTATTTTGGATTCCAGCACTCAGTAGCCTCATATCCACTGGTGAGAGTTTTGGGAGTTGTTGCCGAGATCATCTGGAAGTCATCCGGTGTGGGAAAGCTGGGTTAGAGAATCTTCCGTGGCTGATGGGGACCAAGAGAGCCACATCTGCACTCTAGTGTGGAAAGTCTATCCTGCAACCTTATATCACGGTGTGGTTGGTCTTCAGAAATAATGAACAATTGGAGGAGACAAAAATTACACAGACGTACAGAGTACACACTTGGACCATTGGAAGACCTATAGGTAGTGTGACACCTGGTGGCTAGGTTAGATATTTCATTGCAAAACTAGTGTTCAGTTTGATTCTCAAGCCTGCAGCCAGCAGGAAGAAGGCTTGCTGCTCACAGCTTCCTTGAGCCAGGTGGGTTTGGGACCAGGAGACAACGCAGGTCAAGAGGTATCCTGTCACAGGTTCACTGAACAAGAAATCCCACCTGCAGCCTTTCAGGAAAGGCCTGTATCCTATAACATCCAGAATGACTGAGTTGGAAAACTTAGGAGTAACTTGGTGCCATCCAGGCCTGAAAAGGTTGGGGAATAAACATGTATAGGATTGCACCTTGCGTCAATAGATGCACCCATTGCAATTCATTTATTTATTGCTTGTTTATGCCCTTCAACAGCCATACATGGCTCCCAGAATGGTTAACAGAAAAAGGCTGATATATATGATTTTATCAGCTCCCTATCTCAGATCCCAAGAATCACACATGGCATTTGAGATGGGGAAATGAAGTAATCTCCCCCTCCCAATTCCAATATTTTATTATTTTATTATTTATTTTTAATAATAATAATAGATGGGATTTGCGACAGGGCACAGAAATAGCAATCGCATTTTCCCACCTCCGAGCCCAAAACCAGGAGAGATTTGGGGTGGGGAAGTGCCATTCAAAAGAATGCTGCCGCGTTTCCCCTTTGATCCGAGGCGTAGCAGTAAAGCGGCGGTCCGAGAGGAATTCAGCGCGTCTCGATGAACGACGGAAGCCCGCGCGCCAGGCGGTAGCCATGGCGACGGCGTCGCCCCGCCCACGCCCCGCCCACGCCCCGCCCCTTCCGCCGCCGGGCGGGAAATTCGAGCGCCATTTTCGCTGCGCCGCCGCGGAGGCCTCGCCATGGAGCGGCCGCGGCGTGAGGAGGAGCAAGGGGCGGCGGCGGACGACGGGCGCCCCTCCGACGTGCAGGTGCCGCTCGGGGTGCCGGGGCGGGGGCGCGCTTGTTGCAGGCCGTCTCGGAGCATGTGCAGAGCGTCACCCGGCTGGGGAGGTGTCAGTTTGGACCCTGGGTTGAAGGAGCCTTCGGGGGGAGCCGTGGCCGCGTCAGACGGGCGGTTCGCGGCGTATCTCAACCGGCCGAGAGCCGGCGTGGTGCAGCGGGTCGGGCCTGCGCGGGGCTACTCGGGCGCTGGTCCCCGTTCGGCCACGGAGCCCGTTGGGGGACTCGGGGCGGGCACGGAGCCGCAGCCCCGCCTGCCTTGCAGGGTGGTTGTTGTGGGGATAAGATGGGGAAGAATGAGGTGAGCTGCTTTGAGTTTGTAAGACAAAGGGGATATAAACCTAATAATAAATAATCTCTCAGTATGTGGGAACCAGAAAAAGGCCCGTAGTTTCCATCCTTTACAAATCGCCTCAAAGACGTGCTGACTGGGTTTGGGCAACATGGTAGCTCACACTCAAGGGTGAAGTGCGGATTGTTGTGGAAACGTGGGCTGTTCGCCATGGTTTATTTTCATGGCTGGGTTCACAGTCAAGATAGCAGCCCCTGTTTCAACAACAAGGCATGCTCGGTCTTTGAGTATATGTTACCACGTTGCCTGAATCCGTTGAGTAAGTTACACAGTACATTAAGTAAGACTGCAATTTAATACATGTTTAGAGAGAAAACGCTCTTACAACTTCCAGCATTTGTAAATCATCCTAGGTAGTCCTTGAGTATTTTTTTAAAAATACGTTAAACATGCATATTTAGTTAGAAAGGTGTCTTACGGCTCCAGTATTGTTGGCCAGGACATGCTGCAATTTATAGGACTTTCTTCCATCCAAACTTGGATAAGATTGCATCCTAAATGAACAAAATGTATCATTTATCATTCAATAGATTTATATAGGCCGAACATATTTAAAATATATGTAAGATAATGCATCTCCAAATGACAAGTGTTGAGAGTATGCAGATTTGACAAGAACTGGTACATAAGATACGACGAGAGATGCATAAATATGTGAATAGTATATAAAAGGACAATATGAGATAAGGTGTAATTATTAACTGGCTGAAAAAATGAAGAAACTGCAAGTTTAGGAACAATAGCAGATTAGTCTAAGAATAAGCAAGATAGTGCAGTGTGGCTAGAAAATAGTAGTTTTGCACAATTTATAAGAAGACACTTCTAAATGACCACCATCAGGTGCTCTTCTTTATCTGCTTGTGGCTGCAACAGTTCAGTTTCTCCCAATAGTTGTGATTCCCCCCAGTCAAACACTATGGATTGACAAGTTGTGTGCCTATGAGGACCAATCTGTGAGTATAGAAAGTTCATTATTCCTTGTTCTGTTTTGTTTTACCAGAGGCTGAAAGCTGCTGTTCATTACACCGTCGCTTGCCTCTGTGAGGAGGTCGCAGAAGACAAAGCAACACAGTTTAGCAAACAAGCCATCGCAGCTATTTCTGAGATCACCTTCAGGCAGTGTGGTATGACACATATTTTATGCATATCTATATTTGTGAGTAGGAGCAATAGGCACTTTTTAAAAATACAGAATTGGAATTAAAGATGTGGAGAACTGATTCAAGGATTCATTTGTATTTTCCTAGCACTAGAGGGAGTACACAAGACAAGTTCTGAGAAATGTGAGCTTCACCACTGCTTTATGTAGCTTTAAATGTGTTTCTACTGCTGTGTGTGCTCTGAACATATATGAGTGCTTGTTTTCTCAACCTGAGGCAGCATTCACCTACATTTTTTTGAAGAATCAGTTCTGCATAAAATGCCAATACTGTGAAAGTCGAATTGATTCCAGTGTATCTCAAACTTTGGCTAACTAAACATTAAGTGCATTTGTTTGAAGCCAAATTTTGCTATTAGTTATTTTGATCAATAAACAAAAGACACTCTTTGGAAAATGTGGCCTTTACCTTTTCAAATCATCAGTGATTACTCTGTCAAATCAATGAATACTGAGTCTCTAGGAACAGTAGTGCCTGTAATTTGGTGAAAACATTTTTGCTATAAATTGCTGCTCTTGGGAAGATGTTTGCTACTTAGCTGTTCCCTGGCCTTCAGTCGCCTTGCAATCCTTAACATTCTTTCCTCACATTTCTTGCCTCCTAGTCCTTAGTTTGGCTCCCAGAGCTACTCCTGACTCTGGACCTAGGGTGAAGTTTACATCCTAGTCAGAATGGCAACCTCCTCTGTCACAATTTTGGCTGCAAACTGACAGCATTGTTTTACTCAAGAAACAGTGCTGGTTTGCACATTACAACAATCCAGAGTAGGGGTCGCTGTTGAATTGTGATTATTGTTATATGCAAACTCTGCATTATAGTGTGAATTGTTAACCTTGAACAACCCAGGAAGAGAACCTATGGTTTGTTGTCTGGGTTGTTCATGATTAACAAAACATAGTGCAGGATTTGCATGTAATGATAACCCCAGACTGAGCAACAAGCTTTGATTCAGTAACAGTCCATATTCAACCTGGCCCATTTAAACAGAAACACAGATTTCTGTAAGGTTGCGCCTTTGCCTTTGATCCCACTTAGTCAGCCGACTGAATTCAGAATCATTTGCTTCCAGGTAGACATGTTTATCATAACTCTGGAAACCGTACTGTATTATACATTGTGTAACTTTAAAAAAGTCACCTCATATACTAACAGTACAATTGATCTTAGATTCAGTCTTGAGGCAGAAAAGAAATTTAACTACGTTTTATTTTTATTTTCAGACATTTTTGCAAAAGACCTTGAAATGTTTGCCAGGTAAGTACAATAGAAAGATGTAATACAGTAAATAGCCATTGTGTTTCTTTTTCTGGTGAGAAGACGAGAGATACAAAAGCCCCCACCCGCTCCTTTGTGCTTCCTAGAGTCCAACCGATATTCGTTGAAAACACAGCTTCGCTTTGGCTATTGTGCTCTCTTGGCCAAACTTCTATTATTTTGCAGTCTGAAGGGCACTTATTTGAACATCCTCTGTCTCAGGCTCCCAATTCTTCTGAAGCTTTGTTGAGTACTTGACTCAAAAACTGGCTGTTTGTTCCCTAAATGTGAATAGCTCTCAAGGACCCTGGATTCTTTGGCTGATTTTTCTTCTGCCTATTCACTCTCAAAATTGCTCTGGAAGCCAGCGTAAAGTACAAAAATGTATCTGCACGACAGAGACAAAAAAGTAGATTGCCTAGAGGATAATGAAGCCTTTGTGTCAGCTCTTGCTTCCTAAGAGCAGCCTGGTGGGTGGATTGTGTTCTGCCTTGTGTAATTGCATGCAGGTGTGTGCCTAAACCACAGCCCAACACAGTCAGAAGGTCTCCTTTTGTTAGTGGCTTGTTACCCACAGATAGAGCCCCTCGAACGGGTGAATAGGCAGCTTGTTTTCTTTTTCTGAAAAGTGTGAGGTGGCTTCACACAGGATGGGCTCACAGCCAGTGGATTTGGAACTGGAAGAAATGCGAAATGATTGCATGATGTCCTTTTACGATTCCGTTTGGCTTCTGGAAGCTGAAAACTTTTTGCCACCTGTAAGTAGGGGGTTGTCAGAAGTACTTACCTTTCAGAGGCAGCTGCTTGCTGAGTCTTTGCTAGCATCCCTGCTCTAGGTTTTCTCCTCTCAGTTGCCTAGATCGGTGACTTATAGGGAAATGTAGCAGGAGGAGCCCCAAATCTGTCTTGAGGTGCCTTTAAAACATGCTGTACATCTTCCCTATGACTCAGTCCCTTCCCCTTGTAGCTGTTTGCTCCTCAGCTGACAGGCTTCCTGCAGCTGCTGGGCGCGATGGCATGGACATGAGTGCCCCACACAATCTCATGGCATGCAGCTACGGACCTAAACCTGGCTGGTGTCAAGCAGGGAGGGGGGCACACTTAAATCGCCACAACAGGTCATCTAAGTGTTGTGCAGGCTGGGAGGACTGCTTAGGTTTCTCTTGCGTCCCCCCTGCACCCCCGGTGCTGCTTTCACCCGGACTGGCATGTCCATCATGGAAATCCCGAGGCTCAGAAGCACTTCCCTTAGCTATTAAATGGCTGCTTCCCCTAATAACTGTCTTACATCCATGCAGTTCTCTGCACCTGGGCCTTTGCGATGCGGTGGCTGCCTGACTAGAAGCTTGCTTTGGCTCTGCCTGCTGCCTGAGCATCTCTTTGGGTGGTATCAAGGCCATTCATCCTGTGTGTGCCACTGGCTCCACTGATGTCCTCAGTTTATGCTTGGGAGGTTGTACGATGTTCTCTCAATCCTCTAGTCCAGTTCATACTTGTCAGTGGCTCTTCCAGAGCTTTTGTAAAGCTTAGTCCATGCCTTAATCTTTGCTATTCCTACCGCTGCTTTTTTAGGTCCTGTTGTCCTCCTCGCATCCCTGCACCGCCACATGTTGTCCATTTAATGCGCAGCCTGTGCTGTGCAGACGTTCTGGCCCACAGCTTTCATAATCTGTCATTTTTGGCTACTGCTGAATGATGCAGGCTGGATACCCCTGTGCTAATAGAACGCTGCTTGTTGGAGTTCTCTATGTAAGAAGTACTGCAGGATCAGACCGTCTCCCCGCCACCCCCCGGCATAAAGAGGCTGCCTGCGTTTTCATTTTTCTGGGTCACTGGAGGTCAATTTGTGTGCTACAAATTACAGTTCCAAATCAGCATCTTTATATAACAAATGCATCAAGTGGGACTTGAATGACTCAGAAGGCACCTGGCCTTTCACAGCAAGTGGGCATCTTCCACCAGCTTTGTTCAATTTTGCCTGCAGGGGCTTGATGAATTTACACCCTCCCTGCCTTGAGAAAATCCTTTTATTTTTTGCTTGAGTTTTTCTGCATCCACTATTTGGGGAGGGGCTTTAGCTCAGTGGGGGAGGCCCTGTTTTTCATGCAGAAGGTCCTCGGCTCAGTTCCCCAGCATCTCCAGGTAGGGTTGAGAAAACCCCCCTGCCTGAAGCACTGGAGAGCTGCTGCCAGTCAGTGTGAACAATACCAGTCCGGATGGAGGAGTCTACCTGCTGCCATGTGCCATAAACTTGAATAAGCTTCCCTGTCACCATGTATGGAAAAATCGGGTGTGGAAGCAGCAGTGGCACAGGGGCTGCTGACTAGGCGGGGAGACCGGTCAGCAGTGGAAGAGAGATCACTGCAGGCTCGGTAGCTGTGCCCACTCGGCCACGCAGGTGGCTGACTGCCTCGGGCAGCCCGGTTGAAATGCTCCCTGGCATAGAAATGTTATAATAATAATAATAAAAAAATAATAATTTCCAGAAGCGGCACGCAAGTGTGAGGCTTCAGCAATGGCTGGCTCCTCACAGGAACCAAAAATACGACCCCAGAGGCTCTGTGACATAATGCGGACTTGCTTACCTGGGTTCACAAAGCGCTTTGAAACATCCCCAGAGAAGATACTGTGACTAGCGGAAATCAATTTATTTTATGCATTATTTATTTGTTGCGTTTGTATCTTTCCTTATCTTCCAAGGACCCCCAGGCGGCATATATGGTGGTCCTCCTTTTCGCTCTATCCTTACAACACCCCTGGAGGAAGGTTAGGTTGAGAGGCATCGACTGGCCCAAAGTTACCCAGTGAATTTCTTGGCTGAGAGGAGACTCGGACCTGGATCTCCCAAGCCCAACACACTTAGTCCACTGGCTCTCCCGAGCTTCAGAACTGACCTATCGATCAGGCAGGATCTAGAAAGTGATATGAGAGTATTTAGAATCAGCCAAGGAGAAGGTGTTGTGTCTATCCCGCAGCCTGGCAGTCAAATAAACACTTTTACAGATTGTGAATAGCCTGCTATTCCACTGGCACTAGTAAACCATCCCATAAACTACCTGTGTCTTGATAAATTTGTTTCTCCTTTACACAGGCATGCAAAAAGAAGCACAATCAACGCAGAAGACGTGAAGCTTTTGGCCAGGCGGAGCAATGCATTGGTGAGATGAGATCCTGGATGTGGTTTTATCTCTTGCTGGTGGGGCAGCATTTCTCCTTGGGAATAGCTATTGCTTCCTCCATCAAATGCCACCCTGAGAAGTTTCACCCTCTCTCTGCAGCCCCTCCTTGTTTGTTGTGCTTCTCTGAACACTGGATTCCTTCCCCTGGGCTGCCGGTGGCTGGAAACCTGTGCAATAAAACAGGGTCTCTTGGTAGCCTCAGGATGTACTTATATGGGAATAAGGTTTCAGGGCTGGAACCCACTTCATTAGGTGCTTGTAGTATTATTTTAAATTTACAGATCTCCCTTCCTTCATTGTGTGTACACACACATGCACACAGAGAGAGAGAGAGAGAGGGAGAGAGAGAGAGAGAGAGAGAGAGAGAGAAAGCCAGTCTCTCTCTCTCTCTCTCTCTCTCTCTCTCCAGGAAAACAATATAAACAACATCTGTCCCAGATGACCATGGTATTTAAAAAGTAGCACGTGACATTGCAGGCTAAAACTCACAAGGTAAGCTCAGAGACTCTTTGCAACAGCAGCTGTTGTATCTCAACAAATGTAGAGGGGGCAAAAATGGTTTTGATTGAGTCCTAAATGCCTGCAGCCAAATTCTGCGGTTAAATTCTAGTCCGGCAATCCCATGCTAGATTCACCCTTGCCAGTTGTTCTGTTTGAAAAGAGGTGACCTTCCTGGGGGACCGAACCGTTCTCGGAGTCTTGGACGGCTTCTAGGCACAGCACCAGAATTGCATGGCTGCTCTTGGCAGCAGTTCCTGCTTACCTTCCACCTTACAAATGCAGGATGTGATCTCTTGTCACTTCGCATCTCTGCCTCAGTGGTTGCTGTTTGCAGGGGCTGAAAAGTTCAAAGCAAAGTGACATCTCTTGATGGGTTTTTCTTTTACTGCATGTTTCTGAGAGGAGGAGAAGGAGGACTGGGGATGAGCTGTTGAGGGGGGGGGGCTGTGCCTGAACAGCAGCGCCCCTGCTTTTCATTCAGAAGTCCCGGGGTTTGATCCCCAGCATCTTGGTAGGTCTCTAGGGCTGCTGCCGCCTGTATGTTGACAATACTGGCCCTGGCTCAGGATGAGGCAGCTTCCTCCGGGCCATCAGGCTGCCCTTTTCCCCGGCAGTCACATGTGATCCATAACATCTAGTCCTGGTCCGGCATCATTGCTAGTTTGCAGGTTGACCACTTCTGCAAGGCCATTTAGGGTAGTATTAATTCCAAGTTATTTATAAGCTGCCCTATAACAAAAGCTTATCTGGGATATGCAGCCCAGATAAGAAAAGAAAAGAAGAAAGCAGAGCTTCGGATGTTACGTGTTTCTGCTAATTTTAACCTCCTTTGGACAAGTCTTCCATCAGTGAAATATGTTGCTATTTCCGAAAGGCTTGTGGGGGTGTGCAAAGGGTACAGCTGAGTTGCGTCTCCTTGAAGCAACAGCTGCAGTGCAGCTTAATTGAGCGTGAAACATTTTGTCAAGAAGAGAAAGACGATTGTGCCTGTCCACACTCGAGAGATTGCAGTGGTGCTTAGTTGATAGTCCCTTGTTTTCGCTTGGTTGTTGTTAATGTTCTAAGATGGGAATTGTAGGGGACAATATTGGGCTACCAAAAGGCCTGGGGCCTCACTGGAATCTGCTATGTATAGGAATAATCAATAATATTTGGTCAATAATGAGCCCACTAACAAATAATGCTAGACCTCCAGAAAGTCTCGTGGTGCAATCTTGTACATATTTTCAAACTAAGCCCCACTAATGGCAATGGAATATAACAGATCTTTGTAGGCAATAATATGGCTATTGTGTGAAAGGTTATAATTAGTAAGCTTTGGTAGGGCAGAGAGCAACCCATTGTGTCCTGGTGGGAACCCCACTTCGCCATACTTCTATTCTGTTAGGGTTTTAACAAAGAATATGTATGTAATTATAATTGTATGTATAAACCCCCAACAACACCATAAAATAGGGGATTGATTGGAAATGAAAAGATAAAAAGTTACCACACACAAGAGTAATGTTTGTTTGAGTTTTCTTTTTAGAAAAACACAATAATAAACTTCTGACTTGTCATTTACCAAACAGATGAATCCAATAAGAAGGAATCATAAATGTTTTATACAGCAGAAATTGCCAAGAGATTCATTCAGCCTAATACCAAATTATTGCAAAATTGTCAGCGATCAATAAACACAGACCAAATTACTTTTGGATTGTTTTGCATCTAGTCTACATTTGGATGTTTTTACTTCTGGTTTATCAACAGGAGTTACAAACTGAACCAAGCTCCTCAAAACATCTCTGGTGTCCACATTTCTTCTAATACAACTTGCTAATATTGGGCCCCATTCTTTGTTTTTAAAGAATATCCCAACTAGCCAGCTATGACATCACAGTCCAGAGAAGGCTTTGGCTATTGGGCTGTATAGTAATACAATTATTACTACTAATGATGATGCTTGTATTTAGGAAAATAAGATGCCATAGACAAACTCAGTTTTTGTCCCTGAAGCCCTGGGTTATCTATTCTGGCCAGCAGCAGCTTTTTAGAGACTCTAGTGGAGAATAGTTTTCCCCACCCACCTGCTGCCTGATCTTTTTAAGTGGAGATAAACTGAGGACTTTCTTCATGGAAAAACAGGTGCCCTATCACTGAACTGTAATAGCTTACTATTTATTAATGGGAGTTTCCAGTCAATTGTTTACCTCCGCTCACAAATCACCACCTTTTCACCACCGCCCAAGACATGGTCAAATAGTTGCTCTCCTTTTACCCTTTCTACTTGCCAACCTTCTTACAAACCTGCACTGCTGCTTTCTGCTCTTTGGAAGACTTTGTGAGTGTCTCTTGTCAAATGGGTAACCCTCTGTGCCAAAGGAGACTGATAAAACTCTCTCTTTCTAGCTGGGGTACATCACCCAAAAGAGCGAAGAACTTGCGATGAACAACCAGGAACAAAAAGAGAAAAGGAAAAAGAAGTCTGCTTCTAAGAAAGGGAGACTCTCTGACGAACAGGAGGAACCGGCAGCGGTGGAGAATGACGATTTCCCCATGGCGTGATCCTCCACTTCTGACTCCATCAAGACTTTAAGCACAGATTTTCATCCTGCACAGTGAAGGTCTGATGCTGCCCTAAGATGTCCACTGGTGCTTGCTTTAGGGTAGAACTTTATACTTTTCACCAAGCAAGCATAATGATTGGAATATTGGTCTCAGTTTTTTGCAACAGATGTCGAAAATGGATGCTTTAGATGTTTTGGAAAGCGAGATTTATATAAATGGGAAGATGATAGCTGGGTTTTTTTTATAGTTGTATTCTTTAAGAAGGAAATAATGCTTATTAAAAGCAGAATTTATTTGCTCTAGGATATTAGTCATAAAAACACATGCTGATAGCTTGGAGGGCTTTAAGCCAGCCTTTTATATGTTTGAGGATATGCATTCATTGCTGTTCACTAGAGTTTTTAAAAAAATCTGTTAAATGTGCAATCCTATGTATGTGTAGACAGGAAAAAAAGTCCTACAACTCCCAGCATTCCCCAGCCAGCAAGGGTTGCTGGGAGTTGTAGTCATGTTCTGTCAAAATTTGCCTAGGATTGTGGCCTAAGAGAGTAATCCTAAGGGTTCAGAGGGTGTCTTTTATCTTTGCAGGGGCTTCTGGTTAATCTGCGCTTCCAGTTGGAGGATTGGGACGTTAAGTAGGTGGGAGTTGCTGGTAGCAGAGATGCAAGGACATGCGAGCCAATTTAGCTGGTTTTTGAAAAGAGAGCAGAACGAGGACACAAGAGTAATAGAACAGTTTCCTGGGAGCTGGGGAAGTAAGGATCAGAAACAAAAGAAAAGGTAGGAAGCACGAGGACTAGCAGTTTAAATGTTACTGAAGAGGAGATGACCAGAACCTAGGGCAGGGCTTTCAGCTCTTAGTGCAAATAATCTTTTGGGAAATGTAAGAGAGTGAATGTAAGGAGCCAACATTAGCCTGGATACGTGGAGAATAAGAAAAGGGAGACATGGGGAACAGCCCCCCGATTGCGTGTCCAGATGACAGCCTTTGTGGTCAGTAATGTGGTTAATGCAGAAAAGAACCATATCTGGCTAGGCTCTCTCTGCCAGTCACAAGAACTTTCCTAAGGGTGTGCACAGGAAGTATTTCTATATTCATCTTTCCCAATGCTGCTGCTACAGACACATCTTGCCTGCAGATTTTGGAATACACACAGAGTGTTTTTGTACTCGGTAAGACACGAGGTCCATCTAGCCCAGCATCTTGGTCAACCAAGTGCCTTCAGGACGCCCGCAAGCAGGGCATGAGAGCAATCTCACTTTCCTCTTTTTCCCCCTCTCACCTGCTGTTGAGTGGCACTTTAACCTGGAGGTCACCTGTAGTCGATTTGATTACCAGCCATCCACAGACATTAACCCCCCTACATAAGTGTGGCTGCCCCTGCTTAGGCTAGTGACCCTGGGCCATCTTGCAGCAGTGAAATTGCACAAGAATTGTTGCAATGTGCACAGAAGCATTTTCTTTTGTCACGATGTTGAATGACTCCCAGGTGTAGTATTACGAGAGGAGAAAAGCCATGTAACATGTCCACCATGTAACATTGTATAATTTTCTATTAAGTCCTAGCTTTGAACAGCTTTGCCTCATTGCTCATCCCATCACACATATTTGTGATTCCTAGTTTACTGAAGGGAGCTGGTATTTGAAATTTTATTTTCTTCGGAATCCATGTTGGGAGTCCATTCTAAAGTACACCTTGCTACTTATCCAGTGATAAACCCAGAAACAGAGCGGGAAGGGGCTGTTGAGGCCAACCCCCTGGTTATTGTAGGAATCCAGTTCAAAGCAGCCCTGACTAATGGCTCTTGAGTCTCTGAATAGCTGCTAGTGACAGGGGGACCATTCCTTTCCTATGCTGTTGGTTCCATTGCCTGACTGTCACAAACTTCTGCCTGATGTTCAGCCAAAAGTGAACATAATTTGCACCTATTATTTGATCTCGAACAGCCTTGGATGATAAAGAAGAACTACAGCCCCGAAGATCCTCACTTCTTGCTAGTTGGAATTTTTGAAACTGAATCGCCCTCTTTGTGATTTCGGCTATTCCAGACATGATGCCTAAAAATCCTAAACAAAGTTCCAGTGCGAAGTCACAGAAGTGAGGCTTCTTTTCATTCCGAGTGCATCCTGAGGCCGTTGTTTCAGTTTTCCTTATAATGCTCAATAGACTTTCTTCCTCCCCGCCTGCGAAACCCACCATTGTGATTCATTTGGTGCCAAAATAACCTATTTTGTACTTGTACGAGTCGCAGCCATTATGGGAATAATGGCGAGGAAATGAGGTTCAGTCGGGTGTTGTTGTTTTTTTTGGAAATAAAAATGCATACACAGCTTAAATTAACAGTAAGTGTTCTCTAATGGTATTGGCACCCAGAGGCACTAATTAAGGGTTAAAATCACACAAGACGCCCAATTTGGGGGCTTAATTGCTCTCCAGTTCGTGCGTCATTCCCTGTGTTCGGAAAGAACGAGGTGATGGTGGCAGCCATGGAGGGGGGGCTTGCTTTATAAACACATTGTTGGAAAATGTGTGCCCCTCCCCATCTCTAAAAAGTACAAAATATAACTTGAATGCAGGTGTAGCTTGTAGCAGGATCGGATCAGATGGCACTCCTTGCGCATCCCCTGCTCTGCCTGTTTCTCCTGGTGCTCAACGCCTTCTTGCCCATGGGGGCTGCCGTGGCAGCTGCTTTCCCTATTCCAGACAGGCTGGTGTGGAAACACAGCAAGGTAAGCTGAAAACAGGAGGAAACTTGCTGGTGGGGCTAAAAATCTGGGGAGAACTGCAAGCCTAAAAGCCACCTGCACCTTTTGAATATGTTATGAGCCAGCCCTAGCAATAAAACAACAGCTTTATAGAGCATTTAAGTCCTGTTGAGTTCAGTAGGGCTTACCTGCTAGATTACAGGTAAGTGGATATATTTTAATCAGCAGGGGAAAGCAGATAAATTTTCATGTAACAATGTCATGTCTTTTTTTAAGGGGAATTTGTGTTCTAATGCGTCACTGATACGAGGACAAAAAAGAGACAATTAAAATGCCCTCTTTGTTTTTACTAACAGCACAATCCTATGCGTATTTACTTTGAATTAAATCCCACTGTTCTCAATGGCGCTTCTTCCCAGGTAAGTGTGTACAGAATTGTTACCATGTGCTTATCTGAGTTGCTTCAAAAGTTACCTGGTGACTTGGTAATGTAGAAATCATCGATTACTTTTACTGCACCATCCCTTGTACAAGGGTACATTACAGGTTTAACAGTCCTGAACAGACAGTGGAAAATGGATGGCAGGGAAAGAAATTAAATTGAGAAGCTGAAAAATCAAAGCGATCCTGTACATTCTGGAACCAGTAGATTACCCTAACTTGAGTTACCATTTTTCTATTAGTTTACTGTTCAAACCCCCTACTGGGCTACAGTTCAGTACTACTTGGGGCTGCCATGAAGCCTGACCCTACCCACCTTTTCTTGGAAAGAAGTCCTCTTGACTTCAGTGGGCTTTACTATCCGAGTATGAATGGTTTTCTAACCCTGATTCTTGTGCCAACAGGGCAATTGTCCCAGGCCTGAAGTATATACCCCTAATAAAGCCTAAGAAATACAAATATCCTGAAATACATGGATTCAAAAACTAACCATACTAACAGCAATAGCACTGACTTCTGAGTAAACATGTTTAGGATGAGACTGTAAATACCTCTGGCTAGGAATGTGGTTGCTTTTTTCCTTACTCCTCACATGTGACTGCAGGATTGCAGGCTGGGACCTTCATAACGAATGAAGCTCTTACACAGTATTCTCCTTTTAATATTATGACCCATTTTCTTTTTATGGTGTTATTTAGGACCGAGATAGGAACTTATTTGCTTAACAACACAAGAGTTCAGATACACTCCAGTTTGTATTTTCTGTGTTTCTTTTCCGGAAAGAACGAAACCTGTCACAAACACAGCTGAACTAAGGCATTATTGAAAAACTTGCCCTCAAATCATCATCCAGTTTGTCCCTGTGCATATATATGTGTGTATATTCTCATTCCAGTGTTCCTCATTTGTCGATATAATTGAATGCTGCTACGGGTTTTCAAAATGGCCATTAAAGGAGCCATTTTAAGAGTTTTCAACTCGGAGAGCTTGATTTAATATACCCTCTCTTGAAAAAGATCCAAGAACAAGTACATAAAATTCACCATTAAAAAGATATTTTTCTTCCAAATTATTAGATGAGCTACAGCATGGCAGCCTGATAGTTTTATTAGGTTGATCGCCTTTGTCATTATTTTTAATGAGACCTTTTGAATGAAGCGGAGGATGAACTGAATTATTCTTAAAAGGAAGTATGTGAAAGTGGCCCTTTTAATTTTTTAAGTGGGGTGGGGGGGGAGGCTTGGTTTGCCATTTCACTGAAGATTAATGCAAGTTGTGAAATGAGAGGAAAGGGCTTCTCTTCTGTTCTCAGGAGAAGCAGGAGGGCAGACCATCCTGGCTTGACGGATGCCCATCAGTAGGGAACTGTTGTAAGCCGTCCTGAGGCTTTTTGCGATTTAGGACAGCATATAAATATTTTAAATAAACTCAACCATTTCTGGCCCTCAGCCGGTGCTCTTCATGCTACTCTTGGTTGCTTCAGTATTCCTGGGATCCATGCCTAATCCACTTTCACTCTGTTTACCAGTCTCTCCAGGTCCCAGCCACCCTCGACCGGAGCGAACTCCTTGCCTTTCTCTCTGAGCTGGCCGAATGGGCATCCCGCATGAACGAGGCCCCCCTGCCAAGGCCAGAAAAGATGACGCCCGTCCCTCGGGAGGAGAGGACGCCCGTCCCTCAGCCCCCAACCCGGGAAAAGGTGCCCTGTAAAAACTTCTTCTGGAAGACTTTCTCCTCTTGCTAGTGGAACTTTCCTCCTGCACCAGTGGACTCGAGATGAGTATGATCAGTGACTGTTCCGTTCCTTTGGGAAAAATCCGTGTCCTGTAATTAGAGTTCGCTTTGCTTTTCTTGATTCTAGGTGTGTCTGTTCAGGACCAGCTCTGTGTGCTTGCATGGAATTCTTAACTCATGTGGGTGAACTTGCAGGATTTAGGGGTGCCCCATTCTTAGGTTGCGAAAGCAGCGTGCCCCCTGTATTCAGTGAAAAACCTTGCCCATTTCAACAGGTTGGTCAGAACAGCAAGTTTCACAGCGTTAGTACTGCTCCTACCTAAAGGGAGAAAGGTAATCCTAGCTCTGTGATGCGTTGTGTTTTGACTGCTCTTGGGTTGCTCTTAAGAGCAGGAAAGTGAGGGCTGTTTCCCAGTTATGCACTCAGCTCATGAGTACAAATATGAGGAAACATACCCCTTTGGCTTGGGCTTTTGTGTGTGTGACGGGCACGCACTTATAGATCTGAGGTATATAGGAACTACCTTATAACCAGCACTGTGCTTAAAAACTAAAACCATCAGAATAACCAGCTGGGGCCTTCAGCCCCATGGACAACTCGGTCAGCATGCTCCCTGCTCTTCCCGATGTTTATTTGATCACCTAAAATTGTTTTGAATTAAAACAGCTGCGAAGGATGGCCTGCCACAAAACACAGTGCTGCTCTCCTGCGTCATCCTGGTGTGGGTTCAAACGGGTGTTTGTTTTGGTTCGGTCTTGTAGCTCCGACCCACCCGTACCTTGTACTTAGGTTCTTGGACACGTTCATTTTCATTTAACCTCACCAATTGCCTCCTTGGAAACGAGTGTTTTGTGACCAGCTATGGGGACGTTAGACAGGTATTTTGTGAGACTCTCAGAACACTGCCTCAAAATTCCGCATGTGCCCCCACAGTTCCAAACAAGTTGAGACCTATGTCCTATGTATTATACATTAATTCTGCCATTCCTCCAAGAAACTAGGTGTGGTGCACTTGACCTTCCTTCTACCTTCACAACGACCTTCAGAGGCAGGTTAAATGTGCCTTGATTCACAGTTATCCAATAAACTTTGTTTGAGAAAAGGTGACCCTCAGCTTCCTTTAGCTTTAAGGTAAGCTCACTTCTGTACCCACCCAAGCAGAATTCTCTTTCGTAGTTACAGCAGACCTGTGCCATTTCTGTTACTTTGTGTGATTCTAATACCTCACCTCCTTAGCCACTGACAGTTCATTTCTGCAGCCTCTTCAGCTGCTGAGAGCTGTGCAAACATTGCCCACGTTGTTTCACGCACTTTTTTGCCACGCTATGACGACGAGCTAGCTCTGTTTAAAAGAAAACAATAGTTCTTTAAAAAGCCAAATCCTATTTTCTGTCTCTGCTTTTTCTGAACTTTCTTGGAACTGCAGCAGGCATACAGCTCTGGTCATGTTTCAGTGAAAACGCAAGTGTACATATGCAAATCCCAAAGTGAGGTGGTTAGAACTGGGGATCCAGTCTTCAGAGTTAAATGCATTTACTTGGAAATGAGTCTCGCTGATTTTGTTTCTGACAAGTGTGTGGAAGAGTGCCGTCTTGCTTTCTGTATACAGAGAGTTGAACATTTCTTAGCAGTGTTGGTACGATGATGACAAAACCTCTTCCCGACAAAACTGTAACTTCGCTTTCATTTAATGTTAGAGCATGGAAATTTCAAGAAATTGGAATGGTTGTGTGCATTTTGAAGTGTTCATTACCCAGATGCACAGACTGGAGTTGTTTGTAAAGAAAGGAAGGAAACACACACACATACTAACTGGGGAAGATTTCAGCTGTTCCTTACAGACTCTTGCCAGCAAGCTAAAAAATATCATTCCAACTCCCTGTTTTTCTGTCTTGAACTTGTCTCCCACTATCTTGGCGTGCAGAAATAAAACTTTGCTGTGCACACACGACCTTCCTGCTGTATTTTGTCCAGAGAGAACATGAAGTGTGGTTTCAGGCACATCCTTTCTTAGCAACATTTCATTTTGTGGAAGTGAAATTTGTCTGCAGGTACACCTGGTCCCTGTCTCCTCAGATGCACCTTCTCCTTCCCCCACCAATCATTTCTTGGCTTTTGTTTGGTTTCCCCCATGTTCTAAAAGGTTAAAATACTTCTAAGGATTAGTACTGGCAGGGAGAGCTTTTTCAGCTGAAATATGTTGAGATATTCGGTACTTTACACACATCTCTGTTGCTTTTGGACTCTCACCCCTAGAATGCTGCCCCTAAGAATTTTTCTGAAATTGAATTTGGCACTTGGGTTGACAGACATTCAGCACCCGGGATCTAGTGACTTCCAAAAGCACACCTGTCTCCAGGCATTCCTGGAAGATACATGAAGCCATCCAATCATTTTCGTGTGTGAAACGCATAGCGGAGACTTGCTGCCCTTTATCTCACTCTTCCTCTCACTGCCTCTTCCTAGTTGGTAGTTCTTTTGGCTAAACGCTGAAATGTCTGCAGTTGGGATCCTTTTACAACAGTTGTTGAATCTCAACATCTCACCAGAAAGCTCCCACTCCTTACTCCCAACTACCAGTTGTTAGGTTTTGTGCCTTTTTTTCCTGTCTTTCTAAAAATCTGAAAGGCTTAGCTGCTGGCATTAGGAGCTGTCAGCTCAAGTATGCTGATATTTTCGGCATTGCATCCTTGACCCTTTTGCCTCTAACTTTACCTCTCTTGTTTGGCTCCACTCATTCCTGGAATGCCGCTACCTGGGGCCAAATCCATCCCCAAAACTCGTATGAAATTGAGTTTAGTCCTTGGGCTCTTTAAAGCTCCTCTGAGCGCCTTTGATTTGGGTTTCTCACCCCAGCAACCACCTTGTTGGCTGGACTTTGTCTTCGTTCCAAGGGAAGAAGCTGAGGAAACTTTTCTATTTCTTGAATAGCTGGACTCAGAAACGCACATCGCAAGTAGCAGACACTCTCAATCGAATTTGCAACTGGTGGCCAAGCAAGCAGCGCAGTGCAAGTTTTCCAAAAGGACTGCGCACCGCGCAGCTGTTACCAGGTGGAAACTTTCAGAATGAGAGGAGGTACTTTTTGTACCTTGCTGCATGGCTGGAAGCAACAAAGGCCAAAGAACATCTGAAGAAGCACGCTCAGGCTTGCTCACAGTTTCCCGAAGATTATTTGCCACATTCCTCACTTGAAGTTCACATTGTTAAAAATCCCTTTTGGTCCACTGCAGAAAAGTCAAGCAGAAGCGAGAAAGCTGTTGCCTGCCTCTCGGCAAAATGTCACTTTTTAAAGCCAAAACTGAGAACTCTGTTGCTCAGATTACAGTTTCTAGGATCCTGCAGTGGCCAACTACAGGCCTCCCGTCCCACCTGGGGGGTCTGCAAACAGCTGCTGTGGTCAAGATCCGCCTCCCCGCTGCTGCTTCTCAGGAGTATTCTGCCTTTGATCCTGGAGGTCACACAGCCACCAAGATCAGCAACCACTGTTAGTCTTTGTGTAGGGCTGACCTACGTGCCAGGCAGACAGGGTATGGCTTGACATAAACACCCCAAATCCTAAATATCAGCAACGCGGTCTGCAGACAGAACTGTATCCAATAGTACACAAATGAACAGACACACAAGGAAAGGTGGTTAAATCACTTGTTTTTAACAAAACTAATCAACGGTGCTCTTTTGCTAATGCAAGTGGAGATGGCCTCATGACGCTGTATCCAAAGTGAACTGTAGGCAGCCTTAGTTCTTGTGGTCTAGAAACGCAAATTCCTGTCCTTCCCTGAAAAGGTCCCCTAAAGCTGACTCGCTCTTGTAGAAGCAGCACAGGCATTCAGGCCAGGATGCAGCGTGTGGTCTTCAGGCTCGCTCTGCACAGCCATCAGCCTCACTTCCAAAGGCCTCCACAAGCAAGCAGACCCACCTGAGAAGACGGGCGTGTTTCTGCCATGGCAGGCAGGGGAGAGTAAAGGCCCCTGGGCAAGCCACGCTCCACAGCCCCTCCCCTCGGCGAGGTGGCCTTCCCACGGGCTGCTGCTGCTGCTTCCCGTCCTTGGAGAGGGGCCCTAGCCCTGCCAACTCCTGGCGGTGGCCTTGGCAGAGGGAAAGAGAGTGGCCGTAAGAGAGGAGCAGGGCTTCTGCTCGCTTTGGGTCCCGACCCTGCCTGCCACTGACAGAAAACCCCGAAGGGAATATGGCCCCGGGCAGCGTGGACAGTGAGGGAGCTCCCGAACTCTGCAGTAAAAGGAAAGGAGAAAAACTGCTGTCTGGGGGGCACTGCAGGTGTGCTGCTGAAATACAAGGCACCTGCTTACCTTCTGCTTGGCAGTCAGGGTGCACCAGGTTGCTTGGGAATCGGGGCTGAGCAGGATACGAAGTATGGGAGGCAGAACTCTCAAACAACGTGAGTTAAGGCAAGCAGTGAATGGACCCTAAATTGTCTGCATGAGGCCAGGACTGAAGGAAATGGCAGCCAGAAACACAGCAGGGTTTAAAGTTCCAACTGTGAGCGCCAAGAACCGTCCTATTAAACCCAGCATTTTTGCTCGCCACACTGCAACAGCGGTACCATCGTCTTCAAAAGATTCCTCAGACGGGCCCTTGTAGAATCTATGCCAAAGAATCCCATTTTCCCTGGTTTGAGAGCTGACAGAAATACAAACTTGGTTGCTGACTGTCTCATCCTCCAAATCTGCCCCGGGATGCTCGGTTCTTGCTTTGAGAGGCACCAACGCACATGTGGCAAGCTCACACAGACGCCTTCGGCCGAGCCGCCCTATTTCTTGCGCTTCGAACTCAGCCACTCCCCCCACGGCAGCTTCTTCTTGCCCTTGGAAATGTTCCGCAAGGAGTGCAAAGCCTGAACTTGCTCCAGGCGCCTCGAAAGCTCGCCCTCGCAAGCCTTCTGCAAGGCTTCGATTTTCGCCATGTCCCAGCTCAAAGCCGCAGCAAGGGCTTCTGGGTCTTCTTTATAAAGCAGCTGCAAAGGAGAACAAAAGAAGAGCTTGCGTCTCTGAAGCTGAAAAGAGTGTGCTAACCATTGAACTCTCCCTCCGCTGTGCACTTCCCCAGTCGCAATCACAAAATCCATGGAAAAGCATACATTAAAGCAATTTGTCATCTGTAACGTTTTTAAAAACATTGGGCTGGGTTAGGGATATGAAGATCTGGTTCTCCTGCACTCCCCAGACTCACTTCCTATGCTCAGCCCTGGCCAGGAAGCAAACTAAGCCAAGATCAAGTCTGCAAATATTTGGGAATCCCAGTAGCTTCTTTGTACGGAATACCCAAAGCCTGCACTCACATGTGCAGAAGCAGAACCTGTGGACTCGCTTCCTGCTGAATCCCAACCCCAAACCAGATTCTTCAGGGTTCCATCACTGGGCCACCCTGAGGGTGACCACTCCCTTGCTGTGGCCTTCCAGGTCTCCCGTGGAGGCACCTGGGGGAGAACTTAGGTGGTGAATGGGAAGGTTTATGCTGGGAGATGCACCTCACCACGTACTGCCACGTCGCTCGTTTATTTTAAAAAAGAGTCACAGAAGTTGTGAGAGGACAAATGGCTGCAAAAGGATCCTGACTGGAACATGCTGCTGAAGCTAAAGCAGGATGAGCGACATGGCAACCAATTCAGCTCCAAATAGGTGGCCTCCAGCGAAGTAAGGACCTGATCCCAGCTGCGGGGGTGGTCAGTTTTCTTTGGGGATGCATCAGGACCGTGTTGTCCCGCTCGCTCTCTCCCAGCGGGGAGCTTCATCTCAAGGCAGAACTGTGTGACGCAGCATGCCCAGCGATGCCGAGAAGGAGGGGCTGCGTTTTGACCTACCTCTAAGTCTTGACTGGCCAGGCTGAGCTCTGGTGCAGGCTTTTCTTTGAGCGCGGTCAGGATATGGCTGCCAAGCGCAGCTGCGGTTGCATCGCTTCTAGTGTTGCTCCCAGTGTCAACCGTATCGGTTCCCTCCATGGCGGTTTCCTCCACTTCTGGTTCTTTGCAGGAAGGAGAAGTGCGCGTTTTCAGAACATGGCAACCACAATGATTCAAAGAGCATACTCCCAAAATATTACCCCTTTTTTCTCCATCACTTGAGAAACCCGATTACGTTGTCAGCCGATGACCACGTTACCTTCCGCCTTGGGTACAAGGTGGTCCTCCCTTTTCATTGCCTGCAGGTAGAGCTCCAGAAGCTGTCGCGACTGGCGTTCCTCTTCCCTCCTGTCCAGCACTTGCTGAAGGGTGTTCTGCAGTGTTTGGATTTTAATTTGGTGCTCAGAAAGTTCTTCAGCCAAACTGGAGCACGGCACATCAATCAGCACCTATAGTAAAACAAAGACCAACCTGTGAGAGACTTCTACCTAGCAGAATTGCTTTCTGCCACTGGCCCTGAGGGCAGGACCAGTTCTCAGGGCTAAAATTCCAGGTGGGTAGATTTTGGCTGAACATTAGGAGACATGGCTCAGCATTGCAAGCGGTTTGACAATGGAATTGGTTACTTAGAAGGGCTGGAAGGACTCCATTTCTGGAGATCCTAAAGCAGAAACTGGCTGGCCATTTGTTGGAGATGGCTAGAGCACTGGCTTTCTGGCCCTTAGGCCAGAGGTGCTGTGAAAGAGGAGGGTGATCTGAAGATGCCTTTTCATCCTCTGTTACCCATTTCTGCAGCTAGCAAATAGATGTCTGAAAAGACATATTATCCGTGGACGTTCTCATCCCAACCTTTCCTGTACCTGCAGGTCTTCCTCGGACATCAAGATGATGGCCGAGAGGTCATCCTTCAGTTGCCTGGCGAGGCGCTTCCATTTCTCTTCACTGCCGTCAACTCCATCTACCTCCACAGCCTCTCCCTCTAGCCACGCTGTGCCACCATCTGGAAAGAGGCACAGTCATGAGCGTAGGAGGTGGGAAATCTTCTTACAGAACTTTACAAGCTAGGAGTTTGATGCCCCAGAAACTTCATCAAGTAGTAAATCCATTTGTCTTCCATGTGGCAAAAAGCTGACACTGTTGCCGTAAACAGAGGCACTCACAAAGCACCAAAGAACCCAACAATTTACATCGGGATGTAAATGGTTAGTAGCTGTTTAAACTGTTTTAAGTTTCATGTATTGACATTTTCCGGGGTATGTTATTATTTGTGGTTTTTATTGTTGTGGTCAACCACCCAGAGGGCTTCAGCTATTGGGTGGTCTAGAAATTAATTACATACTCTTTAATACCAGTGCAGGGATATTGACTGGGAGATAGATAAGGGTTTAAAGCTTGGAACTTTTTGCGGTGAAATCTCATTAGCCAAAGAGGCCAAATGACAGAACTTCTGATAGCCAGCCCCATGCAAAAGTCTTCCCAAGCTGCTTATCTGGGTGGCGCAACCCCACTAGGAGAATGCCAGGCACCTATTTCCATACATGAGAATCACTCATCCAAAGGGACGCGGGTTCAACCTTTCTGGTCTTCTAAGATAAAAATAAACCATGCATGAAAATCATGATCTGAAGCCACGTCAGTGTGCTGACAGCGTAGTGTAGTGGTCAGAATGTGGGACTGGGACCTGGGAGACCTGGGTTTTCTTCCCCACTGGGCCATCAAGCTCACTGGGTGCTTAGGGCCAGCTGCTGACTCTTAGCTTGATCTACCTTACAGGTCTGTTGCGAGGATAAAATGGAGAGCAGGAAGACCATAAATGCTATCTTGGGCTTCTTGGTGGCAAAGAACGGTGGCATTTCAATCTCTTGCTATTCGGGCGACACAGATATACGCTATTCAAAAGCTGAACCTGGGACACGAGGGTCCACCCATCTTAGACGGTGCTCAAGTTCTGCTAGATGCCGACTCACCTATACTGCTGCTGGACCACTTCTCATCCTTCAGCAGTGCCACGAACTTGGTGTTTGGCGGCAGACACAAGAAATAGTCTTCATCATCCACGATAGTGCCATCCTCCGCCAGTACCAAAGTGATGGGCTCTGAGGCCTCGTTAATGGCCAGGAGATCACAAGCTACAGAAAAGGGAAGATCCAAGTTATCCGTAAGAGATCCAACTACGGATAACATTTCTGTATTCATTGTTTAGCTTATTTATAAGGTAGGCGTGTTGTGCAGTATTCACAAGGACCAAATTCCATTACGGGGAATCTCTCAGGGGCGCTGGTAGAAGACGCAAAAGCAGGAGAGTAAACCCCAAAATTCCCCAGTATATTTTAGCTTAAAGCTTGTATGGCAGGCAATGAATTTGCTACAACCGAAAGTAACCCAAGGTCAGAGCTGGCACCCTGCCCTCGCTCCAGCCTTGCAGCTGATGTGGTTCTTTCCACACTGGCTGTGGCTCCGAGGTCAGAAGGCCAACCTGGGAGAGGTATGTGGGTGTTTGGGGGGGGGGCGGGGGCAGAGGCAGGAGCAGCTGGGCTGCACTGGGGCACAATGTGTCCTGGCAGTGCCTCAGCCTCCCCTTGTGTGCTGAGGCAAAGAGTATCTTGCCAGGGCCCAAAGGAGTGTGGAAGCGGCTCCTGCTTTCCATCGGATGCCCATAATCCTCTGAGTTTGGGAGACTGTGGGGCAGCTACACTGGATGATGCTAAATGCCTCGGGAGAAGCATCCCGAGCATTTTGAGTTGCCCCACAGGTCTGGAGTTGCCCACCCCTGAGCTCAAGAAGCCTCGACACACCGGCGAAACTTCACCCAGACCTTCACTCATAGAGGAGATGGTCTTCACAGGGAAGCATTTCAGCAGTTTCTTTGCAACACCCTAATGCAGGAGTGTCACATAATTTTCATTTTGTGATTAGAGGGCCAGATTTGGACCTCAGGTTTGAGTTTTCTACACTTGTTATCAAGAAGCTGAGAGCAGAAGTTGCCCTGTAGAAGGGGGAAGGCAAATTGTGGTCCTCCACATGTTCCGGCCTACAACATCCATCATCCGCCATTGAGTTTGCTGCTGGGGCGAATCGGAATCAGAGACAAAAACATCTGGGGAGGGGGCACAAGATGTGCTACACTCGCTAGCCTCTTTCCAGGGGATTTGGAAACGGGTCCCCCCCCTCCAAACCTACACATACAAGCTGGGAATTAAACACGGAACTTTCTGGCTGGTATACATGTTTTCTGCCACTGAGCTCTGCCCCTTCCACAACTTGGACACGGCAACAGAATGTTTCCCAGCACCACTAATTGTGCCAAAGTTTCTCCGGGTGCCATTTTGCAGCTTATCTCCACCCTGTCCTGCCAACATGACAAGACGCTGCTCGAGAACGCTGGGCAGTAAGTTGAACCCCGGACATCCTGCGTGCCGCTCCGCACCTTATGCCCTTAGGCGATGGTCATCCTTTCCTTTTTAGCCTGTGCTGTGGGAAGCGCTTTAATCAGGCAAACTTCAGGTGTGCTGCTGGAGGGACTGCCTAGGAAAAATAAGTCTACCAAGAAGGTAAAATTACAGCCATCTGTATCATTCTGCTTTGTAAGTTCTACTCTTCTGCCTTCTAGTTTTATTGGATAAGCTACAGATGACTAATAAGGGCCATTAAAAAATGGGTGGGATCCAGTAACATTTGCACACGCACTTGCCCATGGACAAAAGACCTCTGCAGAGCAACAATATGCTCATACCCTGAAACTCAGCTCTTGTCAAATTGGATTAGCAAGAGAACTCGGGACAAGAGGAGCAATCCTAGAGTCTCCCGATATGTAAACTTTTCCGGTATCATGGCGTGATAACGCCACACAGCATATTCAAGGAGGCTGTAGGGCAAACACCCAGAATTCAGTCATACAGGTTTAGCTAGAGATCCTTCAGCCAGTGGAGCTTGTAATTCCTTAACACAATTACACTTCAACAAGGGTTTCGTCAACACCTTGTGAGCGCAAAATATTTAGCTCGGCAACTTTCCTTCCTTCACTTTCTAGCCCAAGGCTGCTTCCCAGAGCCATTTCTTCCCATAAGAGTCTTTCCCTGCGACATTTTCTTCAACCTCCACCCCTCAAATTGCCTTTCCTTGTGGTTGTGCTACATCCAGAATCCCACTGGCCCAAGATACTCAGCTGCCCCTTCCTGGCTTTTGCACTAGCCTCCACGCTCTCTCTTCCTATTCAGTATTTCTTCCTTTTGTTTACTTTTCTGTATGGGAAAAATGAAAACTAAGGGTGATACTACACACAGCAGAGTGCACGGATCTATGTATGGAGAGGCCCTTCCTGGGCAGGAATTTTATAAACTCTTGGATGGTCCCAACACAGCATTACAAAAAGGGACCCACTTGGATGAAGGCAGATCCGGTTCTTCCAGCTTAATTGCGGCACAGTGTCGCTGAGCTCATGCCGAGAGAGAGGGAGAGCCCTTGCCTATTGGGCCATACAAAAACGAATCACATAGAAACACCCTCTTGTGGGTTTCCCACTGGGGCCCTTGGTTGGCTGCCGCAAGAAAATGAATGTTGGGCTGGAGGGGCCTTTAGTCTGACCCGGAGGGCTCCTCTTAGATTGTTCCCTGTGCAGAGGAGGTGGGAAGCGGCGCTGACCCGTCCACTCCTCCCTGGGCCCTCCCACTCGCTCCTCGCCACCATCTTCCCCAGCTGTGCTTGCTGCTCATCCTCTTTCCCGTCCTTGCCCACTGGGCCAGCAGAGAGCCAGGGCGCGGGCCAGCCATGGCGTCTCCTGCCGCTCTTCTTCGCCAGCGCCGTTGTCTGGGTCAGAGCAGGCAGGCAAGGAAGAGAAGGCGTGTCTGGGGACCCTTGTCGAAAAGCCCCATTGCAGCGGTTTACATTAAAGTTCCCTCCATCAGCTTCCTGCACACCACCCATAGCTGCATAAACCCCATTTCCTTTCCCCCTTTCTTCGGTATCTTCCCCTTCCCTTGTGGACTTAAAAATCAAGTGCCAGAACTTTCCCTCATTCTAAGTGCCTTTTCCTGGCAGAAAGTTCGGTCCCCCACAAAATGCAGAAATATGCACAGCAGGCTTGCCATCTGAGAACAGCCCATGGGGCAGACTCTTAGCTTCAGCAATAGTGAATGTGCTAGTCTCTTGCATGCCACGTCTCTTGCCATTTTTAAAACAAAGGATGGCTTTGCCTTAGAACAACAGTCCTGTGGTACCTTAGAGACCAAGAGGTTTGTGCTGGCATCGGCTCTCACCTGGCACTGTCCTCCGTCACATGCAGTTTTTCACTTGTAGAGCCTTACCTGGCTTGGACTGCAGTACCTCATCTGCCATTAACCCACCTGTATGCCACTGTCATCACCTAAAAGAGGCTTGGAAGGCAGCAGTGAGGGAGGGAGGGGGCCTACCTGGTGACCCCACAATTATGGAATGATCTCCCTGATGCAGTCTGCCTAGTGCCAGTACTATTTTCAGCATCAGCTGAAGTCCTTCCTCTTCTGTCAGGCACTTGACGGCATATTATGAGGGTTTTATCAGTTCTTAAATCTTTTTGTCGCCTGTTCTTAGACATGTCTCCGTGTGCTGTCCGTAAATGGTTCTTTGCTTCTGCCGAGAGCCCAATAGGGTCACCCAATGGCATTTTTCTTGGTTTGACTTCTCCAAGCAAAGGCTTGCCTGCTCCTTGTAACTGGGCCTAGGCTGCAATCCAACTGGTGCAGCTTTAGCGGCACGGGGTTGCTGCGACAGGGCAAACTTCACCGGCAACACCTCTGCTCGCAGGGCAAACCCGGAATCGGTGGGCAGCCCCGGCTGCCCCCCACCCCCCGTAGTTTCTCACCCTTGCTCCGCAGGTCCCGGAGGCAGGAGGCTGCCACGCCGTGCTGCTCCTGTTGGCCATTCCGCCTGATCAGGCACTGCTTCAGCAGGGGGAGCCCCGAAGCGGCGGCCGCCATGGCTGCGCGGCTCTTCTGCTCCGCTACAGGAGGTTGCCGCGGGCATCCCGAGTCGGCTCTCCGCAGGCGGCCAATCGCAGCAGAGCTCGCCCCGCTGAGGCACCCTGGGAAGTGTATGCCTTTCTGCACTCTGCCCCGATGCATGATGGGTACTGTAGTTCCGATCTGCTCCCATGCAATCCTAACTCCCGTTTTGCCGTATTAACGAGGAACAATCGTTTTATATATATGGGAACTGAAGAGGAAAAAATACATTAATATGATATATGTATCTACAGTGAGTTTACACACTTATTCTATTTATATTGTCTCATTTGCCAGCACCTTTTTTTTTTAAGAAAGTAAAGGAATTCTTTAACATTGACCTTCAAGATACAAAAGTTTTTACAAAAGTATTTTCGCATGCACTTTTGTTATATTTGGAACAAATGCTAATTGCTAAAATAGTAAGGGCTAGACCTAAAATGTTAAATAAAAATGCCATTCCTCCAAGAAGCCCAAGGAGGGATGCATGGTGATCCTGATTCAAGAATTCCAGATGCAAATCAAACCCTGATTTAAAGGCACTATTATATTCTATCTGCTCACCTTAAAACCTCTCCAAAATTTTAAGCAGCATTGTGTGACAAGTGATTTAAGGCAAAATCCTTGCTTTGGCACGTTTATTAATATACGGTGGTGATGCCCCACAGTAGCCTTCCAAATGGCGGAACAACTGGTTGCCCTCCAGATGTTTTGGCCTACAACTATCAGCCGTCGATGGTGAGACATGATGGGAGTTGTAGGCAAAACATCTGGAAATCACACGTTGCCCAACCAGGTGCCCTGCAGCTATATCGGCCTAGAAACCCCAGCATTTCCTAACTACTGGAGATACTAGTAGGGGCTGATGGGTCTTGGAGTTCAAAATATGTGAAGAGCACTCAAGTGAGAATTGCTGTCTTAGAGCAGAAGGATACCAGAGATCTCTTACAAAGTCAATTATTGGAATAACAGGTCACAAGATGTAGCTGGGTCCTATTTTATTTTTGCTCACCCGGGTTAAGAAATATTTGTCGAACCAAGCAGTATCTGTATAAGAAATAACAAAAGAGATTATCTAGATGATTGCATTTGTTTATGCCAAATGCTGGAAACAGAGATGGGGAGAAGACACAGCACTCAAGGAATGGACAAAGGGAGGGCACTTTGCAATCCTATAAAAATGAGTTTTGCTTGGGTAAATGAACACAGCGAGACTTATTTCCGGGCAGATACGACCATCGGCCAGTTTTTCCTGCTGCCACGAGGCCGTTCCGGCTCTCCTGCCTCGGGTCCCCAGTTCTTCATTATTTCTCTCCCTCCCTCTCTCCGTTGCAGCGGACCCCTCGTCGACCCGCCCCGGCCTCGCGTCGCCCCCAGGCCAGCAGCACGCCCGGCCGATCGGCGCTCGACTACTCCTGCCCGCTCGCCTCTCCTGCGCGCCGAGCGGCCCTCCAAATCGGGGCCGTCTGCGGGTAGATTAGCCGGGTCTGGAAACATGGCCTCCTCGGAGCAGGCAGAGCAACCTGGACAGGTAAGCGGGGGCCGGCGGGGGGGACGCCTTGGGGGAGCCCCCGGGGAGGAGGGCGGGGGGCTGGCTGAGGCCTGCCTGGCTTCTCGTCCTCCCCCTCTCGGGGGGCAGCGGGGGCCGCCCAGGGGCTCCTTCGGGGGAAGAGCAGGTGTGCGGGCTGCCTTTGCCCCGCTAGGAGGGGCCGCTGCGGGGAGGCCAGGTGCCCCCGGCCTTCCCTCCCCGCGTTCGCATTTCGTGCAGAAGGGTAAGGTGGAAGTGCCCTGGGAGCATGTTCTGCTTCCCCAGGGGAAGGGAGAGGAGGGTGCTCGTTGCCCCATCGTGGGAGGGAAGAAGGTGCGGGAGGCCTGTTGGGTTTTTCGGCCCCCGATATTAAAAACACATCGGATAGGGCGGAGATCCCACAGAAGGATTTACTTCTCCTGCAAGGAGGGAGGAGGTGGGGGCCCTTTGTCTCAGAATGGGTGTGGAGAAGACGTGGAAGCGGGCAGTTGCTGCCTCCAGATTATTCCCTGTTGCTCTTTTCCCCTCCCCCATATTTTGGAAAAGGAAAGCAGGAGACAGACCTAGATGGGGTTTTCTGCTCCCCCAGAAGTTAGAAGAGATGAGTGCCTTTTGCATCCTAAGGAAGGGGAGGCTATTTGCCCACCAGCCTCTCCCCTCTTTTCCCCTTCCCCACAGTTAAAAAATGATAGGGAAATATTTCTAGTTTTTCTGCTGGCCCTCCAGGGAATAGGGGTTGTCACCCTTTGTCTTATCTCACCCCTTCCCTTGCATTTCAACAAACAGGATTGAAAAGAAATCCCCTAGAAAGAGTCTTTGGCCCTCCTTGGTAGAGTAAGTACCCAAGGAATAATCACAGGGGTGAGTAGGTGAGGGACAACTCTTCCTCATCCCATTAAAAAAACAAACAGAAACCCCTAGGTGTGTGTGCGTGGGGGGGGGGGGGATGTTCCCTGAACAGATTTCTTGCTCCTCTAAGGGAGCCCTTTGCTTCTAATGAGAAAGGTGTAGGAAAAAGAGACCAGTTCCTCCCTCTTTCTGCTGGCTCCTAACCATTTTTTAAAGCAGTGCTGCAGTGGGGGGGGGGTGTCTCTGTTCCATTGCAATATATTCTTGTGTGTGTATTTTTTAAGTGTAACTTATTTGTGATTTCAAGATAAGCTGCTTTGAACATACTGAGTGGATTACAAAAACATTAAATGAACATGACTGGGGAATGCTGGGAGTTGTAGGATTTTTTTTCTGTTTAAACATGGATAGTATTGCACCTTAAACAGTGTGTGGGGACAAGAACTTGTTCCTTCCCTTCCATCTGCCTGAGCTTCTTTCCCTCTTAATTTTGTGTTTGTGTGTCGAGGAATTTGTATTTTGCGCTTGTGGGGGGTGTGTGAAGGAGATGGGGTAAGAGACAGAAGTGGAGCCCCCTGCTTCAGTGCCTGTTCTCCCTGTGTCAAAAAAGGCTGGGGGGAAATCCATATGGGGGCTGCATCCCTGGTGGGAAGAAGGATGGTAGTCTTTAGTCCATGACTGAGAGCAGGAGAGGTAAAGTTGGCCAGCTGCCTCCCTCCTTTCCTTTTGCTTGAACTTGTGTGTTCAGTGGAAAATCACCATGGGCTTTGCTTCTGTCTCTGGAGAAGAAGAGAATTCCCTTTGCCTAAATGTGTTGGAAGAACAGGAGGCCAGCTGGTCCCTCCTCTTCTGTCTGTAAATTCTGCCCTTTCCACTCCCATCGCAGTGTTGAAAGCCATGGAAAAGGGATCCCAACAGGACACTAGGACAAGCGTGCCCTACATCTGGAAAGTATCAGGTTGCTCTGTAAGGAGACTTTTTCTGTGTAGGTCCCCAAGCTATGGAAAGCTGTCCCTAGAACTTGTACCCTGGTGCCTATTTTGTTCCCTTTTTGGGACCAGGCAAAGAATTTTCAATTTTCTCAGGCCATTTAAAAAGCTTTCTAATGGCTGCTTGCTTGTTTTATGTGTGTGCGTCTGGGTTTAGTATGATGCTAAATGCTGGGTTTATAAATTGTCTTTCTCCATGTTTCCGTTGCTTACTTTCCGTTACGCTGTTTATTTATCTCAAAATTTCTAGAACATTTCCTGCTGTTTTTAAATCAGTTCTCATAGGTATGTGATCATTGTTTTCATTGTCTCGGCTTTGTTATACATGCTTCCCTGAAATCTTCAAACTGTAGGGCAACTCAGGAATCTCATACATACAGAAGAGGTGGAGGAGAAAAATTTCCCCCCTTCATGCATCCTCTGTGAACTAGAACCTTCTTATGGGCCGATCTACCAAGAAAGAGAGCTTGGTATTGCAGTGGACAGCTCCGTGGAAGTGTTGGCCGTGCTGTGCAAAAGACAAATTCCTTTCGGAAAGCATAGTTAGCAAAGGCTTTGAAAATAAAACTGCCACTATCATATTGTCCTAATTTATTTACTTAAAACATTCCTGTTTTGCTTCATATCTAAACAGACTCTGAAATGGTGAACAATACTAACTGAAAAACTAACCAGCCACCATCTTAAAATATTTTATTTTTAAAGGTAGCATGAGGAGAGCTGGGAATTGTAGTGCCAACTCAAGTGGAGAACACGAAGTTGGGTAATGTGGTGGTAAATATTACATACCCAAAGCACAATGCATATGCAATATAAACAGTATCAGACCCCTGGGGACAAGGATGCAGTGGGGTGAGTGTTCATCTGGAAACCCTGGAGAGCTGGGTCCTAGTTTCCACTTGGCTATGAAGCTCAGTGGGTGACTTTGGACCAGGCACTAACTCTCCGCCTAACCCACCTCGCAGGGTGGTTGTTGTGAGTGGAGGAGGACTCTATAAACTGCCTTGGGTTTCTTGCAAGACTCAAAAAGCAATGATGCATTTCTTTTTTATTTTTTGAATTGGTGTGCCTCATCCTTTGAGGTAAAAACAACAACCAGCCTGTGTTTCTAGGGCAGCTTGTAAAAAGCACATGGAAAACCCAGCAGTCAAATCCTCACCGGATGTGACACTCAGATGAAGTCAGATCGTGAGCAGTATTATTGGAAGAAGTGGCAACAAGAGGCGCCTACATTCACCCCCATCCCCAAAGGAGGGTGCTTTGCTGTTAGAGGCCAGAGAATTGCAACTTGGCTTGAACGAAGTGTAACGAGGTTAGGTTCTGGAATGACCCTCATCTCTAATTGGCTTCATTCTCCCTGGAATTGCACAGGAGAGGTATTTTTTGGGCTGGGTAGCTCTTTGTCCTTGGTCACTCTTCTGCTAGTGTCCTCAGAATGGGCTGAGGTGGAAAGCTGGAGGGAGAGGGAGGTTTTGGGAAATTTGAGCACAGTGGCTCAGGTGGCTCTGGCATCCTCCCTCCTTCCGGCCCCAGATCCAGGAGCTTATAGGAAGTCAGAAAGCATCTTCTACCATAAATAGAAGAGAGGGTTGGGGTAACTGGTGGTAGTCCGTGGGACAGATTTAGTTCTCAGGTGAGATCTTGCTGGAGCTGCTGCATTCATAAAATCCGCAGCCTATGTCAGTATGTATGGCTTCCTGTTTCTGGAAAATCTCACTTCACGATCACTTTATTTATTGTGACAAGTTGCCTGTTGAAGATCAACTGTGCCCAAAGTATCTTTTGGGGCTATAAAAGGCCAGGCTACGAATTGAGGATGCCGCTTTTGCAAACCATCTCAGCCTTAGGAGTAATAGGACAGCCGCGTTGGCTTACCTTACAGAGCGGTTGTATAAAGTTTGCCTGAAGATCATGTTTACAAAGTGCTTTGAAGTATTGGAACTGTATATATAAAGAGCTAGTATGTTAGAATGCTCTCTCCTGCTGTTTGGAGGTATAACTTCCATAATTCCTGACCATTCCTCATGCTGTCTTGGGCTTAAGGTGGTTCTTGTCTTAAACGTCTGGAGGATAGCTTGTCTGGGAGCCCAGTTGGCACCCTGGGTACCATGTAAGCATAAATAATGCTCTTTCTCCTGCTTCCCCTAATAAAAATGCCTGCAGTCCGAGCCAGTTTGCACATTCAGAATCCTTGTGTGGTATATTTGCTCCTGGACTGTACCAGCTTAGATTGTAGGTGTGGAATTCTGAGTCTGAATATTCCCAACACCTGCAGTCTTTCCTTGGCACAGTCCAAGAACAGATATGGCACATGAAACCAAGAAAGAGGACAGGTCAGATGTGAAGGGGAGATGGCAGGGTGAAGTATTAATGGAGGTGGCAGGAGGTGGCATAAGAAAAGCCAAATCTGTAGGAGATTTGGGGAAGCAGTGGATGATCTAGAAGAAGTAGGGAAGAAAACTTCCCTCAGTGAAGACATGGTACAGTCGTGGTGGTGGAAAGGAAGCCTGAATTTCTTGATCACTATCCAATATGTAACTTCCTTTATTATTTTCTTTTGCATTTTCTTTTGTTGTTCTCTCCCCCCCCCCCCTTTAACTTCCAAGGTGCCATTTGTAACGATGAGGTCTAGAACCTTATTTTTTTGTGGTGTTTTAATTGAATGTTAACATTGCCAAAGGCTGAGAAGGTCAGAAGTTTCTGCAATATGAAGTGAGTTTCCCTCCTCTTGATTTCAACCATAGACTCTTTTCCCCATTCTAGACCCTGTTCTTTAGGGACTGCCAAAGACATCCATCCTTCTCTTTCTCTCAGCCCTTCATCTTAACCGGGCTGATTGATGTCGTTCAATATCCTACATAATAGCCAAATGAAGTTCTAATTGGGTGAATCATTCAGGCTGGGTCCCTAAGGAGCCTAGACGTTTTTTATATCTGCACGTTTATGTAAAATTCAATAATGCTTTTGAAGAAAAGAAGAGAAATGTGGTTTCTGAGAGGAAAGATAAAGAGGAGGGCATCAGAAAAGTTAGAGCGCTTTATAAGAGAAGGACGCATCTGTCAATAGTGGTTTCTATCTGTTTCTCATTTTTTTAGTCTTATGTTCTGTTTATCCTGCAGTTTGAGATTTTTGTATTATATGTTCACATGCAAATTCACCTGCCTTTTGTGTCCATTTTTTTCTAATGCATAGATATGTGTAAGTCATTCTGCCTAATGGACATTTTTGCAATCCGTTTTCCTATTATAAAGTAATCTTTCTTGCATTTTCCCTAGCATAGGCATTTTCCCCTTATGCATTTTTGTACACATTTCTATGGAAGAAAATTGACTTAATATATAAGTAACTGCATACAAATATCTGCAGTGGAAATTGTGACGGATAAGCTGAGGTTTAAATTGTGTATCGGCAAGAAAGTGCAGAGATTAGCTAAGTTTGCACATAAATGAGTATGAAAGGGTTTTTCTGATTGGAACAAAGGACCTGACTTATCGAACCCTTGGTCCATCTGGTCCAGAACTGTCAATACTGACTGGCAGCAGCAAGCCAAGGTCCTAGGTTCAAACCCTGGCCATCGCCCATTGAGAGAATCAGGTAGCAGAGGATGGGAAGGCTCTCCCTCCGCTTGAGGAGCCACAGTCATTTGGAGTCAACAACCCTTTGCAAAACTCAAAAGACACACCCTGCCCTCAAGCCTTCCGTCACATAGAAAATGGTCTGGAGGGGGGCAGCCAAAGACAAATGAGTTGGGAGGGAAGAGGAAGTGAAGAGACCCTGGGTGCTAGTTAAAAGAAGTAGCCTTCAGTCCCTCAAGACATACCAGAGCATCTGACCGTAAGTAATGTAGCCGGAAGGATATCTTCGCTTGACATCAACCTTTCTCAATCTGGCTCCTTTCTGCATGTGTTGGATAACAACTCCCCGCATCTCTGATGGCCGTGCTGGCTGGAGATGCTGGGAATTGCAGTCCAACACTTCTGCAAAGGTGTGAGGTTGGGACGAATGGCTTTGCAGGATTAGAATCTAGCCTTCTGAGGCCCTGCTGAAATCTGCCGCCATCTTGTTACATGGTGACTCGGGTCTGAGGGTGCTTGCTGCGCGTCATCCAGAGCTGTCTTCACCCAGCTGGGTGCTCTGCAGACGTTTCAGCCGACAGTTTCCCTAATCCGTGGCCGCTGGCTGTGCTGCCTGAGGCTTGTGGGTGTTGTTGCCAAGATCTGGAGAACACCAGGCCGCTTAATCTTGGCAGAAGCTCTCCAGAGTTTTAGACCAGGACTTTCTCAGCCCTGCCTGTTGGCTTGGCGTTCGGAGGGCTTGCGGTCTGCCCCTATTTTCCTTGCCTGACCGCTCTGTATTTCTTGGTTTCCCAGCTTTTGTGCAGGCCACCCACCCCACTTTTAAAAGTCCAAAACTCTTCTCCTTATGGCTTCATGACCAGCAGTAAGTGCTTTCCATGAAAATAGGCTTCTGTTTTTGGGGAGGTGGGTTGACCCCATCCCAGCTTCCTTTCAGTACCAGCTGCCACAAGAATGCAGCTGCTGAGAGCTAATCCAAAACTGAACTCAACCTGCAGGCTCAAAGATATCCTCGACCCCTGTGCTGGGAGACGAGGGGGATTGCCTGAATTTAGGAATAGTTTCCCAAAAAGGCATGTCTGACCTTTTTGCCTGCTTGCTCTGGTCTTGCTCTGTTCTAGCCCAATAAAAACCTCATCTAGAAGCACCCAGACTTTAGGGGGGAAATGAGTAAAAGGGAAACCGAGAGCTGCAGCTTTTATCTTTTCTTTCAGCAGGGACTGAACCTGCTGATTGAATAGACAGAATTCCCTCTACCGGCTCTTCCATCCTCTCTTACAGTAGCCAAGCTTGTTTAGAGGTCTCCATTGGGTGGCACTCTAACCTTGCTCTCTTTCCTCCTGCAGACCGCTTCTTTGCCTGGAGCAGAGAATGGAACATCTCGCGAAGCTTTGGTGAGTCAGTCAGTCCATCAGTCATCAATCAATCAATCAGTCTTTATTTGCTTAAAACAAAAGGTCACTGCAAAACAGGGGAAAAGCAGGAGGAACCCCTCAAATCAAATCCACCTTAGAGGATTGGATGAGATCATCTCCACCTTTAATAACGATGGGTATCCAAAATTCTATGTCACTTTGAAAGCATCTGTTGCAAATAGCGAAATGCGGTACGTAACTTATGTGTTCTGATCAGCTGCACAGGTGTTTCAGAATATGCTGTCTCGGGACAAGAAAGAAAACAGGGATTAAAATCTTTCTTTCAGGGCCCTGTATAAGGAGCAGTTTCAGCTAAAAAAATTGTCACAGGGGAATAAAAGGGATAATTGCTCTTTCGTGGCGTTTGGATTGGAACGGGTTGGCTTTTTGGAAGTTGTTCTTGTGAGCAATGCTGGTCATTCCTCTGAAGGATCATCTGCTAGGTATTTGGGCCATGGGGCATACAATGGCGTGTTGTGTTGGTCTGCCAGTGACCCCTGAACTTTGACCTTTAACTATCTTTCTAGGGTTGAGTTGAGGGTCATCTCAAACTGCCTGGCTTCTTTTGAAAGACCGGCTTCCCCTGGACTGCAGGTTTTCCATTTGAAGTGTGGGGCATGTTCCTGTGATCGATACTTACTAGCAAAGGGTCTCAATACATAAAGTGTTATTCAAGTTGTGTGTGTGTCCACACGTACACTGCTGTGGGATAATAAAGCAAGTTTCATCTGGAACAAGGGCTCTGCACTGCTGGTGCAAGTTTGGTCCCCTGTTCAAAAAGGTGGGCAGATCACCTGGTACCTCTGGGTGCTTTGGTCTTCAGGTGGCATCTGCCTTCACCAGCATAGCCAGTGGTTAGGAATTCTTTGAGCTGTCATCCAGAACATCAGGGGAAATTGGGGAGAGCTGATGTAGCTATTCAAACAGATCACCCAACATGCATAAGCAAAAGCTCTTTCAGGAGACTGTAAGTAAACAGCATATTTTTTACTATTACTGTTAATTTCATTCCTCTGCTGTTCAATCACTGAAACCCTCTGAGAGGTGCACTGAAGTTTTACACTCTACACTTTGAGAAATGCAGGACTTGGGGCAATGACGAGGGTGCTCCCAGTGTCCTGTTAAATAAAGTCATTAGGTCTTGACAGCTCGTCCATTTTAAAACATGCCCATTTTGTAATTATGATCCTGTGTGAAATGTGTCTAATTGCCAATCCTTGGTTGCTGTGGAGGGTTCGTTTTCTTTTCCTTTTTTTGATGAGAAGCCGCCTTGCGCCTGCTAGAAGATGACTTGAATTCTGAGCCATTCTGCTGTCTTGGTCAGTCGTCACCCAGCATCTACCCCAGGGAGCTTGCATAAGTCTGCTGCCTTTCCTGCTTTCTTTCTTGTTTAAAACAGTCTTTTATTGGTAGAAATGTGCAGTGCCTCTCTCTTCACGCTGACGGATTGACAATCTTCCATTTGTCATTCCGTCAACTATAAAAGGGACAGGTTGTGAGCCCCAAGCAGTTGTGTAAATTCACAGGCGACGACCTTTCATCAGTTTTGTGGCAAAGGTCCCTCCGTCCTAAAATATAACCTTTTTGGCTCTGTATAGTTTATTTCTTCATGAGAAAAATCCTTGTTTTCATGACCGCTGTGTGTGTTTGGGGTGGGGAAGTAGGGGGAATTCACCCATTGCAGTAGCAAAATATATTTGTGGCTGCAAAAGCAGGTAAACTAGGACACCCCAACCAGCCATGGAAATGCAGGTAAAGACCACCTGAGGGCATCTTCCCCAGGACCTCTGAGTTTGTTTGTTTGTTTGTTTATATTTCGATTTATATCCTGCCTTTTTCCTACAAAGGGCTCAAGGCAGCTTACATCTCCTCCTCTGTCTTATCCCCACAACAACAACCCTGTGAGGTAGGTCAGGCTGAGAGTCTGACTGACCCAAAGTCACCCGGTTGGCTCCATGGCTGAGCGGGGACTCGAACCCGGATCCTCTGAGTCCCAGTCCCATGCTCTTAACCACTGCACCACACTGGCTCTGTGGTTAGGTGGGCACCCGTACCCCTAGTGACCCCCTTGGAAGGGGATGTTTAGAGTCCCCAACAGAATGTTTGCCATCCCCAGCCTGGTTCCCTCCAAATTTTTGGTGCTTCAGCTCCCATGTGCCCCAGCCAACACATCCAGTGGTCAGCAATGCTAGACGTACAAAACAACCTGGAAGGTGCCAGATTGGGGAAAGTAGGTCAAACAGCAGTTCTCATAGGCTTCTGGCAGAGAAAAATTGCTATCACCTGGTGTCTAAATCTACCTCCCCAACCCCCAAAAAATAAAAAGCACAGTAAAGGTAACAAGATTTGACCTCAGACCTTTTCAATGCAAAGCGCATGCACGGAGCTGTGGCCCTTCCCTGGAGAGGGGAAGCTGCCTGGCTTTGAGTCGGCCTGTTGGTTCATCTTGCTCTGTATTGTTGACACTGATCGGCAGCTGCCGCCTTCCACGATTTCAGCCCTACCTGCAGATGCTGGGGCTTGAACCCGGGGCTTTCCTCATGCAAAGCAAGGGCTCCACCACTGCATTATGGCCCCTCCGGGGAATGTGCTAAAATCCAGAAGAGCTTGGGCCCCCCAATTGGGCCTCTTTTTAAATTGCATCTGCCTTCAGGCGGTGCTTTTAACCTTTTACAAACTTTTATTATTATTTAAAAAATAAATTAGAGTGTTTCTTGCTGATGCTAATACCTGCGCTTTTGCAGGGAAAGGGCTTTTTTTCCAGGGAGCAAAGCCCCGGCGCACTCTCCCCCCCTGCTTCCCTGCCCCCCGCCCCACGAGCTGACAGAAATTACCTTCTGTTTAATTAACATTATCTCCCCCTGCTCTTTATATACTGCTGCATAATTGCTAGGAGGAAAGAGAAACGCATAGCAGCTATATATCTATATATAGACATAGATATAAAATAAAAAAATAATTCATGGGGAAAAGTGCAGGAGCGGCGGGGGGAGGGGAACACCACAAAGCAAAACCCCCCCATGTCCCTGAAATATAATCTGATCTCACGATGGTGAACCTCCGTGCATATAGGGGTATCGTGGAGTTCATTTCGAAGGGATGCAAGAGGTGCTACGGGCTGGGGGCAGCTTCCTTTCTAATTAATTTTTTTTGCTTACGCTCCCATAGCCTCTCCGTTTCTGCTTAGGTGTCGTCAAGACTTCCAGCTGAGCATCTGTAGAGACCTTTAACAAATTGGCCATTTTACTCCCCGGTTGTGGCCTGACTCACTGGTCTTTTGGTGCATTATCCCCTTAGCATCAACAGGGAGGCTTGGAAAGTCGTTATTATTAGCTTGCTCAAAACGCTTCTCGTACAGCTAGAGGGGGCAGAGCTGGGCCCACCCTTGCCCAGCCCCCAGTCCACCAAATTTGCTGCAGGGGGGTGGAGATGGAGGCCAACCTGATGAGCTGCCTGCTGCCACAGCACACAGCTGCGGTGGGTAAAATGCCAGATTTAGCTTGGAAAGAAAGAGAAAGGCCTGACCCACACAGGTCACTGAGCCCTGCTCTCAGGCAGGACTGATGGGTCCTGGAGCTGAATCCTTTTTTCGTCGACGCACAGCCCTTGCTCTGTTTTGAAGCTAGGGAGCATCAGATGGCATCAATAACCTGAAGGAATTCTTCTCCAAAAGATGCCACAGATGCCTGTCTTTCTGTCTGTCTCTCTTTCTTTTCTTTTTTATATTTGGAAGGATGAATCCAGTGGGGCACAGGCCTGTCAATATGACAAGAAAGGACTCGTTTAGGGCATATCAATAAGGTCAGGTCTTTGAAGGAGTGGGAGCCCAGGGGCATGACTTAGGTACTTAAAACCATCCGTTTAGCCTTCCTGCCCCCCTTCTCTTTTCCCCTTTCTTTCGGAGACATTGCAATTAGTGTTTCAAACTTGTGGCAGTGACCATGAGGGCTAGAAACTTAATCATAGCCATTTATTAAACTAGCTAAAAACCAAAAACCCGCCTCAGAACCCTGGCTGCGATTCATTGCAAGCTACTCAGTCCCCTTGGAGTAACCTCTGCGATCGAAATGATCGTCATTGCTAACGGGAGGCAGAGCCTTTGTCCGCAGCAGTGGGAAATGGACTGCGGCAGGAGCGGGGGGCTGGGGGGAGAGCCGTAATCTATGATTATTATTATTATTATTTTTAATTTTGCCCTCTCATTTCCCTGCTGTCGGTTTTGGCCCATTAAAATTTGCCTTGCTGCTCCGCAATGGGAAGTGTAACCTTGTGTGTTCGCGGAGTGTCAGCACCTCGCTCCGATGCCGTTTACGGCTGCGTTTGTCATTCTTGGCGTGGGATCAGCTTCTCCTTGAGTCCAGATGCTCGGGGACACTGTCGGCTTCTCTCCTCTCTTGGCCGGCATTCTCCATTTCTGTTTCCCCTGTGTCCTCCCCTCCATCCTTTGGGTAACTGTGGAATCTTTAAAAGGCTTTCCTTCTTTCTTTTCTTTTCTTTTTCTGAGCTGGGCATGCCACTCAGAATAAAGTAATTGCCTGCACAGAAGAGGACGAAGCGATGACCTAGCTCACATGTAATGCTGACCTGTGCCTGCTGGCACAAATGCAGCCCAGACACCTTTCTCGGCACCCACCAAAGTACTCTGCCCTTCTGGTTAATAATAATAATAATAATAATAATAATAATAATAATAATAATAATAGCCGCAGCTGGTATTGCTGTGACCCAGATTCTGCTGGTGCTGAGATGGTACGTTCAAAGGAGTTGGTTCTTGGGGCCCAGATCCTACCTCTGCCAAGAGCCCAGGTTCCTCCTCCTCTGGCTTGTCCAGGGCAGTGGCTTAAATTGCTAAACATGCCCAGGGCTGAAGAAGCTTGCTTACCAAAAGGCCTTCCTGTCTCTGGCATAACTGTGTTTTGTTTGTCTGGCAGGTGATACAACCAACCGTGGCTTGTTTGCTTAATCTCTTTATCTGCCCT